TTAACAACGTTAAAATTGGGAAGGAAGCTCTTAATTGCCAAGAAAGTGTTACTAATGGAGTCCAACGGGTCCAGTCCAGCATGAAGCAGCAATGAAATTATGCATATAGCTAGTTGTGAAAATTACTTCTCCATTGTTGTTGTCGAGGAAACTTACGAGTTGTTGCTAATTTGGAGGTTTCCTCCGACACCAAAATTGTTTTCTCAACTTGAAAGTCACGGAGAATCTAGTAATTAATCTACTAATACGTGAGATAGGGGATGTGTTCTATAATCAATTGTTAACAGCTCATGAGCCATTTAATACATAAGAAAGAGTATCTAGTACTACCAAAACATGATGATTATTTCATAACTATTTGGTTAACCATTAGAACGTGTGTTGAACTGAACATTTGTATCCTTGAACACTGTAATTAGGATTAATCATGACAGTGTCCATTTGGCGAAAAAGTTATTCAAAGCCCGTGAAAGACGTCTTGACAAGAGGAGAACTTGTGCAGGGGTTGAAATAAGCAAGATAAATGGAAACTGTAGCAGGGTTGTATCCCAATTAGAGGGGCATGAATCTTCTCAGAAGATATATGACCAATGGTGAGATGCCACGTGGGATATTTTTGTTGTGGTGACGTAGGATTATGTGAAGAGAAATATACCACCATAGAATATTAAGTAGGTCGGATTAGGGTAGGGATATTAATATTTGAAGATTCTGTTTTCTCCCTCATCCTCCTACCTTTCCTTTCTTTCATTTTTATTTGCTTGCAATATTCCATAAATATATCTTGGAAGTGTCGTAGTCCAAGTTTATATATATATATATATATATATATATATATATATATATATATATATATATATATATATATATATATATATATATATATAAGTGCTTAACTTGCATGCATGACTCGTTCCTACCGTGTTCGTACACACGTTTTGGTTAACAAATATAAATCAGAAATGGCCTTTCACAAAGTCCAAGTAGGGTTTTCAGTCTGCACAAACATGCCAGCCAAATTGTCTCTGACTATGCATGCAATAATTTTCTCTAGGTTTATCACAGGATCCCTGCTTAGACTCACACAAACACCCCAACACACGCACACAAAGTGACAAAATCCATTGTTATTGTCTTCACGCTCATTGTGATTGGAAACCCAAAAAAACGTGGCTCAACAGTCTCCACATGCTACAACCCTTCATCATACATGTTTCAAGCTAGATTGCATTAAAATCATCAACAACAATCCCGATGAGTTGAAATAGTGATTGGAATCTATGTTACATGTAAAGAAGATTGTTAGATAAAATTTAAATGATATATAAAAAAGATTAGTCTCTAGTTCACCGAGTCCATAAATCAGTAATGAAATTCAGAAAATGATCAACATGACTTCTGTTTTCTAGCTCCACTTGCCTTTTTATTCGGATTTCCTAACTATATGACTGTGTTTGTTAATTTTTTATGTTGCTATAGGCTCCAAGAATTGCCTTTTTGTGTGGAAAATTCTAGGTCTCAATCATGCATAGTCCTCCTCTTGAGCCACTACAGGCAAATAATTGCTCAACCAAAGTGTAATAACTTTATCTCTACTATACTGATAACGGGATCTGTGACCAACACACATGTAGGATAGATTAAAAAAGGTTTATTGCATATTCCCTATGTTGCATGTGTGAACCTGAAAACTCCACAAAGGCTGTGATGGACATAATATCAGTTGTTTTATCCACCAATATCTGAAAACACAGTTAGTTTTGCTTACAATTCTTTCTTTCTATTGGTTTTCATGTTATATATTCTTCCACCCCCTTTTAAATAACAAAGTACAGCTCCATGCCAACCAGGCAATATCTCATCACAAACTCAGCAATAAGTATTGCTCAGTCGTATGTAGTTCTACGTTGGAACTCATCAAAATATTAGTTACTTTATTACCATCATGTTGTAGTAGTATGGTGTGCACAGATGATGCTTCTTCAAATTGAAGGTTGAAGTCCACTTGCGTGCAGTGGTGATTGAGATATGAATATTAAAGAAGTCAACTGATTATATATTGAATAATGATATATACCAACAACACTTATAGAGTATACCTAAATGACATATATATTTCAATTTTACTTTTACCCTTTTTTCTTTCTACTTGTAGATTTCAGTGTCCATAAATCATTGTTGTTGTTGATTATACAGCAAGTAGAATTTTTAGTTCTGTATTCCTGTTGTAGGCACTTTTCAATTTGAAGAGGTGAATATGAAGTAATTTTAAGTAAGAGAGAAAAAGGGAAGGTTATTATAGCAATGGAATTTAATGAAGATAGGAAGATAAGTTTGGGGGAAAGAAGTTAAATAAATGTACCTCCTAATTTTTTGAATACTTTAATTTGAAAATTTTTAAATTTTAATTCCTAAATATTAAATTTAAATGACTAAAAAGTATTTAGAAAATTTTTGTAATAATTAAAAGTATATTATTATTATTATTATTAAAATAATAAATAAAAAAATTAAACATAATTATTCGATTTCAAAATATAAATAATTTTTCAAATATTATTAATTTATATATATATATATATATAATAATAAATAAAAAATAAAAAAGCCCCACATTATGCATTCTAATACTAAATTTAATATGACCAACCAAGTAGATAAATTAAATCTTTTACATAAGATCTTATAATCTAAGTTTTTAACATGTTTATTATTAAATCTGTAATTTTTTTATAAAAATGGCAAGAAATAAATTTTTTATAAATTTAAATAAAATTTTATAAGAAAATTTATAGAAAATAACTATATATGAACCTTTTTTTAATAATATAAATGATAAATTAAATAAATGCATAATTTTTTTGAGAGAAAATATTTAAAAAATTAAATTATATTTTCTAATTATTGTTATTGTAAAAAAATCTACCATAAATAAATAAATAAGAAAGGTTATATAAGTATATATTATAAATATAATTAATGTGATATTATATTATTACATATTAATAAATTTAATTTACTATATGTAGTTTTTTGTATATTAGTTTTTGTATAATTTTTTATTTGAATTTATTATCTATTTGACTAAAAATATATAGTTATTTTGTCAATTTGAATATGCAAATTATGAAAACTATATTGATTGACTTAAATGTTTTTTTTTATATTAGATAATAAGATATATATTTTCATAATTGTAGAAAAATATTAAATAAATAATAAATATTGTAATTTTTAAATATTAAACAATTTAATATTTAATATAATTTTAATTACATTAAGTATAACATAAAATCAGTAAACACAACACCTATAATTTAGGTACTATCTAAAACTTGTTAAAAAATAATTATAATTTATTACATTTAATACGATAATTTAAATCTCTAGTACCAAAAACAAAGTAGTAGGGTTGGATTGAATATTTATTCATAAAAAAAAATTATAGAAGTATATGTAATTTACTCTATAATCTATTTTTTAATCATCTTATCTTAAATCAACTAGACAAATGATATTAATTTATTCAATTGTTTTTATATGTGAAATAAAATTAATTTATTTTAAAGGTGTCAAAAGTAATCCCTTATGTTACATCCACTATGCATTTGGATGGGCCTAAACCACTGTACACGTGGCCCAGTGGTAATGACTTGATATTTAGAAGAGCAATATTGGATCAAAACTAAATTTAAACTTTTTAATATAATTTAAACATATATTTATTGTTTTTATATCATGATATTAACAAATTTTTTTATACACATTTTATCTTATTATTTTTTTATCTATTTTTATATCATTGTAATCTATTTTTTTTATTTATCTTACATTGATAGTCATATATTTTTTGTTTTATTATTTAATAAATTTTTTCATTTAATGGAAATGAGAATACTTTAATGCTTATATATTTATGAAAACCAATATTTTATATTTTGGTTTATACATTCTATTATCTAATCTCCATAATAAATATATATTTATAATATAAAATTTATACAAAAATTAAAAATTTAAACAAATAAATATCTTAAAATCTACAATTTTTTTAAGATTTTTTAATAACAAGTAAAAGACTTAAATCTGTTATTCACTTATAGTTTAGGATTCCACAATTTATTTTCCAAAAAAAATGATATAATGTATTTTAGATAAATATAAATTTGATACCATGGTTAATTTATTGTTAAATTTTTAATAGAAATTATAACTGTAATTATGAATCAATGTAACAGTAATTTTACATCAATTAATGAGATTAAAATTGCAAAATGGTGATACTTAAAGACTAAATTTGTATAAGGAAGGAGTTAATTTTAAAATAACATTCATAAACAAAAAATATGACATTATAAAATGGAAAAAACTTAGATAAAAAAGATAAATAGATAAAAAAAGGGGTAAACAAACTGTTCATTTTTACCTTTATTTTTTTAATTGTTTTTTTTTTATGATGATATGAAATAAAATAAAAACTTGAAATATATAATTTTATTTTCTAAAATATCATAATTGTACTATTTTGATCACCTGTTTTTTTTTCTTTTAATTTATGCAAACAAAATTAAAGATAAATAACAAATATTAAATTTGAAAAAAATTTAAGACAGTAATATGATATTAATTTTTTTGACCTAAAATTATATATAAATTATAATATTTATGTAAGATTTGTTAAATAAAATATATCAAAATTATATAATTAGATTTGTAATATTTCTTATTATTACAATTTTTAAAGTACTATTATCATTTTTCAATTAAATAATATTGTAATGAAAATATTTTCACAATTATTTTAAAAATATATTTTTAAATTTATGGAGCATAGTGTTGATTACTATCAAATGGAAGAGAAAATAAAATAAAAAAGTTGAAGGCAGATGGACTGCTAAACCATAAACCCTAATTTTCGAATCAGAGTAAAGATAGAGTAGTTGATGGGTCGGGGAAAAAGTAATAATAACCAGTGTTCCTCCAGCAAAAAAGACGCCACCATGAATTACCACCTTCGCTTTGAGGATGCTGGCGAGGCTGTGGACGAGAGTTCTAACCTCGACGAATCCATGTGTGACATCGAGGAATCTGATGATAAAACCAGTGCTGACTATTATTTTGATTCCTACTCTCATTTTGGTATATTCGAAATTCTAATTACTCAAAGTTTTACCTTTTCATCTGGGTATCTTAACCACACTGATTACTAAAACTCTTGGTGTTACCGTTTTGTTTTGTTTGATTAGTTAAGTTCAATAAACTCATTTATTTATTTGTTTGTTTGTGTATGTGCTTGCAGGAATTCATGAAGTAAGTGTGTTCAACTTGGACGCAGCATTGTGCATCGATTAAGATTAAATTTATTGTTTTTTCTTTGATTTTAGGTATCTTCAAATATTCAATCAGGTTTCATATTTCATAGCAAGATACTTTTTTTGCTTTGCAGGAGATGTTGAAGGACACTGTAAGAACTAAGACATATCAAAATGTTATATACCAGAATAAGTTTCTGTTCAAGAATAAAGTAGTTCTTGATGTTGGAGCTGGGACTGGGATTTTGTCTCTATTCTGTGCCAAAGCGGGGGCAGAGCATGTCTATGCCGTAAGTATCTGACTTTCCATTTATCCTTGTTGAAGTTTCTTGATCTTGAAAATGATCTTGAAAATGTTTGAAACTCAGGTTGAGTGCTCCCATATGGCTGACATGGCAAAGGAGATTGTTGAAACTAATGGTTTCTCTAATGGTGATGTCATTTATGTATTGCATCTAATATTTTGAGTATTCCTGGATTAGTTGTAAATTATTCACTATGATTTATATAATGTTGTTTTGTTTGTACAGTTGTCACAGTTCTGAAAGGGAAGATTGAAGAAATTGAGCTTCCAGTTGCTAAAGTTGACATAATCATCTCAGAATGGATGGGATATTTCTTGTTGTTTGAGAATATGTTAAATTCTGTGCTCTATGCACGAGATAAATGGCTTGTAAGTTGTGTGTTCCTGTTATTTGATAATAGTTTGATTACCATTGCTTATGCATGAATGGTGAGGTCACTAATTTGAGACTTTCTCTCTTCCACTTTTTGGCTAGGCGGAAGATGGAGTTGTGCTACCAGATAAGGCATCCCTCCATCTCACTGCCATTGAAGATGCAGACTATAGAGAAGATAAAATTGAGTGTTAGTTGATAAATTTTTTCCTTATTCATCTTTTGCATATTAGAAAAGTTGATATCAATTATTTCTGTGGATGCTGTTGACTAAGCTTGAAATTTTTAACTTTACAGAGAAAAAAAAATTGAAATTCAATTTCTTTGGTGTTCTTATTTGTATTTCATTGTCATTTTCTATCTCAGTTTGGAACAATGTATATGGATTTAACATGAGCTGCATCAAGAAGCAAGCAATAATGGAGCCTCTTGTTGACACAGTCGACCAGAATCAGATTGCTACGAACTGTCAACTACTCAAGGTGAGTTGGTAGTTATAGTTTGTTTCTCTGATGTTGCCTATGTTTGTTTTACCTTACATTTGACAACATCCTCAACAGTAAGTTTTCATTTAGATTTGGTTGGGCAGTTTCTTGTTTTGTTTTGGAAAATATGCAAATGATGGATTCATCTTTGTTTAGACAATGGATATCTCAAAGATGGCACCTGGAGATGCTTCATTCACAGCACCTTTTAAGCTTGTAGCCGAACGTGATGACTATATTCATGCTCTTGTTGCATATTTTGATGTATCATTCACAAAGTGTCATAAATTGATGGGCTTCTCTACAGGTTAATTCCTTCCTGTTTTCTCAGTTCTCTCTCTATTTGAGTCTTAGGTTCTGTCCATTTTATGTTTTAGAGATGCAAGTAAAGTTTCTATTGATGTCATATAATCTGTTAATTGGCAAAAATACATTTTATACACTAAATGCTACTTCCTGGTAAATATTAATGTATTAGCTTCTTGGAAAAGTGAAGGGGGTGAATAAAATTTGAAGAGGATGAACAGATATTGGTTCAATGATGTTTTAGAATTTGCAACAAGTTTCATCAAATTTTAACTATTTTTCTGTGAATTAAACTGAATAGAATTGACATGTCTTTTGAAACTATGCTGGATTTATTTGCTCCAAAATATGGTTTGCCGAAATTTGTGTGTGGAAGTTTTATTTCACGATTTTTATTTGTTGGTCTAACAAATCAGAAAAAGGAAAAATAGAATTGATGAAAAGTATCAAATTAACTTCTAAAGAGTCTGTGATAGCAAATGGTATTTAAAGTATTACACAAGATTGATAACCGAAAATAACCACCTGATTTTTATAACTGACTATTTTGATGAGTTGGCTTCTTTTCTAATGTGTGATAGTTTGTCACGACACGATGTATTTGTTGTATGTTAGTTAGGGAAATCCATTTGTGTGTGGTTGTGCCAAGGTTGTTAAACCAGTAGTAGATAGTAGGGACTACTCACCTTTTGAGCATTTATGCAGGACCAAAATCACGAGCCACACATTGGAAACAAACAGTCCTATATCTAGAAGATATCTTGACCATTTGTGAGGGGGAGGCAATTATAGGGAGCATGACTGTTGCACCAAATAAGAAGAACCCTCGGGATGTTGATATAATGCTTAAGTATTCTTTGAATGGAAATCGATGCAATGTTTCAAGGGTTCAATACTACAAGATGCGTTGAACCTGGTTTGGTTTATTGGCTGGTTCATGCAGTTTGTAAGATTTTGACAATTACTGCTTCTATTTTGGAACATGTTTGCGTTTTTGTTTGAATTCTTTCTAATATTTACTCGGTTATGTTTCCATGAAATGATAAATTTGAAATCTATTTGTTGTTTAGCATTTATTTTGATCCTCCCGCTTGCCCGGAGATTGACGAGTCATAAGCAAACATATGTATGCCGTACTTACGAAGTACCTGAGTATGCTGATCTGCTAGTGTCCTATTTGAAATAATACTAAATAAAAACTGCAACATTTGATGTAATCCTAACACCACGTGACTACTTACAAATTATGATAAACATGCGTGCTTGCCGTATTCAAGGTTTTAGAAACGTGTTCTTCACTGTTACCACGTTCATGTTCATTTGATAATATCAATGTTCTAATGGCCATCAGGATGTATGTTTCTTTTCAAATCCTGAGGTGGGTATTATTGTGTTCATAATACGTTATTGCTGGGTGTTGAGTAAATTATTAATTTCATCTATTAAACTAGTAAGGTCATAAAATATATAAACTATTCGTCAAATATTAGAAACCGTGCTTGTAGTCTCTTAAGAATTTATTTTCCTTTTCAAAGTAGTCATTGAAGGCCTTAAAATGTATAAGAACTGAATAACTACTCATACAATTTTATTATTTTAAACTGAATTCATGATTTTCTCATATTTTTGTTAGAAGATTGATTCTAAGCAAATTCTTTTTACGAATATCAATTTTAAGTATAAAATTTGAAGTTACTGATTTGATAAATAAATCCAATGGATTGGCATACAAATTATTTTTGAATAGGAGTAACGATTAGCACATGGAAGTAACAGTATATACCACTGGTACTGATGAAGTTTTCACCAACTGAAAAATAATTTAAATTAAAATAAAACTCAGTAATTAAATTTATTCTATTGACATACAGAACACATGTTTTTACATTTACCAGCTAATTTAATCAATACATTTAATTCAATAAACCATGGTAACAAGTTTCAATTAAAAATAAACTTTCCAACTTAAATTCAACCTTTAATTTCGAATAATTTATTTGATATGTTTTCTCAAAACATTACCATTGAGGACACACTAAAATTCCAAAAATTGTCTAAAGATATCCATGAATAAATCTAAAAGAAAAGTAATCTCTATCCTCTGAAAAGGTTAGCGAGTATACACCCCACTTCACATACATCGTTAGACAAAAATTGACTCACCAAAATACATTAGATAGCAAATCCTGGACTGCAAAACCAATGATTCCAAGTGGTGATTGTGAAGTTCTCATTTGATTCCTTTCCAAATTCCTGTCCATATCTTGTGTAGTAGTACCATATCAGTAACCAAACGTGGTGATGTTGTACTTTTGTTCAACAATCAGGAGATAGATACATCAGCAGCACTAAAGTTCTGTCTTCCCTCCCTTCTTTGAACTGGTTCTCTTCTTTGCCTTCCACCACTGTCGTATATGATTAGAAACTTTGTTTGCATGTCCCTTCAGGGTCCTGCTTGTGTCTTCAATTCCCTTTTTTATCTCCTGTTTCCAGTCTCTTTTTCCACTTTGTTTTTCTCTCAAAACTTTTCCCTACAACATGCAGTTTACTCAAGCCATCAGTCTCTATCAAGAGTTTTCAATCAATATGAATGAAAGAGACAGTTGGTACCAAATTTGATGGGAAGTTCGCCTCGTCATCTTCGTCATCATCTTCATCATCACCTTCCTCACCTCCAAAATTCTTCATGTTCATTAGATCATCCCTCGAGTACATTTTCATGCCGGGGGCTCCTGGCATGCCCTGCACCAGAAGTAAATACAATGTGACCATAATGTGCAACCAGTAACATAAAGCAAGCATGTATTATTGGTGTAAAAGATTTTAAATTGTTAACCATTCAGAATCCTTACCATAATTTTTCAAATAGTTATTATTCGTTAGAAAACTTAACATACATGATTATTTAAGACAGCATTCCAACTTAAAATGCCTTTATACTGTCAGTGCATATATTACTCATTCTAAAATATAAATGTAGAATATAAAACAAGGAAAGAAAAGGTCAAATACCTCCATAGATTTCAGCAGTTTTTCCATTTCAGCCTCCTTGGATGATTTTGCAGCAAATGGTTCACCAGGAACCCTGTTCTGCAACACACAAATACAGATATCCTCATGATGAAAATAACAGGAAAGAAGTCCAGTACATCATCATACAGTAATTCTAAGGGCATACAATTTAGATGCCATCATTGCAGAAACAACTTTCTAGTTCCAAAGTACATAATCCAAGGACGTAAAAATTTAATTGGTAGACTAGAATTTGCATCTGAACATGCAGGGTTAGGGTAAATTGTGATGCTGATAAAGTAATCATGGTTTTAAATTTTATTAAATAGAAAGTAACTGGCTCTTTACCCTGATGTTAATTAAGACATTAACAAAAATTAAAGGCAAATGTAGAGAGAAACAGCATTCCAGGTCAAAAGCCATTTCGGAAAATATGTAAGTTAATATATGGAAAATAGTAAATTGGTAACATCCCTTTGGTTAGAATCAACACTTAATCTTATTGGTGCTGAAAAGTATTCATGATTGCGCCTGTAGTGGTACTCAGAATAAATTTTAAAACCAAAAACGAAAGAAGTTTTAAAACACTTTAAGAAGGCAACTTTTCCTTTACTTAACATAATTTGCAATACTATGGTTTCTTTACCTAGGCCATCATTGGTGGCATCGCACATACTCAGCTTTCTTGTTTTTCATTTTGTTTTCTTTGTCCATGATTGACAATAAATCCCACAAATTCAAGATAAATGCTTCCTACAGTGTACAGGAACTATACGAGACAAATCATGAGAACCATCCCAACAATGATCACCACAAAACTTATTCTATACAGCAGCATAAATCACAAACTCAGTACCACAGAAACAAGATTATTTATAACAATCAATTTCGATGCATTAATAATTTAATAATAGTTCACAAGAAAGCTGTATGCAAATCATAACCATATTAATAGAAGCATTAATGTCAAACTACAGCTACCTTAGGAACAGAAGGCGGCTTCGTACTGCATGCTTTGGTAAGGTCTTTGCAGAGATACTTGCGCAAAGAATCAATATCGGGCTTGGAACTATATAAATATTCAGCAACATCAGTATCAGAATATCCTATAACCTGCAAATTCCACGTTACCAATTTAGTAATCACAAACATCTCAGCACAAAGATTTACAGGATACCACTATGAAATGTGGATATTTGGAATACACAACAAATACAAACCAGTGGAGTGCTTCAGATTATGAACAGTGCAAAAAATCAGCACACTAACATAGAGTTCTTATTTGATTGAGAATAGATATTGAGTGAAACTTGCTCCTTTATTCAACACTCACAAAAGCCATTTTCAGAACTAGACAGGAAGATGAAGTTTACTGGTGACAAACAAAAGCCCGTAGAGAATGCGTAATTTGAATTTGAATTATACACATACCTCCTGACAGGCTCGCTCAATTGTCTTGCATTCAGAATTGCATTGTCCTTCAGAGTCTTGTTCCTCAAGCTGATAATAAGAAAGGAAATTGGAAAAACAAGATCCAAGTATTACCACAAATTCCATACAACCAACACATTTTTCTTTATTTAATGTTTATTCCATTCACAATCCAAAGGAAGTACAAGGTGCAGCAAATGTGGGAAAATGGCATAGCAATGTCAAACTCAAAATAAAACATAGAAATTTTCACGACCCATTTGTCAAACAAGTTGAAACCTCTCACCTCCAGCCTGTCTCCTTTCTCCACAATATCTATCCGCAAAATCCAATCTGCTTCTGCCTTTTTCAGATTACAAACATTCTCCGCCATCTCAATGATCTGGTACTCCGAGATCTAACACAAAAATACACAAAAACATTGAATATCTATCTATCTATCACCAAAAGCCTACAAACCAGCTCTGAAACAAATGCAAGGAAACAATTCAGAAAGAGAAAAAAAAAAAAAAACCTTTTTGGGAGCCATCTCAGCTTGCTTGTTCTGAACCTGCTGATACAACTCCTTAGCGAGCTTCTCACACACTTGACACCTTATGAATGGAATGTCTTCCTTTCTCGCGACCGCAACCGGTTTCTTGGAACAGTGTGAGAGGGGCATCCATGCTGCAACCACTACTGATACAATAACAACCCAAAACACCCTCTTCATCTTCCAAACAACACCACACAGCACTACCTCGGATAGAACCAACAGCTGATCCTTAGAAAGATCAAATTTTTTACCAAACTAGACGGTACGATTCGGTGGGTACGTGAGTTATACACCAAATAAATAAATGAACAAACAATTATAAAAACCTTATTATATATATACTCTTAACAGAATTCTAAATTACAGTTACATTTATAAAAATTACACCTTTTTTTAACTCATTTTATTGGTCCAGATAAGCAAAAAGATACTAGGTCCCACATTGTCCACCAATAAGGAGAAAGCTAACACGTAGTGCTCTCCTAATTTTATGATTTAGATTTCGGATTTCCCCTAAAAAAATTTCCAATTTTTATAGTCCACGTGGGAGTCAATGCAAAACAAAACTAGACATATAAACCGGTTCGAACCGGGCCTAATCATACTAAAAAGTTTAAAACCCTTCTCCTGTAAACCCTAGAAATCAGATTTTTACTTTTTAAATTTGTACCATTGAACATCGATTAAGCACTCTTACTTCTTCTTCTTCTTCTTCTTCAATGGAGGGCACACATTTGGTCCCTTTAGTGGGTGAGAACTACGTCCTCAAGCTAAAACACTCAATGCAAGACCTCTTGGCTGAGATTCCCAAAGAATACCCAAATTTTTCTCTTTTCGTCAATGCGTTTTACGAATTGATGCAAGCGAAGGTTGATCCACCCTTCGAGGTGATATGGGCGTATGCAGTAATAAACTTTCGTGGCCGTAACTCAGAGAAAGGCGATGCCTTGGATAGAATATTGGCCACGAAAGACTTGTTTCAGTTGCTATCTGCGTGTTCAGCTTCTGTTTGTGCTTCAAAGAGTATCGTTTTGCTGGCTCCTGTTGTTTTTGTGCTTCACGGAGTGATAGTAGAGCTGTTTGGGAGGGAATTGAAATTAAAGAGAGAGAAGAAAGCAATGAGGGAGGTGAAGTCTTTGGTCGATGTAGTTCTTGGGTATATAAATCTTTCTTGTGACAATAAGGTTTATGAGGAAGAATCTGATTCCGTGAGAATGATTTTTCCTTTCACTGATTTGGCTCGTATTTGGGTGGGCATGAACGATGAAGGGTTTGAGTCTTTGCTACCTATTGTGAGCCGTGATGTTTGTGGCTGGATTTGTTCTAGAGGGTTTCATGTTGGTTACTTGAGTGGTGCTGTCATCATGGAAGCGTTGTTGTTGAAACTTTGCCTTTCTTTTCATCTGGCAACGTCAAGAGATGGATTGGAAATGCAGTTGAAGAGTTGGGCTGTTGGCTCAATATCTAGCTTTCAAAACATATACTTTTTGGGTTAGTAAGTTTTGTTTTATTTCTGTTTCTTATTTATATTTCAGTTTCCCGCTACTTTCCATATCCATGTCAGTGTAACTTTAAATATGCTGGTTTATAGGCAAACACTTGTAATTGTTTAAGCAATTGTATGTAGCAATGAAATTATAGCTCCGCACTGTAATGTTTTCTCTGAAATGCATGAACTTTTTATGGCCAGTTTACTTTCATCTGTGGTACGTTTTTTAAAGTTTTATTCTTAAAATAGAGCTTAGCTGGGTCATGGAAGAGTTCCCATTAGAAGAAGCTGGGTCCTGGATTCTCATTTTTATGGCTCCCATTAACGTGGATTTATCTTTTGTGTAACCAGAGATCCTTATGCGGACGGCATTGGAGACACATTTGCCTCTGATCTCAATACTGGTCAGTATTGCACAAAAGTCCAACATAATTTTATGGACTACGGCTATCACTTGTACAATATAACTTTTCATAGATTTACACTTACCCTTGTTTATTTCCTGAGTTAATTTATCAGAATGTTGGGAATCTAAAAAGTGTTTCCATCTGTCGTTGTCTGTGCAGAAACCTGAAGAAGAAATTCTATCGAGGAAAGTTTTGTTTGATGCTGTTCTATTGGTGGACTACCCTTTCCTCTATGGAAATGCCAAGTACATAAAAAACCTCACCTTGACCAGATTGATTGTTACTCACGGGGCTGTGGAGTATTTTAGGTATGATACTACGATGAATTGATTATTGTATAATGTGTACATAGTTCTCTCATTTTTGTTACATGGTGTAAGTTTTAATTCTGTCTCAATATAGGGGTCTTGGTGATCAGAATAGAACTGTCTCTTATATTAAGGCATTTTCTGCTTCTCGCTTGCCATTGCAAATAATTAAATGGATTACAAGCCAGAATGGTTTGGAGGAAGAAGCAGGTAGAACTAATGGAACCTCACCCAGAGCTCTTATACGTAAGTAGATCTGCAACTTATATTTCTGATGCAGATATGGTGCTGAATACATTATACACTCAACATATTTCATTAATTCACTGTGTTTTTATCTACTTACTAGATTGGCTGCTGAGCCTTGAGAATCGAGGGATCAGAGTTTTTGAAGATGATATTTTGAAAAATCATGCTACATTAAGTCTTGATATTTCGAAACTCGAGCACCCTGCAAGTAACTTGGAGAACAAGATTGCAGATGATGACCTTTTTTATGTTGATAATACTGGGGAAGAGGGAAATACAGGTGACGATGATAAGCAAAACAAATTGATTAATGATGCGTTTGTAGCTGCTGCCCAAATTATGAAGTTACCCAACGGTGAAGTTCGAAAACGAAAAGGTAAACACAGTGAAAAGAAAGTTAAATTTGTCAAATATGATCTCCATCAAAACTCTGTGGCAGCCAAAGCCAGGACTTCAACCGCAGATGATAGTTCAAGCGGTGAGAGTGGAGTTGAGGATCCGATTTCGGATACAGATGCATAAGCTAGAATAACATACTGTTATCAGCTTAAAGTCACAACCATGTTATTTACTTACTCCAACAATATACCACAGTCCCTTTTTGTTATGTAGTTGGGGATCCTTTACATGATGAGAGGTCTCAAGAGGCGGTGAGAAGTTGCATGCAGCCTCATCAGTTTTGTCAGCATTATGTTTCCCGGGTTTATTAATTTAGTTCAGGCAGGCTCTAACAAGTTTTGGTGCAGTCACATTGCAATTGCTCTCGAACTTTCTTAAGAAGCTGCTTAGTTTTTTTTGTATTATATTATGATAGTAATTTGTAACTTCAAATGAATCTCTGCATAAAGCAATTTTATATTCTGAACAGGATTTTTTGTGTGAAAGGTTAGCATTTTCGTTTTTGTGTGAAAAATTATACGATCTTCCAAACTATTGTAGTCTTTAATCAATTCAGTGACAGTGGAGCTCTAACTAACTGTTTTGAGCATCGTAATACAAACTGTTTTTCCATTTAATTGCATACTAGATTTGAAAGTCTTCTTTGATGAATTGAAGTATTATGCTTACTACATTAAGCTCAATGGTCATCACCTTTTTAACAACAGTTGTACTGAAGAACAAATCTTAAATTTTTTCCAACACAATCAAACAGTTATTATTACTTTGTTAGCCTGTTGAAATGAAGTCTAGACATTGAAGAAATTTGGAGTTCGTATGGAACGTACATCATACAGCTCCGTGATTCCTTCATGACAGACTACAAATGGAATGGAATCCCTATATTCATATACTTCCATGGATTTTGAATTTCCCTTTCTATCTACAACCCGCCATCACCTCTCTATTTCTCTCAAACAATCAAAAAATTAGAAAAATCATAGAAGGAAGGCTGCATTAAGTAAATCTGCAAATGTGTGCCTGCTCCACCTTATCATGCTTGCAGTTAAACACGTGTCTTTATAGGCTTTAGCTTCAATCCCATGCTCTCCGGGGAAAGAAGCTCAGGAGAGATGCAAGATGGACTTAGCGGGCTCCTTGGGCTTTCACTGAAATGGTATGGCCTATACAACCCATAGCCCATCAGAAAGTACTCCATAGGGACCAGCATTGCATGTGGCTGTTCCTCTGCAACCATTGATCCACAACCCTGAACCTGCCAGATCAACCCACTCTTAAACAAGGTTCATCCATACTAATAAATGTTCTCCCACACATTAAATGATATTATGCAAACGTCAATGTGTGCATTACCAACTTGTTCAAATGAACTAATGAACGTTCTTCCACATACCTCGACCAAGGCAGTGTATCTCCTATCAAGGTTTGAAGTCATATGAAGAGCCTCTGAATGGAAAGGAGAGCTGTCACCAACAAAAATAAGTGTACGACATTTCAATCGCTTCAATCCTTCTGTTATATCAGGTCTCCTACAATTTGTAACCCAAGGTGGAGGACATAAATATGCTATCACGGTTAAGTAAACGCAAATTTAGATAAAAATAAAATAAAATAGTACAAGCAAGTATAGGAGAAGAACGTAACAAGGTAAAAATTGAATTGGGTTTCTCTCAAAATAAAATCAACTCATGCACTTTTTAGAAGTTCTTCAATCTAACTTCATGAAAACTGAAGTACATAATTTGATTTTAGCTAGGAAGAAACTCAATTTGTTTTACATTCTTTTCTTACTTTACGTAGAGAAATTTATCTAAACAGATCTTACTCATTGATGGCCTGAAGAAACCGAAATATATTGATGCTCTTTCTCTCATCTAGTAGCTGGAAACAAATCGAGAGAAAGAATCAGTGCAAAGTGAGGTAAATGCAGCAGAGAAAAGAATATAAAGTAAGGAAATAAAATTCATATTTCAGCTATGAGGCAGAAAGAGGGGAGGAACTAAATTAGCTTAGCACATACTTTTCTGCAAGCTTGAACTATCTCTGATTCTGGAAATTCAGCATCACCACGAACTTCCTGTTAAAGTTGGCCAGGAACACTTGTAACAAACTAAATAAACGAGGAAATACAAGAGAGCTAAGATCCTTGCATTACCATACCTTACTGAAGTATCGCTGGAGTAAACACTCTTTTAACACGCCACAAACACCATAGAAATACAGCAAATTACACATCACCTAAACATAGAAACAGTCTCAGTTTAGCAAAGTTATCAAAGCAGAGAAATCGTGAATGCATAGTCTGCAGGCATTCTAAAGGAACCTTGTTATAAAACCATTCTGTCCAAGAAGGAGCTTTGCATAAGGGAGATACAAGTATTAAACCAACAACACGCTCCCTATATTTTGTCTGCATCGAAATAGGTGTAACAAAAAGAATAAGATTGACTTTGTATTAAAGAGATTATGCACAATTTTTAAATAAAAAAGCTACTAAGAAATGGTTAAACAGCCCCCGCCTTCTCTTCAAATTCAAATAAGGTACATACAGCAAATAGCGAAAGGATATAAGCACCAGCTGATGCTCCCATACACATCACTGCACCAAGCCTGGACAAGGAAATGTATCACACATTAGATTTTCCAGATACTGTATGTAGTGCTCTCTTGCTCCCTTGCTGTATTGGATGAGTTCTCCAATACATGGAACAGTTTCAAAAAATGAAAGCTAACAATACTAATAAAGCAGAGTAATTATATTGTAGTTACCGAAAATAGTTGAGAACCTCAATTATTTGATCTACTAAGTCTTCAGCAGAAGGGATTGGATCGTCGGGACAAACTGCAGGAGCTCCCAACTACAAGAACTCTTGTGAATTTCCAGACAAACTATGTGAATAATAATATTCAGTTTTAAATGCAATAACAACTGCATATAAGTAGATAAACTTACAAACCTCATGCCCAGGAGGACTAATATGATATATGCAGAAGTTGTGAAGAAGCAAAGAAGCTGCCTCTGGACAAAAAAATAATCCTTGGAAACATGACATATCTGCCTCAATACATAGAAATAAGACAATGCCTCAGATGAAACATAAACCTATACAATCATTAACATGTCCAGAAAGATCTAAGCAATAAATTTAACAGTAGGAGAAAAAAAATGTGATTCTGGACATTTTAAACGAGAGTAATAGGCCACAAGAAAAATGAAAATGACTCCACTTACAATTTAGTGCTACATCTGGATATGTGATTAAAGCTGGTTTGTTTTGATCCCCGCATACTATAACAGAAACAGAACCACAGCCAGTTCGGATATGATATTCCTAAAATAATATTCTGAAGTAAGTGTATGACAAAAATAAGAAAAAATGTGGGGCAAAGCAGCACAAAAATTTAAGCAAACTTTCTAGTGAAAAAGAACATCCCTGTAAAGCAAAGGATATTCTTTATTTTGTATTTACTCCATCCAAGTAATGAAAAACTTTGTCAAACTTCTCTAAATTATTTATTTCCTAGCATGGCTACCCATGTGCCACTGCTAATTTTTGGATGAGCCCAACAAACAAGCAATAGGCCAATAGCATATTAACACGAGTTCGGAAAAAAAGATAAATGAAATAAGTACTGCCAGATTCCAATCATTGTATGTTAAATAAATAAAACAAGGTAAAGGCAGTGAAATGAGGACAGTATCTTAAAATGTTATATAAAAACCGACTTTACCTAATCCAAATACATAACCGATACGAATACAAAGCACAAAGCAACAGCTAGAATTGGCTCAAGTACAATGATGATCAAAAGGCACAGCTATGATTCTTTTAGACTGTAATGCACTTTGAAAGAACCGATGAGACAGAAAAGCCAAAGCACAAAGGATCCAATTCCTTCAAAGCGATGAACATCATCATATAAATTACAGTTAATAGGAAAAGGAAAAAAGAAGAACCCCTGGCCCCACCTTAAGAATAAAATGACAAGGAAAACAACAAAGTATGTGCAAGAAAATAACAATAAATTTTCCCATATAATCTAAACCTCATCCAATATTGCAAATGCAAAGGTACAATCCATTTCTTCCAAAAATCACTAAATCCATATTTGCACGCGTAGAACAAGTAACGAGCTGTAAGATTAGACAATACTCAATAGCATAAGAAGCCTGATGAAAGCTTAACAGAAATAAGGAAAATTCAATGATAATCCCAGGGGATCAAATATGAAAAAGCTCAATGTAATGAAAGGATGATCACAATTCACAAAACTCTGAGGCATATAATATAGATACACGGAATGTGAAGATCAGCCACCTGACAAGCTAAAATCTCCAGAATCCCAATGGATTGGCGTTGCAAAACATACACGTTCGAAGGAAGATAATAATGAAATGAAATGAAACAAGACAAGGAAAAAAACCACCCCCGTGATGAAATGATCATTTAAAAAATCCCAATTATGCAAAAGTGTTAAGGGTGCTTCAAGAAGAATTCTTCAGCAAAAGGAAGTGTTGTCAAAAGAGAAATTGGAGGAGGGTCATAGAGAAGAAAGTTTAGAACTTGAAAGAGAAAGGCAGAAAAGAAGAAACCTTTCCGCCAAAAAAGATCATCTCCATGTCCACTGAAACGGATTCAGCCATGGGTGTCCTTCCTTGGCTGCAGCTCTGCCCCTGTCTTCTTCTACCAATTTCTTCCTTCTTGTGTTGTTAGCTATGTAATAAATGGGTTATATAATGCTTAGAACATATATAGAAAAAAGGGAGAGAGTACAAGGAAGGAAGCAAAGCGGTTGTTCGGTTGTTTCTCTCTCCTATTTCTCTCTCTCTCTCTCTCTTTCTCTCCCTCCCTCTCCCTTTTGCGTTGAAACATAACATTAAACCTACGGTTAACCACCACCGACGCGTCTATGTGACTCTGGTCAATTTTTAACCGCCAGCCAACCATGTTTTACAATCACTTCTTCATTCTATCCTGGGTAAAGGAACTAAATAAATTATCCTCTTAAATTAACAAAACTAATGTCATAATCTAATTATCACTTTTGCTAATAATTACTGCATTTAAAACAATTTTTTTGTAATTATTTACAAAAGTACTAAATTCGAATATGAAAATCTGATATAGATAATAACTTTACTCATCTCAAAGCTTCTATTTTGCGTGGATGAATTCCGAAAAAACAATTTAATTATGATTTTTTTTATCTTACTTATAAACTAAGTATATGTATTAATTAGAACTCATGAAAATACAAAACTGGGTCTAACTTATTGTTGATTTAGATAATAAGTTTAAACTTGGTAAACACCAAATACTATTTCACTAATGTGTAAAAAATAATTATTGATCTAATAATCATGACATGCTTGATCTTTTGTCGTGCCATTTGTCTTCATTTGAGTAAATTCTTGGTTAACTTGCTTATCATTCCACAAATGTCATAATAATAACCATGGGAAATTATTTTAGAACATTAAGTATGAACTGCCAATGTTTTGTGTAAATTCTTTGTTTCAATCCCTTTTTAAATATTATTATCTCAACCATTGATCAATCTTTTGTCTACTAATTTTTTTCTTATTCTACACAAGCCACATTTTCAAAAGAATCAAATGTTGTTTGTGGTGTTTTTTTATCCACTCTAAATTGTTCTTTTTATTCTTCATCTTCTTAGACTTTAAATTTGGGTGCTACTATTATTAAAATTAAATTATAACAGAAAAGACATTGAAATGAGCATAAAAAAAAGTGCTTTAAAATATTAATAGTTTTTGTGATGAAAGACATTTCATGGTTTTTGTGAATTAATTAATGTGACTACTCAACTACAATGTGACATCCTTACCAAACAATGTTTTTCATTACACGTTTCACTGTCTTTCTCCATCTATATATAATTCATCTTATTATTATAATCTATTAATTAAGCTAACCCTAATTGTGCACATTCCACTGTTCATTGTGAAGCTTGAAATTTCATTAACCCTTTCTCTGGATTGGAGAATGATACATGATGTGAACAGAAGACAAAGATAATAAAAAATAAAATTGTTTGGATAAAAACAATATAAAAAGTGATTTTTATAAAAAATAAAATTAAATAAGTAAAAAAATAATTTATTATATTTATTAATGATGTTATAAAATATTTTTTATTATTCTTTTTGTTAAGGTTCCAACATAAAACCAATTGGCGATATGTGGGACTTTCAACACACCCTCCAACGAAGCTGTCGGATCAGGCAAAGAGTACTTTTGACCCAACTAAAGGACAACTTTTGGCCTATGACAATAACCTAGGAAAGATGTTAGGTTTTGGCTACGATACTATGTTAAGGTTCCAACATAAAACCAATTGACAATATGTGGATTAGCCTAACATGTATTTAAACCATACCAAATGACATGAGGTAGGCGATGTGGGACTTTCAACACTTTTACATTTTTTAATATAAGAAAGAGGAAAAAATACATTTTAAATAAAGTAAAAAAGCTGTATTTATTATATATTAAAAATACAATTTTCGTTGGATTTTTCATTTTTTTCAATTCTCTTATAGGATCCAAACGCTACACAACCCTACTATTTTTTTATGTTCAAAATAAAAGATATTATTATTAGTAAGTGCACAAAAATTGAGTTTGATATATTTAAGTTTTATCTATTTATTTGCTTAACTAAGCAAATAAATTATGGAGAAAAAAATAGTCAGGAAGAGTAAATAAATGAATGTAATTGAAAGAAAATTTTATTAATTGATGTTTTATATAATTAAGAAATAAGAGAAACATTAATAATCTAAACTTAACTATGGTATATTATTACTTTTCATTATTACTGTTGTAAGACTATTAAGGCATATATATATAAATGAAAAAAAAATGCTAAAAAATGAGGATGAAAATGGGGAGAATGACTTGGTCCGAGTTGGAGGCTGATGGTTGGGTGTCCGAAACATACATAAGTCCCACGTCGATTCTTCTTCTTCATATTCCTCTTCTTCATATTCAACTCTACTACGCAATTCAACCATTCACTAATTTTTGAAAAAATGGCGAAGGAAAAGAGGCATGACCCACAAGATGGGAACAAGGGTACGCTCGATTTCATGCCCCTTTTCGCCAAGGAGTTGCTCGCCGGCGGCCTCGCCGGTGGCTTCGCCAAGACCGTCGTCGCTCCTCTCGAGCGTGTGAAGATTCTCTTTCAGGTCCCTCAAATATTCTTACCTTACTTCATGGATTGTACTATCCCTCGCTTTTATTCCTTTTCTTTTCATCTTCAAGAATCAAATGTACTACTCACAACACATATGTATAGTAATTAGTGTTAAGTATTCCTTACTGTAAAATTCATCAACAGCTTATTTAATTTGCGTGCTTCGGATGTGACCTATTTCTAGTCAAATTTGATTCTGTCTTTTTCAACTATCTTCTTCCTCTCAGAGGTTCTCACGTTTGTTCATTTCTCATGTCTTGTGTTTTCTTTTTTTATTGCAGACGCGGAGGACTGAGTTTCAGAGCACAGGACTGATAGGATCAGCTGTCAGAATTGCCAAAACGGAAGGCCTTCTGGGTTTTTACAAGTAGATTCTCAATCCAAACTCATAGTTAAGGTTTTCCAAACGGGGAATGATTAGATAAAGTTCTTTGTGGCTCCAATGTGGTAGCATTAGCCATATTTGTCCGTGATTTCTGACATTATTAAGAATTGCTATGTAACTGTGATCATGATCATAACTGCAGTTTATAACATTTTTTTCCACCTCATAATTCAATTAACCATCCTAATTTATTTGCAGAGGAAATGGAGCGAGTGTTGCAAGGATTATTCCTTACGCTGCTATTCACTATATGTCTTACGAGGAATACCGCAGATGGATTGGAAAAACTTTTCCTGATGTTTGGAAAGGTCCTACCCTTGACCTTGTGGCAGGGTCACTCTCTGGAGGGACAGCTGTACTTTTTACTTATCCACTTGATTTGACTCGAACCAAGTTAGCTTATCAGGTAAAGTATATTAATTGTCATCTATTTTTTGGGAGGTTAGGAGCTGGTAAAAACCGTTTTACGCATTAATTTATTTGCATTTGAAACTGCAGATTGTTAGTCCAACAAAGTCGAGTGCTTTGGGGATGGTTAATAATGAACAAGCTTACAGAGGGATCATTGATTGTCTTACAAGGACTTATAGAGAGGGTGGCACTAGGGGTCTCTATCGTGGAGTGGGTAAGACTTTGAATCACCTTAGATCTGATTCTAGTATTTTGTATCGTACATTACTGTTGCATTTGTAATGCAAACCTCTTAATTTTGTTCATGGCAACAGCTCCAACTCTCGTTGGAATATTCCCATACGCGGGTTTGAAATTCTACTTCTATGAGGAAATGAAGCGGCATGTCCCTGAGGAGTACAATAAAAGCATCATGGCCAAACTCACGTGTGGATCTGTAGCAGGGTTATTGGGTCAGACCTTCACATATCCTCTTGAAGTTGTTAGGAGGCAAATGCAGGTAATTTACGTCTTCCGATCACCCAGGTAATAAATTGGTAGAGAGCAAATCAAACAACATGGTACAATTATCTTACAAACATCTGGCCAGGTTCAAAAACTCCAGCCATCTGATAATGCCGAATTGAAGGGGACTCTGAAATCTATTGTTTTGATTGCCCAAAAGCAAGGCTGGAAGCAGCTGTTTTCAGGGCTGAGCATCAATTACATAAAGGTGATACAAATAATTAACTCCATAAAAGTAACATACACGCTCTAAAATCATTCTGTACAGCTAATTGTTGATTTTGGTAATTCAGGTTGTTCCATCTGCGGCCATCAGCTTTACAGTTTATGATACTATTAAATTATACCTGAGAGTTCCATCAAGAGAAAAAGCTGCAGTTGAAAATTGAAATGGTAACCAACAAAAGAATCACCAGGCCATCCTCGCATAGGCTTCAAAATGGCTTCTTGGTCTAGGTCAATTTGACTGTTATTCATTCACAATTGTAGAAACATTGCATTCTTTCAAGTTGTACAGCGAGGTGGAGCTTATATTCCACCTTGAAATAGGATACAACATATACTTTTGTTCACCTTACCAAGGAATGATCCCTTGACTGGGTTTCATTCATTTCTTCAGTCAAGGAAACACCAGGTTTAGATAGGAAAACCATGTACTTATAAATAAAAGATAAAGTCACCATTTTGAATGTGAAAATGTTGTTGATATCTAACATCTAATCACTGCATTTGGTTTATTCTAAGCAGTCGCCATAATTCTATTACCTTCCAGTTTCCGTGGTATATTGTTCTCAACTTAATACGTCATGATACATACGATATCTACAAATTACTTAGGACAGAAAATGGCTTGTATATATTAGTCAGGATTTAACATCACAATATACAGTAGGAAGGAAAGACTAATCTTGAGAGTGTTGCTACTTAAATTTTAGGGAGGACAAAGCAAACTCTTCATATTCCATATATAGGATTACATGCTATCTAAATTCTAGGCTACTAAAAATACATTTCTAAGAACGCTTTATAGCATATTGAGCCAACATAAAAAAAAAATGCAGAGTACCATTTATTTGTTAGATGGAAATTTAACTTACTGCCAGCCACTTGGTGAGTGTTTGGACACACATCCAATACTCCCGACTAGCAATAAATGTCGTCCATACATTTATGCAGAAGCAACAGTCTGAGGCTCAGGCTTCCGCGTCAAGTCTGTGTAGACATGTAATCAAACATGCAGTTGACCTTCACTAACAATCACGTAGCAGAGAAAGAAAGAGAGGCACTACACAGGTCAATTCATTGATGGAACAAAATTTTCTTTGATCTGCTTGACTATGGATTTGAACCTTACATTTTTGTCAGCAAATATGAAACAATCTAGCAGTACAGCATCAATAGTATGTCCAGTTGAGCACTTTTACCAACGCTACCAATAATCTCCACAGGAGCATTTTCCATCTTTAAAATGATGGAATCGCTTGTTATCCCTAACAATTAGCTCCCTTCCAACAATCTTGGACATAATTTTGATTGCATTGTGGCAGTCCCCACAGATACGTAGGTTCTTGATAATTCTAAGTGTAGTCCTCGGGGGTGTACTGATGAGACCATAAGCAATTGCCAAACGTTCGCTATGATATTGCAAGGCCTTCTCCTTTTCCTCCTCATCAATGTCATGGAGGACATATCTTGTATCCGGCACATAACCCGCTTCCCTCATCTGCCCACTCAAACCTCCCAACTTCTCATGAGAGTCTTCTTTATACGGAATAGAATACCGATACTCAGCCACCCTATTCTTCTCCTCGAGCATGTTAATATCACATTGCTCCTTTCTTCGAGGCGTGGGAAGTTTATCAGCAATGGCTTTTGAAGGATCAAGGTGCGTTAACAACTCCTCCGCACGATCTTCAAGTTCTAAATCTCCATGTATGCGTGCAAAATTTCGAAGAGACTCCCAAGCCTCAACTCCAAGCCCAATTGGTATCTTCTCAATGAACTCCTCAGCTTCATTCAATCGACCAGCATTCCCCAGAATGCTAATAACCTCCAAGTAATGCTCGATGCTAGGAACAATTCCATTCTCCTTCATGGACTCTAAGTGTAAAAGCCCTTCTTCCACAGCTTCTGCCTGTGCACATGCAGCCAAAACCAATTCAAAAGTTTCCCCATCAAATGCGACTCCTACTTTCTTCATCTGCTGAAAAGCCAATAAACCATCACACCCTAAACCATTGGCCGTGAACCCACCAATCATCAAATGCCACGAAGCGGTATTTCTCTCCTGCATTTGATCAAACACTCGACGTGCATCCTTCACACTGCCACATTTGCTGTACATTCCAATCAATCTGTTGTTCAATTCAACGTCCCCGCGAAAGGTCGATCTTCTCAGGAATTCATGGACCCTTTTCCCCGATTCAAGCGACCTTGTATGTTCACACAAATTCAAGAGTGCAAGATAAACGCGGTAATCAGCAGCAGCACCTTGACCCATGAGTTCCAGTACTTGATCGTGCTTACCCTCTTCACACAGGGCCACCAAGTCCACATTCAAAAGAAATGGGTCGTTTTGGTTTTGGCGATCGAGCTTCAATTTGGGTACATTGGGATGGTTCCCCTTACGCAAAGGAGGGGTTTTGTGCATGGAACGACTGGTGTTGGTGCCGTTTTGGCGCCTGCTGGCATCAGGAACCGCGTAGGCGCAGATAGGAACAGTGGAAGAGGAATGCGTGAACACGATGGAGTTTGCTGCGCGTGGAATGGATCCCACAGAAGCCATGGATGCGTGGAGTTTGAGCTCCATGCTTTCTGGTTGTGTTAAAGCTATCGCAAAACAAAATATCTGCTTTCTCCCCGACACCACCAACTGTTGTTAAAAAATAAACAAATTCAAATCACAATTTTGTTTTTGGGATAAAATTCAAGATAAACTTGGCAAAAAAAAAAAATTCAATTTAAATTACGTTGTTCACCATTCATATTAAAGCGGTCAAAATTACATATTTGTCGTGTTACAGGACACCTGTAATGATTTTTTATTTTTTATTTTTATAGTAAACTGTTCAATTATACATGTTAAAACTTTTTTAATCATTGTAAGAAGTTACGTCAATTCTTAAGAAATTCACATCATTTGTATTTTTAAATCTAAATAATTTTTAATAAATTTTAAAAAGTTACAAGATAAATTTATGTATAATTACATAGTTCACTTTCATGTACAAATAACTTCCGTTGTATATCTTATAAGAAAAAGTTATTAGGATTTAATAATTTACAGTATTTTAATAATTGATATTTTTTTTATAAAATATTATACTATATTTAAATTAATGATAAATAAGAAATCATAATGAATGGAAAGACAATACAGCACAATAAAATGAAATGACCAAATGATTTTATAAATAATAAAATCAAACAAATACTCCATGGATTGAAAACAAAAGACAGAGAATTATATTTCTTTATTTTTAATTTAATTTAGATTAAATTAAACAAAAAATTATCAGAATAATAGTACTAATTTGTTGGAATTATCATTTAGAAAAATAAAACATCTTGTTAATGCTATAAAGTTCTCGTTCGATTCACAATATTATCTTATAAGTTACCAACTTTTTATAACTCTAATATTTCTTTATATTAACCGCTCTCTTTAAACTTAGGTTTTCACTCATAATCCTCTATGTTCAGATATTATTTAATAACAGATACGATTTTAGATGAATTTTCACCTCTAAAATAAGAGGAAACTTGTCATGTCCGACCTATAAACTTGATCGCGCCGCGAAATGAATTATTTGGACATTACAACACTTATTTCCTTATACAAGAAATTGATACATGTCAAATTATACAATTAAAAGCGCTGAAACTAATATAATGCAAAACAAAAAGAAATTACACTAGCCAAATGCCAAACACAAAATAAATAAGAGAATAAAATGGGTGTTTTTTAGTTTGGCTAAAGTATGATAAACTTAGAAATTGAAACTGGGATTATTATTGTAAGTAACATAGAAAGTATAAAGGCAGGCACAAATCAACTTAATGGTTCAAATCTCTGTTTGAATATTTGTAATATTTAGTGCTTAAAAAAAAAGCAACAATATCTTCTATTGGCATAGGGAAGAAAAATTGAGAAACCACTTACACTCAGAATTACAAGTATCATGCAGTTGATGGCATAATAAGCACATTTTCTAACCATAATAATTAGAGAATTGGTATTCCCTACGATGATAAACAATCATTACTCCTACAATACAACAACAATGGGAAACAATTACTCTTACATAGAAGTGAAATTCCCCCTACAAACATATTTCATCCTTCCAGCATTTGACCTATGCATTTTGTGATGCAACCATTTTTTATTACCAACAACTGGTGGGTTTCCTTTTGAATAGAGATCAGCTGTGAAGTTATGAAACTCCAAGTCTCGCACCTTAACCTATCATCAAGCAGCAACATTCTCTGTCTAAGCTTCAAGTAATACATTTCGGGGTTTAAGCACGGCACTTGTTATGCAGAAATTATGCAGTGCCAGTTATTTCTGATTTACATGAAAAGATGCACGAGTTCTCCTCCCTTTGTGCTCATGGCACCTTTTTCTTCCTTTAACTGCTTGCCTTGTACAGGTAGAGCCATCATTTAAGATGATTCCACATATATTTGTGTTTGATATACTCTCAACAGCAGGACTACCTACCAGTGTTTGTAGAGGATCTTCTACATCATAGCTGACATTTTGGTATCTGTATCCATTGCCCTTTTTTTTAATAGATGCACCTATTCTCCTCCCTTTGTGCTCATGGCACCTTTTCCTTCCTTTAACTGGTTGCCTTCTACAGGTGAAGCCTTCATTTAAGATGATTCCACATATATTGGTGTTCGTCAGACTTTCATCAACAGGACTACCAATCACTGTTTGTGGAGGGTCTTCATGGCTGTCATTTTGGTATCTGTATTCATTTCCCTTTGTTTGACAACACACATCGGGTTCCAATACCACATTGTTCTCTGACTTGGGTACCGTGATTGGTTCGGCAATGGAAGCATTAGCTCTCATTCCTTTGTGTTCAGGACATCTCAATCTTTTCTCAGCTGGTGGCCTTCTACAAATTAAACCATCACCCAATGCCACTCCACAAATTTTAGCATTCTCCTGTTCCTGAGTAACATCAGTGATACTTTGAACTATCCTGGGACGTGATCTGTTAAAACTGAATACTCGAGATAGGAAATTATGGTTTCCATTGTCTGCTTCATCTAACTTGTGATCTGCCTGAGGTAGCTTGCTTGATTTAATTCGTATACCCACTTGCTTCTGAGTGAATGGTAGTAGCGCTCTGGTCACATCTGAAAGTGTTATAGAGCCGGAAGCAATTTTTTGAAGCTTTTGAAGAATTTCTTCAGGCCTCCGGATACCATTATTGCTTGTGTTCCATGCATAATCAAATGTACTAAGCAGCTGAGATTCTGTTCGCAGGGCATCTTCCTTGTTTTGCATCTGACAACAAAAAATGTATGGTTTGCTCATGAAAATTTGCATTTCCTATTCTGTAAGATTCAAATGCGCATTTTTTCAATCTTGTGAGCAAAATTTCACAGAATGATACAATCAATCCACATCAAGTGTATCATTTTGACAGTATTTCCCAAATAAGAATTCTCATCACTTCATCATATATTAAGCTTAGACATAATTAGGACTTCTCATAATAAACCCCATTTTTCCAATTGTGCTTTGGTCCACTCATGCAGATAAATCATGCCGGCATAATAATGAGCACTACATATCTGTAATTTTTAACTATAGAAATTGGTATCCAATTACAAATAAATTCTTACTTTAAGCCATACTACTCTTAAGATGTCATAAAGTATGCGCTTACAAAATTGATTTTAAAATGATGTGATTTATGTTTGAATGTTTAATTCTAAAAACAAGTTACCAGTAAAACTCGGTATGAAATTTGACCCAACATAAAACCAACTAAAGTGGTTTCAACTCAAAATCAAGATTGAAACATTGAACAATTCCTCAATGTACAATCAAAGATGAGAACAGTTACCTAAATTAATGTATTGGTATTCAAAGTGATTCTAGATCACCTAACGTGAATCCAAACACTCTAATAAGGACCGGTGTGAATTAGGCATAAGATGTTGAAGGCAACAGTGATCTAGCTTTGAGGACAGTAACACATCAAGCCATGTTCATTGGAAAGCATCTTGATTTTATAAACTAAACGAAAAAAGCACATGAGATGTGTGATATGTACTTACAGGAGCCCATCTATAAACGATTGAGAATCCTTGTGAAAACACCTCTTGAAACAAGGGGCGCCCCTTTTGGAGAGAAGAATCATCAGAACAGCCACTGTCCAAGTGAGCTCCAGTTCTGCCATATCTCTGGAGTCTTGTTCTCACATTGTCAGCTTGTCCAAGGTAAACCACTACTATGCGGTCAGGATGACGACCAAGCTTGGAAATTTGACGCCCCAAACCACCACTAGACACAGCAATTCCAAGCTCATACACGCCTGGACTTGATTCTTGTGGGAGATTATGAATCCTGTATCTTGCACACCCTTCCTTACCTTTGGAATGGTCTTCCCAATCAGAAGGGCCAATCAGAATCTGAAACCAAAGCCAAAGCAGTTTGTAACATCCACACCACATTTCAATCCCACAACAACATCGTCAAATCAAACAGTTATTAACTGTCACCTCCACTTCTAATCTGTGTGTAAAGTAAAAAACTTTCAGAAATGCCCCTCGGAAGTAGTGGATTTTGTTAACACATGAAAGAAACAAAATCACAGATTCACATGATTAAGAAGCATTAACATGAGACATAATAAATAGAGCAAAGACCAAATTGAAACCTTCCAACGGGAGAAGCTTGAATCGTGTTTTGTGCGGTTGCATTGTTCCCTCTTCAACCTGGTGATGGCCAACGTCACCATCACTGAGTAGAGCGTGGATGAGTTATGGCGTTGATAAAAGCTGGTTGCTTGCTTCTTCCATTTAAAGCTCCCAACTCCAATGTTTGTTTGCACTATTTCATTGACCAAAATACCCTTTCCTATTATATTTCTACCCTTTCCATCTTTCAAACAACACGGTGACGTGTCACCGTTATTTATTATTGTTATTATTCTGAAATAATATTTAATTAATATACTTCTTATAAAAATTAATACATTTATTTTAAGTATTAAATATTAAAATATTTTTTGACCAATAGCTATTTTTTTATTGTTATAATATATTCAAAGTATTTAACAATGACTAGTATTTAATAAATATACTTTTTATTGGTATAAATTTAAATTTATGGCATCATGAAAATTTTAATTCATTATTTTCAAAAATTTGTCTTTTTATATAGATTAGGTCTTTTTTTATATATAAAATAAAAATATTAAGTTTATTTAAAGAGATAAAGCTAAACATGTAATGGTGGTTTCAACGGACATTTCCACCTGAATGTTTTTTTTTTGGGGGGTCAATGAGAAGAGAAATTTATAATTTTGAGAAACATAAAAAAAAATTAATTACTAAAAAATATAATATAAAATTTAATTAATAAGGATAATTGGATTTTATTTAATGCATAAAAATACTCTCAATCTTATGGTATACTCTTTTATTGACTGACTGTTTGTTCTTGTTGAATTAATAACAATAAATCATATTTTAAAGGTAAATATTGGGAATAAATGAGGTAAAATCGGAAATAAATATTCATTTTAATCCTTCATATATTATATGTATAAGCAATTTTGACCTTTCTCTTCATTAAAATTTTACTTTAGTTCTCAACTTAATTTAAGGGACATTCTCATATAAAAGAAGGAAGAATAAATATTAAAAAAATGGAAACTTTAACTACAAGGAACTTTTTCTTTTTTTAACTATTTGCACCCTTTTAAATGAAATCTAATTGTCACTCTCTCAATAAATTTCATATAAATTAACTATAATATAAACCCACGTTATACAGGGATTTGGCTGTAATTATTAGTTATTGGCATGGTAATTAAGTTGAAATGAGGGGAAAAAATGGTTTTAGAAAGAAAGGTTTGTGTGAAGTCAGTAAGAAAGAAAGGTTTTGGCGGAAGTGGGGATGGGGTAGGGTTGGGTTTCTCCACCCTCGCCTCCTTCCCATTTCACATTATTTATATAAAAAAAAATTATCCTTATAATAAAATAATTTTCATATTTTTAATATATTTTTTATATAAAAATAAATTTTTATAATTTTATAAAATTTAATTATTATTATTATTAATTAAACATATATTTTAATTTATTATATTATATTAAAATATATATGTAAAAAAATAAAAATAAAAGAGAAGAAAAAATAATTTTATATTTTTAAATTAATTGAAAATATTAGAAACACTATATTGATTAAAAAATTGTGAAGAAGGAAAAAATAAGAAAGAAAAATAATATAATTAACTAATTTAATAAGAAATAAAAAAAATAAAATGTAAAAAATGGATAGAAAAAAATTACATTATATATAATATAAGAAAGAAAATGAAATATTTTAAAAATATTAAAATTTTAATATTTAAATTTAAATATATGAATGAGACAAATACGTGAAATAGGTGGTGAGGATTATATTATCATTTTCACCCTGTTTCCATTCTAACTTTTTAAATTCTAACTTTTTAAAGTGGAAAAAACTTCAACCATTGACATTATTTGTTAACTCAATTTATTTCCTAACTTTTTTAAGTAAAAAAACTTGAACTCTTCCTACTTTTAGTTAACTCAATTTATTTCCATTAAATTTGAGAAAGGACGAATCAATCTTACCTACATAAGTTTAATTATAATCTCTTTAAGTTATAAATGTGTAATAATTATTTTAAAAAAATAATATAAAATTGTATCAAATAAAAAATATTATATAATTTTTTTTATAATGATTTAAAATTTTAATATAAAAAATGTTATTTATTATTATATAAATTTATTTTAATTTGATTGTTGTAAATTTTAATTTTTTAACTTGTCAATTTATATTAGTAATTTAAAATATATATGTTAATTTTTTTAAAATAATTATGCCGGTCTGGATCATCGATTATTTTTATAAAAAATGAACTAAAATCTAAAATCTGTATTAGTAATTATAACGGGTAGGACTACAAAAGAGGCCCACAACGAGTGCCACTTCAAATGGGGGAGAGAAGTGGGGAGTGAAGAAGAGATGTAGTAGGAGTGAGAGTGGTGCGGTGAGGTGACGCTGAACACCAAACCAAGAGCAAGATGTCGTCGTCGTTCCTCAAACAAGGCAATCTCTGCTCCCGCTTTTCCCTTTCTTCTGCGCTCCAAATCCCACGTTTGCGCCATCTCCTTCACTTCTTCTTCTCTCGTACGTTCCCTATTCATTCAAATATCTTTCTACTTCGTCAAATTTCTCTCTCTCTGTTTGTTCTTTGACTGTGAGTTGTTTGTGCGAGCTGGTAGATGTTGCAGAGGGGGAGCAGGTTGACACTTCCACACCTGCAAAATCAGGTTTTGTACACCCTACTGCTGTTGTTCACCCCGATGCCCTCATCGGCCAGGTAATTCTTCCTTACTCTTTCTCTCTTTCTAACCCACTCCTGCCTGTCTTTTCTTATTCTCTGTCTTCTCCTTTTCTTGGTTTAACCAGAGTTTGCTCCTTTTCTTCTAAATTGCTATTGGGTAGTTGAAATGTTTTTCATTAAGAATTGGCTGTGATGCCAACTGAGAAGTGAAAACATAGGTGTCAATTTGTTGCCAGTGAAGGTCTTAGAAAGGGGGGTGTATTACACTATTTTTTATTTATTTTATATATTATGCAATGTTAAGATGCAATCTTCACATAAATATCAATGCAAATTGTCAAGTGGACCTAATAACAATGTTGCACATTCATCAACCATCTATTCACTTCTTAATGTCTCCTGCTATCATGCTTAGGGTGTTTCGATTGGTCCCTTTTGTTCTGTTAGCTCCTCTGCAAAGCTGGGAAATGGTTGTCAACTATATCCTGGAAGCCATGTTTCTGGAAGTACAGAGTTAGGGGACAATTGCACGTTGATGACGTGAGTTCAGTGTTCAGACTTAAGAGCACCGTTTTACATAATTTTTTTGGTCTGCTGAATAGAATTTTTTGTACTATTATATGATAGTGGTGCTGTGGTTGGTGATGATTATCCTGGATGTACCGTCATTGGAAGCAATAACACAATAGGATATCATGCTGTAATTGGTGTCAAATGTCAAGACATGAAATACAAGGTATGCTTCACATCAACTGGTGGAGGTTTTTATTTTTTTAATATCATGTTTTTTGCGTTGGCATTGCTAACTCTGTTGTCAACATACACAGTTATTCCATAGAATCTGATTAATGAATGAAGAATCATGCTGTCATTGTTTATTGTATTATAGATATTATGAGTATTGACATTTCTATTTTTTTCTTTGTTCTTATCTTCCTTGAGTTGCATTCTAATTGATTAGTTTTTCAACCCATGCTTCGTTGACTGGTTTTCAAACATCAAATATTTTACTGTAAATTTTTTCTTCACAAAGATGCTTTCTAACAAAGCAGATTAATTTAATTTTTATTTCTTCCAACTCAAATGAGCAATCTTATTCCATCATCACAGTTTGTTTTTATTCTGGCTGGACACAATAATTAAGCTTAAGATGTTGGAGAAAGCATATGAATGGTATTAATTAATACATTGTTTTTTACTAGCAGCAGTCTTTATTATGTTTCCTTTTCGTTACTATTTACTGGTGTACTCCATTTCTCTGTGGGTGCAATTTTATGAGAGTTGTCAAAATATCTATTTATTCAGAAAAGTTATGTCATTCATGTTTGGGTTGTTTTGGGAAAAATATAAGCTCTTTAATGCGCTTATCATGCAGCCAGAGGATGAATGTTTCCTGGAAGTTGGAGACAATAATGATATTAGGGAACATACTTCAATCCACCGATCTTCAAAATCAACTGATAGGACGGTAAGAAGTTGGCTTCAGTAATCTCTTTACAGAAGAAAAACCTCAGAAATTTTCAGACACATTAAAGCACATGTACCTTTTTATACTCACCATGATCAAATGATCAGGTTATTGGTAATGACAATTTTATAATGGGGTCATGTCACATAGCCCATGATTGCAAGATTGGTAGCAACAATATTTTTGCTAACAGCACTCTTCTAGCTGGGCATGTCGAAGTGGAAGTAAGTCTCTATAACCTAAATCGCTTTTTTATGATAAATTCTGCTTTGTTATTTTTCTTATGTTTTAAGCATGGAATTTAGATCATTGACAAAAATTCTTCGTAATTAGGACTATGTTCACACTGCAGGAGCAACTGTTGTGCATCAATTCTGTCGTATTGGCTCTTTCTCTTTTCTTGGTGGAGGTTCAGTGGTAGGTTTTTCTTTTCTTCTCAGTCTTGAATTAGTCTGTTTTGTAACAAGAGATAAGATTTTTCCGCAATCATGCAAGATTTTTAATATTATGGAATTGATATTATCATGCTAATATTTTTTGTTAAATTGGTAATGTAAAATAGACTCTTGTGAGTTTACGTCACAAGTTGAGAAAGTAGAATTCCCACAAGTCTATATAGACTTTTGAGTTTGATAACTTGACACCAGTTACTTGGCTTCATAGTGATGTTTAAACTAGATAAAGTGGCTTTACTTTGAAAGTCTGTCTACCATAAGATTGTTTCATATCCTTTAGACTTATATAATTTGATAGAACTAAAAATTATATGAGGAAAATCAAAGATATTTCTAGTATCAACTGAAAATAAAGAGATATACGGAATGATATCCGTTCTAAACAGATAAGTACCCAGAACCTTTGTTCTCAGCCCTAGCTTAGAGCCAAGAGTTGACTAAACTCCCCCTCTTACTCCTCACTTGATAACACCTGCTTGTCCATAACTCCTTTCTGCATGATTAACTTGCCATGTTACCGAGTTCTTTAAGCCTTTCTCCATACTTCCCTTATTGTTTTTCTATTATAAACCTTAAGATTGTGGCCATTTACCAGCTATGTAAATAACAGTACTTTTATACAAGTGGTCTTTTCTTGACTTTGGCATTCAGTAATAACAAAGATAGCCTTATTGAAGAACTTGCTAAACAAATACCTTTTTACCATACCAAATTAATTTAAAACTACTCAGGTATGCAACTACAATGTCATGTTTCATAAATGAAGGTTACACAAGATGTCCCAAAGTACATGATGGTAGCAGGAGAAAGAGCTGAGCTTCGTGGTCTAAATTTAGTGGGCCTTACACGATGTGGATTCAGCAATGCAGAGGTTTATCAGTTTTGAAACCTAGTTGTCTTCAACTATATTTTGATCACCACTGAACAAATTTGTTGGGTAATGTTTCAGATCAGAAACCTGAGAACAGCTTATCGAAAAATATTCATGTCCGTTGATGCAAATGTTGGGTCTTTAGAAGAAAGGATGGCAGAAGTGGTAATATTTGTGTTTATGTATTTCTTTGAGGGAGTTGGTGTTGTGCTGGTGTCTTCCATAGGGTTCATTTCTCATGGTAAACTTATTCTGCAGGAGCTACATGGTGAATTGGTTCACGTTCCTGCTGTCCGTGCTATGTTGCAGTCCATTCGCAACTCATTTGCAGAAAATCGTCGTGGAATATGCAAGTTTAGACACTGGAATGTCTCGAAGCTTGCTGAGGTTGCTTAATTTTTTTTTTTCGCCTTTTAGCATTAATTTAAAAATAAGAAACGGTAGTAAATGGATAATTGGTTCAAGTTATATGTAAGTAAGCGTTACGCTCTCACCAAGACGCCTACGGGAGACGGTTTACAGTGAAGTTTGTTTACGATGGAGTGATTCTTTTCATTGTTATACTTTTTTTTACGTACTTTTCTCATTGTTATATCCTATGTAAGATATTTGTATTGGTACTGAATTTTATACTGAATCATGGAATCTGTACCATCGACTCATTCTACACATAATAGCCTCATTTAGCGTGAATTGTCACTTTTGTCTCCATCAAGTCCACCTTGAAATGCATGAAGTTTCACGGTAGCTGATCTCTCTGTACAATTAATTAACTGTCAAATTGCAACAGAAAAATAAATAGAATTGCAAAACTAGCAGAAATATATCAACAATGGATTGTGCCAAAAATCTTAAAAAAAGACTGAATATTCTATACATCATTCCCAACAAATATCTACTTTATCGATTAGTGGGAAATGATCTGTAACTGCACACGGATGGATGCAAAATCTAAACATGACGTCTCAGTAACATTTGTAAAGAACGTCAACGCTGTGTTAAATGTGCTCTCTGATAGTAACAGGTACACTAACAGCACAAAAGGTATTTTCCGGTTGTGTATATTTGCTCTCTACCGATGGTCAACCACACCTGGAATGGACATAAACTACTGAACCAGCTTAACAATATAACAATGATGCACATGACACCTTCACAGGTAACCAAAACAAAGAAGGAACCCGTCAAAGGATTTACTCAGCATTTTTACAAAAAATGGTAAAACTGGGGACAATAGGTAATTATAGCATGTGCAATGAAGATCTTGCATGAGAAAAGAGAATATTCTAGGATTTATGGAAGGAAATCACGGTATGAAGGTCGCACTGAATCTACCCGAACTTCGGTTGATGCTCAATAATATTCTACAGACATTTAAATGTCATGTTGGAATTCGATTAAAATTTACAATGACAATAAAATTATGCACCTATCGCAACTTTTTTGCGCGCTTAGAGGGTCGTGCTGTCTCCTTTTTTGATTCCTCTGGAGTTTTTAAGTCGATAAATGGCTGAAACAATGAGACATAGGCAAAGAATAATCAATTAAATTGTAGCACAATATAACCTACTCGAACTTCATATTTATATTTTAGTACTTTAAACACAAGACTGTTACTTAATAATGCGAATGACAATAAACCATATCATTGACTTTGAACTTTGAAAGTAAAAACGAGCACATTTCTATACTCTAGGAATGAAAATACATGGGGGTATTCATAATCATACAAGAATAGCATTGAAATCTGCACAGCCATCTAGAATTCATTTTAAAAGGATAAAAAAATGTCACCATTGATTAACTAAGAAGTAGTGATGGATATTATTTTGGGGGAGTCGGGGAGGACCATCAACTATCTGGTCCTGTTAGCATGTCTCCAAGATTGAATCAGTTCTAATGATTTGAAGGAGCATTGAACTACGTACTTGGCCTCTCTCAAGTGTGGGATACACTTTAGAAGAGATAATAAATAGTGAAACCATTCACTAAAATATTAAGGCAGTCTTAACAATTTTCCAATCAACAACTACGCCCTGTTTAGATAAACTTCAAAAATAAGAAGGTAAACTACAATTGAGAGGTTTTGGAGAAACTCATACATTCCCCCAAAGTTAAAATCAACCTATTCAGCTTACCTATTGGAGAAAACTAGATGAGAAGAACTTGTATAAAAACTCAGTGTACAAGTAAGTTTTAATTATACGACAAAGTCAATTTATTTTACTTTCTTGTTTTAAACATAAGTTTATTCAATAACCCAAATCTAAAAGCTTCTACGAGTTTATTCTCGGAGTAATGCTAAACTAACAGTCACAACTCGGTTTCTGTTTGTTCAAAAATATACGACCCACTCGAGGTAATTTGATTAGTCTAGGCAATGTGTACCAAGCATTACCCTATTTCTTATACCACTAAAATGCCAACAATTTACAAGGCTCTAAAATTAATCAAAGAAATATGATAGGTAGTAGTATAGAAAAAGTTTGCATTTCACCTCTTCCCATTTTGTTTGAAGTTCCAAAAGCTCTTGACAATAAGAAAGGCATTCGGCATGATATACCGCAGCTAGGTCTTTGATCAAGGCCTTCCTCTTGATGATACCGACCACTACAACAGTAATTGAAATGCGAGAAAAAAAAAAACTCATTAATCAACTAGAACTCACAATTTTAATGTCAATTGCAGGATATATCCATAATCACAAATGCACCTCTGATGCTTCAAATCGAAGCCCTAAACTCAAAATTTCAATATGCGAGAAGATAGAGAAAAAGAAAACAGAAATCAGAAGAACATGTGTCGGTGTGAGATAGAGAGATACTCCGACTAGGATCAAAAGGTAACGGAGGATCGGAAGCTTGTCCAGGTTTCGGTTCTTCTGCCATAGCTTCCTGCTGCAGGCAGTTTCTTTCAACAGCAACCGTAATTCATATAGACTGGGCTCATTCTCTTGGGCTAACAAATGGGCCTTCGCAAACGTCCAATCTTTCTTTTTCCCTGCCTGTTTCTTCCTGCCGTCCTAATTTTTAATTAAAATAAATTTCATTTTATCCTTAAACCTATTTTCATTCCAGATGGGATGTTATCCAATTCTTGACTCTTCCAGAACTCATTTTCAGACCATCTCTCAAATATATTTTTAAATAATTAATCAATGAATTTTAAAAGAATTAATCCAGAATATATTTTTGGATTGAATATTTCAAAAATATTTTCAGATTAACTTTTCCGAAATTCGATTATAAAATACCTCATTTCTAAATTTTTTTCAATCTAAAAATATCTTCCAAAATAATTAATATGAAATATATGTCTTGATTGGATATTTTAAAAATATATTTTAATTAATTGTTTTGAAATTCACTTTTAAAGTTTAAAAAGGCATTCTAAATTGAATAATTTGGATTTCTATATATACTTTAAACTCCATTCTCATGAAATTTTGGAATGAATATTTTATAATAATTAGAAAGCATTAACAAGTTTTAACCTTAGACGCTAAAAACGAATATTTAACGGAGGTGAAAGGACAGTAAAACGAAGATGGAGATGAGGAGATATGAAAGAGTAGATGAGCACAAGAGTGAAGAAGTTTTTTTGAGGAATTCAAACAAAAATTAGGAGAAAGATATTTTCATCATTTTAGATGGGGAATGGGATGCAGGAAGAAGATTTTTTCTTAGTATTCATTTTGTTTTGGGCTACAAAAACCTTGGTTTTGGTCAATCCTATGTGGCATATCTTTCTTATTTCCTTAAGTTTCCTTTTCCCTATTCGCATGCATACGATTTTATCTGTTAAAACAAACACACCTTTTTTTGGTTTCAGTAATTATAATTGTACAATTAAGCTATGATTAGGTGTAATTCAAGGTGTGATTAAATTGAATGATAGTGGCTCATTAGTCATAGGTGATATCAGATAAAAAATAGCAAGATGATTAGAACAAGTAAATAATTTTTTAGTGTCTGACATGCACAACTCCCAGTTTCCCTATCTTTATAATAATAATAATAATTGCTTAATTTGTGTTGCTTTTGACTTGAGGATAGCATGAACTCCAGAAGATACCTCTTACAAAATTAGAAGGCCACTGCGTTAACGAGGAATCAATTGATGAAGAAGTTGCATGATCATTCCCATTTAATAAACACCTGTTATGATGATCCTTGGCGTCCACCAAGTGGTGCCTTTGAATATTCAGAAATGATTCTTAATATAATGTAGCTAACAGTTGAAAATTTAGTGGAGTGAATTATTTCTGCAGAAACAAAGTGCTTATACATTGGACATTAATTAAGAAGAAAATTTATTCAGTCATCTTCTGGATTTTAGTGATGTAATATATCTTTGAGTGGGCAAATTTCTCTGATATAATATGATTGATCATGATAAGAAAATCAAAAGATGTGGAAGATTAATTATCATAATGTGTCATTGTTTAATAGCTTTAATCGATTGCGACTTGCAAACCAACCTAACCCGTTCTTTAACTTTTTTCTACATCCTTTGATTGGTGCTTGGTTTTCCATGATACACAAAGACTAATTCTTTAACTTATTACCAAGTGTTTATAGGTTTGGTAACATGAAAGCTATTAGGAATATTATTATTCTAACAAAAATTACTGTACTTTGACTAAAACTTCATGCACTAACACTCAGCAAGTAAAAGATTGTAAAAGTGCTACCTGTCATTCTAAAAGAGATTGTTCTCGACCAGTTTTTATATTCTAGCAAAGCCAAATTCTGTTCCCATTTTTTATCAGTTTGGTGAAGAAACATGTGGTTGTATTTGTCCCTGATATTCTTCTTGAATACTTGCAAATGAGTTGAGATGTTGCACAGTTATCTCCTGCTTCTGCCATCCATCTGAATCCTTTTATATATGCTTTTGCGTGTTCTGTACCAACACTTTGTGATCCATTTTTCTTGGAAGTGGTTTTTGGCTAAAATAAGAACTCTTGTTTTCAGGTGGAACCTTTTGATAAAATTAAGTTGCTTTTCCAAAAATTACGGTACAATATTATTAACTAAGTTATACTGCTGAAGAAATTGCAAAGGATGTAGTTCTAATTGTATTATTAAACGCACGTAAGCGATATGGTTCGAAATTATATATTCTTAATGATTAATTAAGTTTCCCATGAACATGAACATGAATCTCAGCTGTTAATTATGGCAAGTGTACCTCTGCATGTGCCTTTAAAGCATGATGTGATATGTTAATGGTTTTGCCATGGCTTCTATAACATACCATATCTTCAATTCTCCCTTTTCTTCTTTTTAATTTAGATCAAATAACGTTTGAATTAAAGAGAATTTGTGTTGCAAGTTATGTTGGTTGACATAATATATATATATATATATATATATATATATATATGAGAGAGAGAGAGAGAGAGAGAGAGAGAGAGGGAGATAGAGAGATTCAAATGGAGACACTTGGTATATAAATCAAGTTGACTCAGGAGTTACAACCACCCATGTTACATGGGAAGCTAAAAGGAATGGAAAAGTACATACATGTAGAGTCGAGTATAGGCGCATCACCCATAATCATGTGTGCCGTGTGCAACCCTAAAACACAAGTACTAAAAAATAAGATAAGGTATCTATATCCTCATGGTTTCTTTTGTGTACGAAAGAGGAAAAGAATAAAAGAAAGAAAATTTATGCAAAAGTATTTTTCAGCAATAAACTATGTCCATCCAATTAATTTCTCTAGGTGTGCTTCCAATTTCACAAACCCCACACCTCACTCGTCATCATATATACCACCAAACATATCTGTTATTTCTGCTCTCTTTGTCTCTCTTTCTTTCGGCCTTTCTCTCAAAGGCACACAGAGTTTTGTATTGTGCTGTTCAGGGTGTCAGCCGAGGAGGGGAAAATGGGCAGAAAATGCTCACATTGTGGAAACATAGGTCATAATTCCAGGACCTGCTCATCCTTCAGAGCAACTTTTGTAGGAGTTCGTCTATTTGGGGTTCAACTAGACATATCAAGCTCTTCTGCTCTCACCATGAAGAAAAGCTTCAGCATGGATTCCTTGCCCTTATTATCTTCTCCATCTTCCTCCTTTTCTTCCTCAAGAATCTCCGTTGACGACCATTCTGATAAAACCTCTATTGGATATCGATCAGATTCAGATGGCTTCATTGTTCGAGCACAAGATAGGAAGAAAGGTATGTATATGCTCATCACAGTTCATCCACATTTTCAGATCTATTCGTCCACAAGATAACAACAATATTGGTCAATGGTATTAATGACTTACCACTAATTTTAATTGATTGTCTTGTCTCCTATACATCCCTCCATTATTATGCTTAATTGTTTTTATCTATTTTGTTTGGATACATTCCATCACTCATTTTCTTCATTAAAGTTTGTTTGTTATTGTGGATTTTTATCTCATGAAAGTACCAGCGACTTTCGTCAATTTTTACTGAGAAAAGTCTGATTTTGTCAAAAAGTACTATATATATTTTTTCTTTGTTCTTTCACCATCTTATTATATTTGCCTTTACTGGATATATATAGTAATCTGTGTGCATATATACATATAGGAGTGCCATGGACAGAAGAAGAGCACCGAACATTTCTTGTTGGACTTGAGAAGCTGGGGAAAGGTGATTGGAGGGGTATCTCCAGAAACTATGTGACTACAAGAACCCCAACACAAGTTGCTAGCCATGCCCAGAAGTACTTTATTCGGCTTGCAACCTTGAATAAGAAAAAGAGACGTTCAAGTCTTTTTGACTTGGTATACATGATCTCCTCAATTATCTGATCTTTTACATATATTATAAACTTAATTTAGCATACAATGAAAAATATATACATCTTTAAAATTAATTTTTGTAATTGGATATTGATTAATGATGGCAGGTTGGTAGCGGCGGCTCTAACTGCAAGCAAGGTGTTTTGATTTGTCCTATTAAATCCCAATGTGAAATTGAGAACGATGTCACCTTGTCACTTCTTCAATTACAAGAAACCAAGTCAGATGAGCAGAAAGATAGTGATACTTGTGGTCAAGCTCAACCTGGTGCAGATCATGAAGCTGCTATGGGGCTTCATCCTCAGATGAAATCTTCAAATAGTAATATTGCAGCAGTTCCTGATCTGGAACTCACTCTTTCAGTCTCCAAGGGCAAGGCTAAGACCATGGAACAAACTAAATCAACCCCGGGTTCTTTCTTTCTTGGTCCAATTAGCGTGACTTAACTGAACTATATATATGAATTGAAGGGTTGCAGGTGCACCCCATTTATTACTTTGTTGTCCAGTATCAATCAACTTAAGCAAAAGATCATTAATCTGTTCAAAGATAACACATTTTTCTTGTTGGTGTTTTCAATATTGGTAGTCATGAATCAGGCACTAATCTATTATATGAAATCACATCCCTCTTGATGATATATCTATATATACCGTACACATAGAAGTTGATTATTTTGTATGTATTAATCAGATATCTCGTTCTATTTCAGTCTGTTGAATGGAGTTATTAATCAACATATTATATACCTTTTGTTAGTAGTTGACAAGCATCATCGATACCTTCTTGCCGAATGGTATATTTAATATGTTGGTAGTGTACTAAAGTTTGTTCTGAATGCACATAAACAAGTTTAATCACAACTTAACAAGTTTCCTTTTAGTGCTTTGCTATGTCAATAACTCAATATATTAGAAACTGCTGATGGCAAAAAACTACGTTCAGATTAATTATTTAAAGCAATTGGATTCTGCTGAGAAGATTTGGACTCCACTACTACCACTAGGGTTGGAAAGGTAGCCTTCTAGCTTTTAGAATTAAAATAGATTTTCTTTTCTTTTCTTATTGAGTTTTGTTCTACAAGTTATCTTCTGAGTTCAAGTCATTATTTTCAAAGGAATATAGAAGTTTTCTGTTTGTAAATAATGATTATTCATAATTACAATTATTTTACTATCTAACATGTTTAAAGAGAATAAATTTTTTATGAGAACACTAATAAAATTTGAACAAAAACAATTTGTGAAACAATATCACATATTTAATACAAAAAATATACTTTTCTTGTTGCAAAAATATAACTAATAATTAACAAGTAAAGGTTTAAACGAAAAGGTTATTAAATTTTCTGTAAAGTAATAGTTTAATTATTAATTTCTGACTAAACTCACGAGTATTCCAAGTTCTTAAAGAATAACGATGATAATAATAAAAAATAATTTATATGTTGGAATATGATAAAGCAACTACCTTTGGGTCGGTGATTTTGTTGTAATATTTAATTTGGTGAGTGTAGTATAACTAAGCACGTGTTAATTATTACATTAAGTAACCTATTTTACTTAATGTCTCTTTTGGCTTCATTCTACTGGGATTAATTAGTATGACGTGTAATTAAGATGTTCAAAAAAATACTGAAAACTTCATAACAAAGCATATGCTCCCACTAAATCAAAAGTTTGAGAGCTTATGGTAGAAATTTTGCATGCATAATAAACGAGTGAGTAATATTTTTTCAATCCAAGTAAATAAAAATTACAAAAAGTTTCGTAGTGAGCTTCCATTTTATGATAATTGGTAGTACTTTAACAGACATATATAATTAAAGGAGGTTGTTTTTGTTTTTCAATGTTTCAAGTAAACCAAGAAAGAAAGTAGAATTTCCGAGAAAGCGTATTTGTAAAACACGTGGCTTTAAGTCAATTAGTCAATAGCTAGTGCTTTTTAATTAATTAAATGTTAAATTGGTGAGACAAAAACTCGTGTATCATACATGATTTGAACACACTACATACAACGATGTGCTAACTTTTGAGATGTTGGTATTTTCAAGCAGATGCTTTCTTAGTTTCGAAGCTTAGGAAAGTCCACAAAACAAGGTTAAATGTTTGTGTTGTGTCACATCTTCTCTTCCAATTCTTCTTTAGTCTACAGCAGCAACACTGTTGAACTGTGAGTAAACCTTCTTGTCATGGAGATTCCCGCAGTACTACTATACTTGCTAGTTATAGCATTCAAATGAACAACATGCACGATGCTGTAGGCATTTTAAACAAAAATATGAAGACAAGGATACATAGAATGAAAATGAGGCTTTTCCACAAGATTCCAGAATATTGTAATGCCAATCAAATACCCAGTAGAGTAGGGACCTTCTGTCAGGATGTACCTATCACTTCCCTTCTGTGTTAAGTTAAAATCCAATCAGGGGCTTCTCAATCAGAATATCTATACAAGGATTTTATGTATAGAACTTTTGTAGGTGCCATGCCAGAAAACAGAAACATGAATATATACCTAGGTTGACTAAACAAAGAAAAGAAAGGTTATTGATTCCCCAGTAGTTGGTTTGATTTGATCCTTCAAAAACAGGTGTGGATGACTTTGTAAGAGAATTAACAAGAGAATATAATGATATATCAGATTTTAAGAAAAGCAACTCATATATATATATATATATGTTCATTCTGCATTTTTAGGAATGCTTTTATTACATTTGTCATCATGCAGTGATGGTATACAAATACACATCTTTATATATTTGCCTGGGATGACTGAATATGATGTGTCATATTTATGAGCACTTTTTAGGTACAGTGACCTCTCAACCAACAATCCGTGTCTTCTTTACGACCTTTAACCATCTGTGTGGTGTCCAATTATTTGGACTTTTCACTCTTGCAGCTTTGTATACATGTTCTATTATGGTTCACATGAATTCTGGATGGTACCATTTTGTCTTTGTTCACATCAGTATACCTAGCAATTGTGGATAATACACACACACACACACACACACACCCCTACCCATGAAATTTAATGTATGTACAGCAAAAACGTTAATACAAACAAATTAGGGTCTTAATGCAAGCATCACCAACCCTCTCAACATCATCATTAATTCATTCTCAAATATATGCTAGGATGGGTCCTCTTCCATAATTTGGTTTTCACTTAAATCACTTATTGGTAGGTCCTTGTTTAATTTCCTTACATTTGATTGCTTTAGCTTTAATCTGTTACCAGAGATATAGATTATTATCATATTGCATGAAAAATGTGGGATTTAACCTCTATTCTTTAGCCAAATGAACGTCATATTCACCTGGCTGGACCACTCATTTTTTGGTCGTGTTCATCATTCAGCTTTGCCCAATTCACATCAGCTAATTATGCAGTCTCTGAAATATGCATTAGATAGGCAATTTTATTATTAAAATAAAATCTGAATTACAAATTTTGAAGAATGATTTAAAGGACTAATTAATTCATAAACTTATCTAGTGATAAGATAACTGTTTTTAATTTTAAATATTTTTTGTTTTTAAATTAATTTCTATTATTTGTTTATAGTGGTAGTAAGTAAAACACATAAATATTCAACTGGACCAATATTGTTTTGTCGTGTATATGCATCATTTAATTTTGTCCATTAAATTGGCATCGGTTATTTCTGCAGTATCTGGAAAGTAAGTAAACGCAAAAATATGAAACTGGACCAGTCTTTTTGTGGCTTTTAATGTTGTACATGAATGAATTAATACAGTGAAACAGTTTTTATTTTTATTGTCGTGTTGTAAGAATATTTATTGATATTTAAATGATTAATCTTTCTTAAAAGTAAAACATAATTAATCCATCTCGAGAGATCTGGAACATATATATTCTATTTAGCAGTATTCACTGATACAATCATATACATGAAAACACAGTAAGACTTTATTAACTAAGGACCAGGTAACTGAAGAGAGAGATTCTCGGGGCTGAAATTGTTCTCAAGTTGGTGGTTTTTTACCAAATAGGTGAAAAAAATGTTGGTTTTAATAAAGGGATCCAAATTTTTAATTTTATTAAAATGAGTTAAATCATACAAAAACTAATTGTTATAATAAAATTTTATTTGAAAATACTGTAAGTAAAATTGTATTAAATTTGAATTATGTAGCACAAATTTTATGTATCTTTTTTTCAAAAAATAGGATTTTTAAAAAAATTTAAATATATTATTTATTAAATAATTAATTTTCATTTAATTATTAATTTAATAAAAAATAAAAAATTTAAAGAAATATGAATAAATTTAATTTAATATATTCATGTTAAAATATTATATTATTTAAAAAAATACAAATCATAATTTACACAATTATATCCTTCTTTTTAATAAAATAACATTTTTTAGTTTATTTAAAATAGAGGAAAAAATTGAGAATAAACAAAAATATATATATTTTATCAAAATAAATGACAGTGTAAATTATCTATTTTGATAATAAATTTATATATTTTTTAAATAATGTAATATTTTAATATAAATATACTAAATTAAATTTATTTATATTTTTATAAATATTTTTGTTTCCTATTAAATTAATAATTAAATAAAAATTAATTATTTAATAAATAATATATTTAAAAAAATAAAAAATCGTATTTAAAAAAAATACATAAAATTTGTATTAGGTAATAATATGAATTCAATATAAACTATCTATAACTCGTATTACTAAACGCATTTTTATATAAAAAAAATTACACAATTAAAATCGTGTTACGAAATACGGAGATTTTAGTATTAATCGTTGAACTTGTATTTTCAAGTAGGATTTCATCGTGACAAACTCATCCCATCTTACACAATTTTACTTGTTTTGGTAAAATTAAAAGTTTTCTACCTTTAATAAAATCATTTTTTTTTACCCTTAAAAAAAAGCCGAAGTTGATACAAATTATTGATGAACTAGTTCCCCACCAGCTTAAGCACCGTGATCACTATAAAAAAATGTTATAAGTTCTTATTTGAGGTTACAGAGGTTTAGGTGAAACTTATTGAAAGAAACCATTTCTCTGATGATGAATAGAGTAAGCTGATAGAGAACACTTCTGGTATATGAATAGTATAGCAGAGACACATATACAGAAAAATGGAAGAATGTTTAAGAGAGGAAATCGCATATATAAGAAGCACCACATGATCTGGTGCAAAATAAATGCTATTACATTCTTTACAGATGTGTGAATGTCATCTTGAAGTGTTTGAACACTTGTTCTACATGTTATGTCACTCATGACGTTGGGTTGCAATAATCATATTGTTTGTATGATCAATTATATATATAAACTTGTGTATGAAAATTAATAATTGATTAACCATGATTGCAACTTGGATCTTTTACCCAGTTCGTCAGCAATAGCCATCAAGGAAAAGTCCCCAACACGTATAGCTATAGGTTTGATTCTGACATTGGATCTATTTAATTAAAATTAACAAAAGGTTTTGGATCTATTTAATTAAGATTAACAAAAGGTTTATATGATATTTGTAACTTTAGCATTTAATAATGGTAAGTAAGTCTAAATCCTGCAAATTTATAAGAATTCACGTGGTTGCGATTTTAAGTACGATTCTAAATCTTAAATTGAATAAGAATGAGAAAGTTGAATAATATATAAAGAAGAAATATTTATAATTTAATGTATTAAAATTTTAAATTAAAAATTCTGTCAAGTTGATATTACATGTTAGGTAATTAATGAAGTATTTTGTTAAATAAAATTATAAAAATAAAATCTTTCATACAAATTTAATAAGTTATTTCTAAAAAAATATATTAAAAAACTATTTTGGTTGAACTTCTTTAAAAATTAATATTAAACAACATACTTTTTTTTCTTTTTACACAAAGAAAATAATTTTCCTTGCCTATGTAACCATATATATACCACGAAAAATTATTTTTAATGTGTATCATGTTGAATATAATGAAAACTTTAACTGTATATTATTTTGACATAATAACATATATTTAATGTAAAATATTTCTATTGTGTGTTTTGCCTAGGTTCACAATGAACACATATTTTTGTTATTTAAAAAGTTACATCAAATAAAAAAAAACAATGTCCTAAGGTATTTGAATACAGAAAGTGGTGCCAATAGGAAGGCCCATTCGGTTTCGTTTAAAGACCCACAAAAATTGGGCTCTGTTTGGCTATTCTTCTGTATTCTGTACTTTTGCTTAATGCAAAAACAAAATTTTTATAATTTATAACATCCAAAATTTAGAGCACTTACACTGCATTCTTCAGATATATTAATTTGTGTATTTGGTTCAATTTATCAACCTTTTCGTGAAGTTTACAGTTTGTCTGGAAATAAATCAAACAATGTTGAAGCAACATGCAGACATGCAATGCAATGCAAGACGTGAAATTGAAGCAGCCAGATTTGCATTTTCCATTTCACGCTAAATATCTTTTGAACAACAAGTAACCTCAATTAGTCAGCCATTAAAGTAGACCTCTAAGCATTCTCAGGTTTTGGTTTAACAAAATTACATTTAATCAATTTTAGTCTCTAATTATAATGGTCGTTGGTCTGGTTTAAAGTCAAGTTTGAAAGCATCAAATTGTGTCAATTTTAAACTGCATTGTTCTGGCTAATGGAACATGAAAACCTGGTTTGTAGTAGTTTCACATACTATGTGCGGTTGGTATAAAGTAGTGATAATGATTGATCCTACAACACAATTATTATTATGTCTTGTCAACCTACATTTGTGTTAACCACAAATAGTGAATAATATAAAGCTTATTGGCGTGAGTCAAGGATTGATTCATCGTATGTAATGCCACAACACCATCCATCCAAAATCGCCCACTGGTTTCTTTACTCCATCCATCTGTATTCCATGTCTGCATTTTTCCTGAATGCAACCTTTTCCCTTTGCTATTGCCCCTGGTTTTTGTACAAGTCTCCTTTCCACAGTGCCTTTTCTTTGAACACAAAATAAAGCCACTTGAAGTTGAAAATATTTTTGTGTAATACAATTATGTGGACCTAAATTGGATCATTCCAAAGGTTGAAGGGAGGTGAAACTAATAAGCTAAGCATCATGGAGACTTGGTTTACAAGGGAAAATCTGATTGTCCATCCAAATGAAGTAATAAAAAATGTATAAGATCACATGATAACGGTGAAATGAGCTTGAACTATTGCCATTCTTAAGGCACTTTAACAAAATGTCCAATCATTTTCAGTCTACGTTTAACATAGACTTATCAAGCTATCTAATTACCCTTTAGTAGTTTTTGTGTTATAGAGCGGTTTTATATCTTTTGTAGCCCTATATATACCCCATCCAGTAATGTATCTTCAGCAAACAAACACTTAGCACATAGATGGCTATTCCTGTTATAGATTTCAGCACTCTCAATGGAGACAAAAGGGGTGAAACCATGTCACTTTTGCATGAAGCTTGTCAGAAATGGGGTTTCTTTCTGGTAAAGAGAATTATATATATGTTGCTTCCTCCTTACCCCACCCTTCCCATTTTCTCCTTTTGATCAATTTTGTACATGTGCAGATTGAGAACCATGAAGTTGACAAGAACCTGATGGAAAAGGTGAAGCAGCTAATTAATATTCACTATGAGGATAACCTGAAGGAAAGCTTCTACCAGACTGAGATAGCAAAGAGATTGGAGAAAAAACAGAACACCTCTGATATAGATTGGGAAAGTGCCTTCTTCATTTGGCACCGTCCCATTTCCAACATAAGGAAAATCCCAAACCTCTCTGAGGACCTTTGGTTAGTCAACTCAACATTTTCACAGAACATTTTTTATTCACATAGCTTTTCTGATAAACATTTCACTATAAGGTGAATTTTATTTAAAATCACAAAATATTATGGGTCTTCTTATTTAAAGAAGTTATATTTTTTTGCTTTCATAATTTTGATTAACGATAAAAAATATGTTAAAAAGTGTATTAGAGAGTGGGTTGACAGTGTTTCTTTCTAACAAGTAACACAATCTTTCTTCCAAAACACACACAAACAGTCATAAATACAAATGCACATGCATATAATCTGATGAAGATTGTATATGTAAATGCAGCCAAACGATGGATCAGTATATTGATCAACTGATTAATCTGGCAGAGAAGTTGTCTGAGCTTATGAGTGAAAACCTTGGTTTGGAGAAAAATTACATCAAGGAGGCATTTTCTGGAACAAATGGACCTGCCATGGGAACAAAAGTGGCCAAGTACCCTCAATGTCCACACCCTGAAATGGTTAGAGGACTTAGAGAGCACACAGATGCTGGTGGCATCATCCTGTTGCTCCAAGATGACCAAGTTCCTGGCCTAGAATTCTTCAAAGATGGCAAATGGGTGGAGATTCCACCCTCCAAAAACAATGCCATTTTCGTGAACACAGGTGACCAAGTGGAAGTGTTGAGCAATGGCTTGTATAAAAGTGTGGTGCACAGAGTCATGCCTGACAAAAATGGAAGCAGACTCTCCATCGCCAGCTTCTATAATCCAGTTGGTGAAGCCATTATTTCTCCATCTAACAAGCTTTTATATCCAAGTAATTACCGTTATGGAGACTATTTGGAGCTTTATGGCAACACCAAGTTCGGTGAAAAGGGTCCTAGATTTGAATCCATCAAGACTATGACCAACGGCCATTACAATAATAAACCTTAAATAAATAAAAGATCTTACAAATACCCTTCATAATTTATAACTCATGTTCCACACGTTCTTCCCAAAAGTAGCAAAGAAAGGAAAATGTTATAGGAGGACCTCTTTGTTATACGTTTGAGTATGAATAAGAACAAAGAAAACACAGGTTTTTTCTTTAGTTTCTGAAGGGGGAAAATTGTAAACATTTTCTATATACATCTTTTTTCTGTTCGTTTATAAGCTTTCAATGTCCTTGTGAATTGTTGACTTCAGAAGAATCGTATATCCTTTTTTAAATAAAAAAGTTAGTACATTTGTAGAAGAGTACGAAATAAAAAAGTGAACTTTTAAGCTGTGACTATGCAAAGGCAAAGGAGATTTCTGCGTATCTATGTTCAATTCCGTGTCCTCTTCTGCGTTGGTTATTTTTTAACATTTCCGATACTTTAGCCAAAGACATTCAACTAAATCCTTCACAATATTCCATTGTCGATAACGTCTTCGCAATATTTATTCATTGATCACACGGCATCAGCCAGAAAAAGATACATTTTTGCTTTAACATATATTCTAATTTTACAACAACGAAAGTTCTAGTAAAAGGGTGCGCACTAAAATGTGGTGCATAATTCTAATTCTAATCCAGAACTTGCATAAGAATGTAGTGAAAGGTTTAAATGAAAAAGTTTCAAAAGCTCATCTATACTGCAGAACATATAAAAATATACTTGTAGAGATTTAGATTAATTACTTACAAAGTTTTTACATCAAATGGTAAAATTTTAACACTTTTGTCTGAGGTGTGAATAGGCCACTTTGACACATACGATGAAGTAGGAAAACCAAATTGAGCCTCTCTCCTCCCTAGAGAATAGAGGCCATCTTCTTATATTTGCTCCTCACATCACACACTCCAACTGTCAAGTTTAGTTTGCAAGAACACATAGAAAAGTAATTAACATCGCATTTGAATTGCCATGGGAGTAAGCAACAACATCACTGCAGTGCTGAACTTCATAGCCCTGTTGGCCTCAATGCCCATAATGGGTGCAGGTGTATGGCTAGCCTCCAAACCAGACAACGAGTGCATCCACAACTTCCGCTGGCATGTCCTCATCCTTGGCCTCCTCGTACTCCTCGTCTCTCTTGCTGGCTTTGTCGGTGCTTACTGGAACAAGCAAGGCCTCTTGGCCTTTTACCTTGGCTGCATGGCCATCCTAATCGCTCTTCTCCTTTTCATCCTCCTCTTTGCTTTCATCGTTACCAGACCTGATGGAACCTACCATGTCCCCGGACGAGGCTTCAAGGAGTCCATGCTCGATGGTTTCTCCCCCTGGCTAAGGAACCATGTCACCACTTCTCGGAGTTGGAACAAGATAACGACTTGTTTGGCTGTTTCTGATGTCTGCATTAAGCTCACGCAGGATTACATATCTGCTGATCAGTTCTTCAACTCGCATATCTCTCCTTTACAGGTTACTCTCTCTTCCACCATTTGTTTATATAAGATAAACAAAAACACTGGTAGGCTTTGTTAACCACGTTATAGTTAAGAGAACCGATACGTAGACTTTGTTAGTTATTACAATTTATTGAACTGAACTCCGTATTCAGTTGTACTTGCACTGCTAAGTCAATTCTCTCTCTAAGTCCACGCCTTTCAGATTCACATGTCATGTATTCACACGAATAAGTTTTGGACTTCATGGGTTTTAAATTGATAAATTGGATTTTTCATTAATAAGAATAAGATTTCATTGGTCAGATCAGATTAGGGATCAGTGTAACATGATATTATTCTAGCTCCTTCCCTGAGGAGTGGCTTGGTGTGAAGTTTCTCTATAGCATAATAGGAGTTGGGAAAGAGGAGTATCCGTGACGTTTGAAATGGGTGGGACCTGGTTTTCTATCTCATTCCTGCAATTTGGCCTACCATATATGAGATGGATCATTTGCTGTTTAAATTAGAGGTTAGCAGGCATTCCATCCTGATACTGTGACCTACCTGCAGATAACAACTGTCCACCTAAATCTGATCAGTACAACTTTACTCAAAACCGTATATTGAGTCAGCATGACTTGAGGATGCATAATTAGTATAAAATGTTGCATTCCATCCGCGTGATGGACTAGAATTGGAAGGATGTTTTTGCACCTATAAAGATCTATATGCCAGCAGAAAAAGCTACAAACTGATTGATTTACTTGTAGAGAAATTAAGAAATTCCGGAGCAGAATAAATTAATCAGACAGCAATATTTCAGCTAATTTGCTTGTCTTTATTCCACGTGATAATTAAGTCCTGTTATGGTTGCCAGCTTTTGGGCTGGATATCACAGGGTTGTTTTCTTTATGATAAAATATGTCTTAGGTCTATTAATTTTTAGTCAGAATTGGTCTTGATTCTTATATTTTAAAAATGATGGCTTTAGTGATCATGTTTTTATAATTGGTAAAGAATAAAAGACTTAGACAAATTTGAATCAAAGTTTAAGAGACAATACATATTTTATACTTTTCTTTAGCTCTCCCTTCGTATGTTGTAAAATAGTCCTGTATTTTTTTTTCTTTCCTTGGAAAATAAAAATCATGTTAATCAAATACTCACATATTACAGTCAGGATGTTGTAAACCTCCAAGTGCTTGCGGATACAATTATGTGAACCCCATACTGTGGATAAATCCTGTGAATCCAATGGTGGACCCGGATTGCTACTTGTGGAGTAATGACCAGAATCAACTCTGCTACAACTGCAATGCTTGCAAGGCAGGTCTTCTGGGGAACCTCAGAGAAGAGTGGAGGAAAGCCAATATTATTTTGATGGTGGCAGCTGTTGTCCTCATCTGGGTCTATCTCATTGCATGCAGTGCCTTCAAAAATGCACAAACAGAAGACCTCTTCCGCGGTTACAAAAGGGGTTGGGTTTGATCCTCTTTCCTCCATTCAAGGTTTCATTAAGCTGCTATCCTTCCCTCTTCTTAAAAAAGAAAAAAAATATTGATCTCATAATTTCTTATTCGTGTTAAGAACCTTTTTCCATAATGTATATATTCCTTGCTGGTTCCTTTGGGCTATGAAAAGTTACGAAAAGTGATAAAGGAAGATATCTTCCATCATCAAAATAGGCAGAATAGAATCCTGACTCGAGCTTTCCTGTGCATATAGTAATTCTTAAATGCCAAATTGTCCACGACTTGATGTATATGCATGCACTTTAAAATAATATTGGTACTTAGATGTTGGTATCTGCGATCTTGAAAAGCATACCATTTTAGTTGCATTCAAATGATTTGAAGTAATTCTAGTCTAACCAATAATCTTGATTCTTGAATATAAAATTGTCTTAAACACTTGAAGAGGAAATTTTTATAGTCATAATGATCCTATTTGACTCCTCCCGTGGAACGGATTTGTGATCTCTACCGAAGCAAAAATTTAAATGCTGGATCAAAGCAAACGGAAAAGGCAACCGACACCACTTGCCTTTATGAAAGGAGTACTTTTGACTTTTAATGTTTTGCAGATCTCCCATGAACCGAAAGGTAGATCTTCCCAGAGTAACAATATGTTATGAATAATGATTGTAGGGTAAAAGAAACAGAGCTAGGAATTAGTTTGTGTCCAACGCTGGTGGCAACACTCACTAACACCAATAGAATAGTTATTTAGTTCATATATTAATATGCTACCAACATACAATAAAACAATTTAACTGGAGTTTTCTGTGCATTTCTATGAAGGGTATCGTTCACAAGAAACATTGATATAAAAATGGTTTGCATGCAATATGACTATATGAACAGATTTCTCCAACCAGATTCATCTGATAAGTGATACTAAGTAAAATAGTAAATATGTTGCTACGAACTCTCATTTCATATTTCTCTCAAGCAGTAGAGAGCTTCCTAGAGTACACAATGTACATAGGATCTGAGCGTCCAGGATTAGGAGATATATCCACAGCCTACATAAAAAGCAAACGGCCTTTAGCCTTGTTTTCACTTCAGCAGTAACACTTATCATAATTATTTTATGAGCCCAGTAGAATTTATAAATTCTGAGTTATGTATGGAGACGAGCAGCAGTGAAAGAAAGTACCTTTGAGCATTAAATGAAACAGACCATAGTATGTTAATAAACTGATATTTGGCGAGATATTTAGTTAAATAGAAAAAAAAAATCCTTAGAAACAAGTGAAACAAGGATGGACTCTGCAAGATTAATCACAAACATCTTGTTTTGTTGAAGGTCGAGTAATGATTCAGATAAATTACAGGAAGTGCAGCGAGTGTGAAAAACTAAAGTGCCAAATATGCAACATAGGAGGAAGAAGCTAGATTTTAGAAAGGAATTTAAAGATTAGTGCTATTTGAATCGTGTCCCCATGAAATGGGTCATCCTAATACTAAATGGGAAAAATAATTGTGACAGTGCAGATAGTTGAGTATCTTTCAAGTAAGTATGGAAAGAAAATATCAATCATGGAATTACCTGCGGAGGTTCAAATCCTCCAGCATAATGGAAATATGATCCAACAATCATAACATGATCAGCATCCCCAGTTGATGTCCATATAGAAATGGCTTTTGTCCAGAAGCATCGGTTTGAAAAGCTAAAATCATCAAAAATCATCAATGAAGTCTTCGTGAGTTGAATAGGACACACCAATACAAGATCAATAAAAGATAAAACATCATCCAAAAGATGACGGGCATTGCTATAAAGATTAAATGTTTGTTTATATACAATATGAAATCAAGGAACATTTGTGTAAATTCTGACAATTTGGCAGTGAATCTTAGTGGTCAAGGAGTAACAGATCTTGAATATGATTCAAACACAAACTAACAGGTTAAAATGTTCATTGACTATGTAAACTGGCATCTCGGAAATAATTTTAAGTGCCACTTTTATGAAAATTAACGGTGTAAAATTGTGAAGAACAATTGAAGTTGCATTTTTTTATCTGAAAATTCTTGCAGATTGCTTTTAAATTTTAGGGCTAAGTTCATTGGTTTTGAACATTTAAGTTAGTATAAAACATATTTTCTGATCTGGAATATTGATTGTAGATAGCACATCGTTAGAAGGGTCCAGAAAATTTCCGAGCACAGATTTTTTAGTTGTGTCCAGATGATTAAATATCCATGAAAGTGCTTCATGGCAAGTCTCCTTTAAATTATCAGATTTTATAAAACTATAAAGGTAATTCCAAAATGGTTCACAAGAATATCACCTCATTATGGCTAGTCGACCTGGCTTCAGTACCCTGCCCATCTCCTTGAAAACATCAAGAGGCTTTGTAAGGTAATCAACACTGACCTGAAGGGCATAATCAATTAAGGTTGAAATGACTGACATATATGCTAAGCAAGAATTCAGACGCAGTTTTAAACCTAAAAGGTTTTAAATGGTGAGGAGGTACCAGGAGCCTCATGTTCCAAAACAAAATCAGTTCTATTTCTATTTAAGCAACAGTTGCAGTCTATGTGTAGCTATGATTGATTGTTTTAAATCGGATATTCTAATGAAGAAACAGTCAAGATATGTAGCTCTAAAAAGTTATATTATATCATTCCTTTTATCCTTTTAACATACAATCACCCGCTATGTCACAACTAGCAATTATGGTGGAACCATCAATATTTAAATAGGTTCTTAGATGAAATTTCTTATGACCAAATGCTACAGACTTAAGAGTGTAATAACTTATGCCAAGCTTTAATCAATAACATGATAAAACTATCGAAAGAAAATTTAAACAAATTACTGACAAATAGGCTGTGTGTGAATGAGCAAATAACACGCACCACTTGGAATAATTTAAAACATCAAAGCTGAGATATAAATGGAAAAGTCTTCTTACCACATTAGTGATTATGTCGAAGGAGTTATCCTCAAATGGGAGTTTGGGGTTCACATTTAAGTCTTGCACAACATACTCTGTGAGAACCTACAACTTCAGAAACTTAAATTAATAGGCCCCCGCTTCTCTGTCAAAATTAAAATGTTGAGATATAGCTATGTCACTATTTTTTAATTGAATTCAGGCTATATTGGACCCAAATGGACATAGAAAAATAATCCTAGAGTCACCTTAAGAATACCAATTTCAGTTTCAGCCCCAAAATTAAAGGTCAATGAACATCACATAACAGAGAAAGTATTATCTTACTGGGTTCCTCTTCAGCTCTTCTTCATTCATGCCTAATCCCACCACTCGTTCTTGCTTGTATCCTGATGGAAAATGGCTGACCTAATGCAAAGTGGAGATTTATGTCAGTATGTATATGCCATGCAACACTGGAGAGACTTTGTCATAGTACCGAAACTCTTACCCAACTACTACACATATCCAAGATGCTAACTCCAGGAGTGTTGCTAGGTGGGAAAACTTTGGAGTAATACTTAGTCAGAGCAGCAATTGCAGGGTCATCAATGTGTGTCACAAAACGAGGTGCTTCGTAGAACAAGGAATCTGATGTCCTAAGGGGAAAATTTTCTTGAAATTATACACAAAAGATTAACAAAAAAAAAAATAAAAAAATATATGAAATATTTGAAGCCATAGATGACCTAGAAGCAGCAACGAATCAGTAATTCAAGATAGCATAAACACAAGGTACAAGTCAAAAGACGCAAAACAGAAATTTCAACACAACAGTAACATCAATACACTCACTTTCACTTCCATCTCCTTTTCCAACTCATTTCTTGCTGTTTCTCTCTTGTTTTTCCATTATATCACTTATCTGTTGCCACTTTCTCTCTCTCTTTTCTTTAGATCTCACTCTTCCTACCCCCTAAAGTGGGGTGTTCATAACTCACATTAAATAGCATGTATTTGCACAAATTTCAGTCATTCTCCATTAAGTATTCTAAAATATAAACATAAGAGATTTTAGGGATTACAGTTTATTGCACCCTTTGAGGAAAGAAATTTTAAAGATAACCCACATGCCAACATGCCTTTTTCAGCAACAAGTAATCTATTGCATGATCCAAGATTGCTAGGCTAAAATAATCCATAAGGTGCAAGGAATTCTATTAGGTAAAGACACTGGGGTAAACCTCGTTTATGTGATTTGGGATTCCTACAGTTGTACACCTGACCGTAACAAATATGGAACACAATGCAGAAAGAAAAATCATTACTTTAAGGAGAAAACATGTAATAATAGTTCTTGAAGCAACTAGGACAGAAATTTACTCATCAAAGCGCAGGAAATCCTCCTCCTTAAAGGGGAACTGCTCGGGCCATTCGACATTCTTCAGTATCTGTAAAATGGGAATGTAGCATAAAGAATGAGAGAAACAAATACGATTCAATTTGCAACCAATTTCAAAGAGCAAATGGCACACAAAACTTGAGCCGTGGAAAACATATTGAAACCACACGGCAATGGATCAACAGATCAAAAACTTTGCAGCACTGATAAAATAACTCTTCTAAATTGCTTCAGAAGATGAAATATGCAAAAGAAACATTACGGAACGAAGACCTCATCCACAGAGGGACCACCCGTTATCCTAGCGGAGGCAAAGAAGGACCTGCTACCCATAGAACCAGCCATAGTCATAAACTGAGAGAAGAAGGAAACTCCAAGGCCCAGAACCATGCGACGAGGACCCTTAACTTTCAGATTCAACTTCTTTATTGGTGCTCTTGACAGAGTAGTGGCAAAGGTTGAAGAGTAGCAAACAGAAACAGAACCCAACACAGGCAATGGAAACCTTAGTCCAACAACAGTGGCCATCTTCGAAGTAATTGGTCCACTCTCACCGCAGCATTATCCTTCACCTCACCACACAACAACATCTCACACATACTCTATGCACCTTACGTGGCTCCCTGCATAACCACTACCATTCCTACAAGCTCACAAATTAAATTATATTTCAAAGCTACTTTTAGTTTATTAATATATAAATATTAATCGAAAATTTTACATACAATAAGAAATTGAATTTACTAATTTGTCTCGCATAGTTCACAAGATACTACACATGAGCAAATTCATGCATCATTAAATTATTCTAGGCCCATTTGAGAAGCTTGCATGAAATTACTAGAATTTGACTATAGCCAAGATGGGCCACTTCATAAATAGAAAAGACAGAAAAGAAAGAAAGAAAGATGAAGAATTTATCTTAAAAAAACAACAGAACAGTTCACACAAAAGCTGTCAGCACCTTCTAGAAATGAATAGAAAAATAACAAAAACCTCATTTTCTTAGTATTTCATGAGTAAAAAGTTTGGCATAGTTAGTATGAACATACGCCTTTAATTTCCATCACATTTAGCATATTATATCATGTCAAAATCTATGTTTATTTTAAAATATATAGTTTTTGTTATTCATTTTCCTTAATATTATAATTTCAGTTTCATACTCTTGGTAGTGTAGTTTGTACATTAGCTTAATCAATGACAAGTTAGAGTATATAAGCATAAAGACGTTAAATTAAATTTATTCAAATCTTTTGAATAATAATACATCTCTTATGTTTGATAGACAAGAAGTAGAAGCAACCCAAACAGTGAAACGACAAATGAAGAAAATTAAACAATGATTTGAGATGGGAAAGTTAAAAAGAAAAATGCAATTGTTTCCATTAGTTAAGCATGTTATAATCGACCTCTTCCTTCTTCAATTCCATTTGCTTTTTACAATGTAATACGCAATTTAAGATAACAACCAACCAAAGAACTTTTACAAGTAATTTTTGTATTAAACAAAGTTTACAACTATGAATTGGAAAATACATGTGTTGAGATATTTCTGAATTATTGAGGTGAGGATGAATGTCCCACCAAGTTTAGTTTATGCCTTCACTTGACATATGTTTTTGTCTTGTGTGAGAAAAACAAAGTAAAATAAGCTATGATAAGAAATATTGTTTAATGCTATTTTATTTTAAATTAAATTAAAAATATTTTCTTTCACCATTAAAAAATTGATTTCATCTCACTCTGTCACTATAAATAAAAATTGAGGATTTCAGTTTCGCTCCCCCTCTTCCTTCTCTCTCTTCCTTCATCGTGGGAAGAAGGTTGCAGACATGGACATGGAGCAGCCCAAACCCAGATTTGTAATCTCCGCGTCGGAGGCCCAATCCCATTCCTCTCCCGCCGCCAAACTCCTTCCCTCCCTCGTCTCCCCCGCCCAGGCCCTTGCCCGGCCCCCCATCTCCAACTTCCCTGTCGCCGCCGTCGGCCTAGGGGCCTCTGGCCGCATCTTCGTCGGCGTGAACGTTGAGTTCCCGGGCCTCCCCTTCCACCACACCATCCACGCCGAGCAGTTCCTCCTCACCAACCTCTCCCTCCACGGCGAAACCCGGCTGGACTCTTTCGCCGTCTCCGCCGCCCCCTGCGGCCACTGCCGCCAGTTCCTCCAGGAACTCCGCGACGCCCCCGACATCCAAATCCTGATCACCTCCCACACCAATCCTCACTTCACCCCTCTCTCCCACTTCCTCTCCCACCACTTCGGCCCCCACGATCTTCTCCCGAAAACCGCCCCTCTCCTCTTGGAGCATCGCCACAACGCCCTCTCTCTTCCCATTCCCCAAAGCAACGACCCTAATCTAATGCTTCCGGCCTTGGAAGCGGCCAACAACTCTCACGCGCCCTACAGCGCCTCCCCCTCCGGCGTGGCGCTTCTTGACTCCAAAGGGAATGTTTTTAAAGGCTCTTACATTGAGTCTGCTGCTTATAACCCCAGCTTGGGACCGCTTCAGGCCGCCCTGGTGGCCTTCATTGTCGGCGGCGGCGGTGACTATGATGAGATTGTGGCGGCGGTGTTGGTGGAAAAGGAGGGTGCGGTGATCAAACAGGAACCCACGGCGAGGTTGCTGCTCCATTCCATTTCCCCTCGCTGCCACTTGAAGGCTTTTCTTGCCACCTCTTGTCACCTTCCTCATTCAACCTGAAACATCAACAACAAACAATAAACCCATTGAAAATTGTTATGTTCTTGTCACGGGTGTGATCCCCATGCTATTATCATTCCTCTCCGGTTCTCATATTTTTAACACCTTCTCTTTGTTACCATTGTTATCTGTATACATTATTATATTCAATCAATATTTCTTCAATGGGATCCGACCAAAACAAGTGTACGAGTAATGTTTCTATTTTGTGTATAAAAAAGCTTTTTTTCTTTTTTCTATTCCACCTCAAATCTCAAACTAACAAGCAAACAGATAAACATTATACTTATCCTTTCAAAGAGTTTGGGAAACCAAAACACTGACAAGCAAAAAAACTCAATTCTCAAACAGGTCCATTTTATTTTTTGACTTTGCTTCTGAATACCATCCCCTCTCTCAAAATTTACAACCTAATTTCCTCTTTAAGAATTCTTTCACCAGTTTGGAGAACTTGACACTCATGTTGCTTTTGAGGTATTCCTCTTGTCGTTTACTGATTAACTAGTCGTGGATGAACTGTTAAACAGAATCCAAAGTACCCATTATACTGGTTGGACTAGGCATTGTGAAATTAATTGAAATGCCACCATCTGCTATGCAGGAACTAATCAAATCAAATTATTCCTATAATATTTCACTATGAAAGTTATATATGAAACATGTGTACACGACAACGTGATCATGTCCTTCCACAGAAGTATTACTCTGGTACAGATAAGGGGCCATAATGATATGGCCACATTTGTTTCATATTATATTGCAAGTGTGAAGTGTGAAACATATATCTACGTATGCGTAGGATAGAAAAGAAAACAAGGGTCGTGGGGGTGCCATTCCTTAATGAAAGCCTTTTCAATGCAACTTTAGGAAAATAGTTGATATCAGTGTCATCCAATCAAAAGAAAGTGTTTTCATCCTCTCAATGGGTGTCAAAATATGAGGCATGCACCTGTACTTTTTGGACCACCTCTCTTTTCCACTGCTCCGATTGGTGGCTCGTGGGGTGTGACGTGGTGGAGTGGAGGAGGTGGAGCTTCCATCTTATAATCTTTCTGAGCCACCTTATGCTCAGATATGTGTTGCCACCTCACCTAATGCCATACTCTTGTTTATTCCAACCACCATCAGAACCTACCACCACAACGCCAATAATTTTCGACTGGTTTGTCTTTCATTCTCATCAATCATGTCTTTTTTTTCTTAGTAGCCATTCAAAGTGTCAAGAACCAAGAGGCTTTGGTTGATGTTACGTTTTTGGGCCAACTATGATATGAGAAATCAGGTGGAAAGTAGAGGACAAATATTTTATAAACTTGTGATTATTAAATTTAAAATTTGGACTCAGTTGCAGTTTTATCAACTAGTTATTATTAGATCGAAAATTATTAATATTGCTAGAGATTATAGAAAAATGTAATTGATATAATATTAATTCGAATTAGAATGATCTCAAAAACTGTTGACATTATAGTTAAAATGAAGATAATAGACTAGTTTTTTTTTTTAATTTATAAAACCCTCTATATATCAAAACACTTCATAATCATTATTATTTCTGTGTGTGTATTAGACAGAACTTAGTGTGTACAAAAGCTTCTCCCTTATCTGTCACGTAGAGTAGGTGGAAAATAAAGTTAAAAAAGAAAGAATAAAAATGATCCAATTCTGATCAGGATAAGAGGTTGTCAATCATGGCTGAATTTGATTTGAAACCATTTGCTAGTTGCTATGATGCCATATACTTGGTGGAGTCTTGATTATGTTGCGTTTCTTAACCCTCTGTGATGACACATTTCCACGAGTGAATATGTACAAATTGCAGTGGAAATTGGCAAGCAAGTGTTTCAATTGGGACGCAACTGTTACTTGTGAGCTATATGTAGCCAATTATGGACTTCACAAAAAATACAAAAAGACTTTGCTCGCCGTCAATGCAATTAAATGAATAGACAAATAATATTCTCAACTCAACACATGTCACAAGAAACTACATTACATTGGATTAAGATAGCTCCAGATCTAGAGAAACGACAAGAAAGACAAAGCAATTTGGAAGAACAATATATTTATCAAGAGGGAAGTGACAAGAAATATAAGACCCTTTACAACCTCTTGATTCTAATTAAATTGGGCAATAGCATGCATCTCTTGCAGGGAGAATTAATTTGGTTCTAAGGCGAAGTAAAAGAAGAGGAAGCAACATCTCTAAGACCCTTTACAACCCTCAAATCTTCATCCATGGTAAACAGATCCTCGGTTTCCCTCATCACAGCATGGACCAAGTCAAGCACTAGGGCAACAGACATACCTACTAACACATTGTAGGTTACACTAGTGAGTACAAGCAAACCAACGGTGACCAACAACAAAAAGATAACCACCAATCGCTCATCGATCTCATACCTCAAAATCATCAAAGGGGTATCTCGCAGGAAGTATAAGACAAGCCATGCAATCATCATAACAACTAGTATGATCAAAGAAACGGGGTGTCCTAGTAAGCTAAGGAAAAGCACAAACAATATGATAATGACGTAGTTGGCTCGAAAATGTCTGGCATTTGTGTTGATTCTTTGGATTAAACTGTAGAAGGAAGATGGAAGTTTGAGATGAGAAGGTTGGAGCATTTCTTTCCATCGTCTTGTTGTGCCTAGACCCGTTTGAATGCGATCTTTGGCCTGTGAAACGAAAACTGAGTGTGGATTTGGTGAAGCCTCTGCCTCTTGTGAGATCGTTCCATATGTGGTCATTATTTTGTGTGTTTATTGAGATGGTATGAGAGGGAACGCAATTTGGCGGATCTTAGGAGACAATGATTGCTGTCTCAACAAAGGAATCAGAAACCAACATAACAAACCCACATGTTGTGGATCTCTTTCGCTTTTCTTGGACAAGCTCTCACGACACATTATACACTCAAACCAAAACACTATTTTTCTTTCTCTAATTGCTAATTCATTAGACAATGATTAAAATAAACTGAATTTAATAACTACTTCAGCAAATATTTGTTGTATATTTAATAGTAGTTAGTATTTTAGCATGAATGCTGTACATTTTTATGATTAAAAATTTATTAAATGTACATTTTAATATGTAATTTTTGTTATGACTAAAATTCACAATAAATAAATAAATATTTTTTAATTTATATTGAGCAATTTAAATTGTTATATAAGATTATTAAAAGTAGGAAAATAATGTAAGTGAAAATTAAAAAGAATAAATAATACAAAAAGATCATATATGTACAGATAAAAATAAAGGGAGGTAATTTGACAAGGTCGAGAGATATATTTTAAATAGTTACAACAGATGGTGAGGAATATACTTCAGTAAGTGATTATGTTTCTGTAGTTATTCTTAATTTTAAAATTATATTTTGATTTAGAAGTTGTTACAATTCATATTTGAACCGTGGAGCAGAGCTAGGGAGAGTTATTGAAATATTTATTTGACCGACAAGAAGCTATACTCTGATGCTCGCTACACGTAATTCTGAAACACCAATCAAATTAGAAAATTATACTCGGTTCATCATAAACCAAAGCATATTATGCTATGTTATCTCAAAAATAATGCTGAAACATAAAATAATTTACAAGTTACATAAAAATTCATAAACCTGATCAACTTAATAAGTATACTCAGTCCAACAGTTAGATTAATGAAATTCAAACTAATAAAAAAATATTGGGTAATCATTTCCCTGACTCAATATTTTTAAAAATCACACATTAAAAGTTAAATTAATTTACATATTCTTCGGCCAAGCCAGATTAAGCAAGAATTAAACCATAACATTTCGTTTTACGGAAGTTTTATAGTACTTGATCATAATCAGTTAATGAATGGTCAAGAATGAAACAGAACAAACAATTTTTCTCAGCATCCTTCTAAAAAAAATAAAAAATAAATAGTAGATATACAGAGTAGATATATCGTAAGTTTCTCTGGACTACAACCTTCTTTGGGGTTTCCTTTGGAGACAGCTTATAATAAAAATGCGTGCATACAAGATAAAAGTACAGTGCCTACACGGATTCTGCAGGTCTATCCTTGGCAACAGAGGAAGGTTCAGCAAGCAGATCGCCAATGCCCACAGGTGGTCCAATGCTGCATCGTGCCGTGCTATGTATCTGGATGGCATCCTTTATTTTTTGAAACTGTAATTTACAAATGAAACATTAGCTGATTAAGAAATTCAAAATTTTGGTTCGCAGCACTGTTTCTAATTAGGTTCTATCCACTATTCTACGCTTGTATATCCATCATCATCATCATCATCATATATTTGTTTCGCCAGGCAAGTCATGAACTTAATATGAGAAAAACAGGTAAGTGGCCGTGTTTATATGCACTTGATTATCCTTTTTCCTGAATTTAACCAGCTAATCAAACACTCAAAGGCATTATTATGAACATCATCTAGCGGTCATCTATTGCCTTACAATTTAGCTTAAGGGTCTTCATGCAAATGGTGCACGATGTTGAAAGGAAAGTTGCCTTGGGATCATCAATATTGAAAATATTATTCATCCGTGTTAAGGTTCCAAATAAAACCAATTGGCAACATGTGGAATAGCCTAACATATATTTAAACCATACCAAATAACATGAGGTAGGCAACGTGGGACTTCCAACAATCGGTTTTATGCACCTTTGCTTTCTTTCCTCTAAGTTATGTAGTATAGAATAATGCTTGGCAAGATAAGAGTGTTGTTCAATTTGTGAAAATATTTCCTATTTTCATTTCACATTTCATAAATAATTACAGAACGATGATCTTTTTTACTTCATTTCTTGTTTTCAAATACTTATACACAGAAAATAGCTAGTGAGAATAATAAGGATTCTATTTTCTTTATTTCTTATACAAATCCTTGATAATAGGAAATAATGTAAAATATATATATATATATATAATTTTTTTTTCTAATTATTTATCAATACAAAAGATAACAAGAAAATATGCCCTAAGTTTCAGAGTAAATATTCTTGAACAAAGAATAGACACCAATCGGCAACTACTGCTGCTCATTCACTTATATTGAAGCCATAAAAACTAAGAATAACCAGAACTAAATACTAAGAATTACCTTGGCAAGTGAACATGAAAATGATTCAAGCTGCCCCTCAGCCCCACGATAAAAGTGGAAGTAAGGAAGTACTTTAACATTCAGCCTTTTACACATTGGCTTATTCTCATCAAAATTTACTTTGAGAAAAAGAATTTCGGGGTTTTCTTCAGCTGTTCTGCATAGCTGCCAAACCCACATCAAGACTTGGGATAAGTGTCGTATATTTCAGCAGCATGCAAAATAATTATAAATTAATTTACAAATATCATCCTAACTCAAACTTCGTTCTGGTATTGAAGATGATAAAACATAACACTCGCAACAGGAAAACTTTATTTTTTGGAGATGAAGGTAGATTCCCTATTAACAGTGAATTCATTTTTATTTTTATAAACGACCATTAAATTGTATAAATACGAGAAATATGTCTCTCAATTTCCAGAACTGAGCCAAAGCAACAGGGCCATAATTTGTCAGAAAAGTCTCACCTCCTCCCTCTCCCCCTCTATAACTAAGTTCTAATCAACAATACCCTTAGTCTCTCTCTTCAAAATCAATATCTAATTCCCCTCCTATTCCTATAAATGTCCACTAAATCATACCTTAATGACTTAATTGATCTAGAAATGGTTCCATCTTCTCACTTTGGTCCCTATTAGAAGAGAATTTTAATTATTCTAGTATAATTAAGTTCTCCCTACCCCCTTTATTGTTGTGGCAATAATTACATCATGAAACCTTCAACAAGAATCAGAATATCAAGATCTTACATAATAGTCTTTAATCAAGAATAAGAATTGGAAATGAAAGTGAGACAGACCAGAGACTTCTAAAACAAGTCAATCAAGGCTCATGAAAACATAAATCCAGTAATTGTCAATCAAGGCTAATGACTCAAAATATTCTAATTTACGTTAGAGTAACAGGACCAAAATAGCATAGATAGGAGCTCCAAGCATCCATATTCATAAAAATCAAGACCAATTTCACTATCCATCAACTAAGACAGCAGTCAATACTCAATATAGTACCCGGATAAACCATGAATATTGGATCAGTGATACTTTTACATCTTAATTAAATTTGAACATGTTATGGGCAAAGTACAATTGAGATGCATGAAATAAAAAAAACACCACTGAAAAGTATAAGAATGAAAGGGTGAAAGTCATGAAGCAAGAGGACCTTGGGGAATAATGCTCGGCAAGAAGCACACCAAGTTCCATAAAATTCAACAATAACAAGTCTATCTCCAGCTTGACTCAAAGCACTCAGAAATTCTTGCGTGGAGTGGATATCAATCATATTTGGTGCATTCTTTTCCCACCATTTTGGCTGACCAGTTTCAGCAACAGTTGCACATACCTGAAGTAAAATCAAACAAAAAGCTGAGAAAAACACATTATAACTCAGTAATCCATAAAATTGACATACAGTCAAGAACATACAAAAAGCAAAGTGTAGTCACTGGTTTACTATAGGCCAGATTTCCTTCTGCACTGTTTTCAAAATAACTAACTTATTCACGTATAAACTCTCTATCAATAAATACCAAAGGAAAAACTAACCTGGCATTGACTCATATCAGTAAATGAAACATTCTAAAATTTATAAGCTGTCCAAGATGATCTACTGAGAGCAATTGAATAGTGTGGAATGGACCACACACAAACTTGCGATGAAAAGACAAAGTTGTCAATACTAATAGTAAGCAACATATGGCAGCAGCAGTTGAGCACCATCCACTATATTTTATATATATATATATATATATATATCCAGAGATAAAATTAGAATAATTCACAAAGAAGCTACTTGTAAAGTCAACGTTGTGGGCAGTCACAGCGTCTTAATAAATAGCACTCAATTGCTTGTGCAAGGTTGACAAAGCAAGCAACTAACGCAGTTTAGTTCATTTAACTACATAACACATTGGTGATCACCGCAAACTAAAAGAGCATCATGACATTGAGAGCGAGCATACTACAATGGCATACAAGAGGCCTCGGTAAACTTCTTTCTTGACCTGTTACTATTCTATACAAAAAAGAGAATACTGCATAGCACTGATCTGTTTTTCATTTATGTGTGAATACCTACCACTAAGCTGCAAATATCCAAATACAGCAGACACACAATTCTAATAACGAAGTTCTAATCTTCCAATCGTAACGAAAAAATGGTTATTAAAACGATTTATTTTAGCATCTACAAAAGCTTATTCAGAAAATGGATTAAATGGCAAAAACTAACGGTATCCACTTTATAATACAGTACGAGTACTAAAATTTTTTTGTTTGAGCAACAAAAGTAGCAGGTATTTTTAAGCTTGGGAAGACCTAGAAACTAGAAATTAATAACAATATCAATAGTAGTATACTGTAGTAGCATGAAAACATGTGTAAGAGCTAAGCTTATATGAACAATCTATGACCAAAATTAATAGAGTAAATATTGAAATTAGGCTTCGAAAGATACATTGTTGGTTATATTAATCCTGGAAAGACGAAATTAGCGCGAAGATGGTTGGAAATATGCATTGGATGGGTAAATTAGCGGATAAATTAGGAGTAATTTGACGAACGAAATATAGATAGAGTAGTTAATTAGTGAGTGGTAATTGAGAATGCATAGAGAAAGGAAAGGGAAGGGTTAAAAGTGACCTTGAAAGAGAGAAAGTGCTTTCTGGACGCGAGAGCAAGAGTAGGAGGTGAGGGTGGTGGCGGAGAAGTGTAGGCGAGAGGAGAGAATAAAGTGTTGGTGGAGGGTGGGGGTAAGGGGAGAGTCGAGGAAGAGGAGGAGGAGGAGAATCGGAATTGTAATCGAATGAGATGAGCATGTGCCATCTACAAGCTGTTAGTGAAGAGCGATTCAACATTCAACATATATGATATGATATGTAATCGACGGTGTTCCCGCACTCATATTTCTTTCTTTGCCTTTGGGCTTCCCTCACCCACCTCCTCAATTTTCTTAAAACCCATTCATCATTTCATATTTTGTATATTTTTTATTCTCCTATAAAATTACTTCTCTCTTATTTTCAGTTTAACCGAATTTATTAAAAAAATTAAAATGAAATATTTAATACTATATTCTTTGCTTTAATATTATGTTTTGATACTCGGTCATTTCTAAACTTGAAAACTCCTTATTGGATTTTTTTTATTTTATTTTTTGGTCACGAGAGAGGTGTGATAATAAACTATACCATCTTAGATAAGGAAAGAGGATAGGTGGTAAATCCAAAGAGTAGTTTTATAAATGTAAATCTACGTGAAAAAAAAAACAAATTTTTTTTATTGGTTTACTGTTAAAAAAATTACAGTTCGTTATTATTTATTATTAAACAAAATTAGAAAAAATACGTGAAAAATTTTATAAAAGAAAAATACCTTTGTCAATTCTTAATTTCTCCGTTAAAAGACATTGCATGAAAAGATCATATAAGATTATAAATGATAAAACAAGTCTTTATCAAAAATTTTAGTCTAACTTAATAGACTAATGGACTAATAAGCTAAATTTAACTTGATTGAATTTATTTTAAAAAAATATTACATATTTATATAAAATTAATTAAAAAATATTTAAATAAAAATTAAAAAATATTTTAAAAATTTAAAGTTTATTAATAAAATTAATTTTTATTTAAAATATATTAATTTAGACTAATCTGACTAATTTTTAGAGTTTTTTTATTCAGATTATCCCACTAAACCTATTTTAACACTCTGCATAATATCAATTAAAGAGAGAAGATACATTTACGCAATGTTAATTTCTTCATTAAGAATAATATTTTTATAAATTAAATTTTTTCTATGGTGCATTAAGTAAAAAAAAAATATATATATATATATATATATCTTTTATTCAGTATTAAAAATAAAAAAAAAAGTTCCACATTTTTTATTCTTTTTATCTTTATATATATATATAAACAATGAATAATCGACCGTGGTTTTTTTATCAACTTGATTTTAATGTAATAAATGTGATTAGAAGATGAGCAAAAATTATTATAAGCTTACACGGTGTTCCTTTCATAACCAATAATATATAATATGTTCAATGTTTTTTATTACAATTAATTTAAAATTCATGCAAACAATATTCTGTGATTAAATTGAAATTGTCAGTTTACAACTATTATATTCTTTAAACAGATGTTCAAATTAATGTCACTTACAAATTTTACATATGCACTAACTAGAGGAAGCTTTTGGTTTAGGTATTTTACATATGCACTATGTAGTAATTATGTTATTTGGGTGTGTCCTTTCCACAAAAGAGAAGGTGAAGAGTATTTATTAATTTGTAAAATGCATATGCAAAAGTATAACCAATGTGTCAGTGAAATTATGAAATAAGGAGGATCCATCAGAAGATAGGAAAAGCTAAAGCAATTCAAACTAAAATTTGTTTAAGCCAGGGAAATAATACATTATACATACACCTGTTCCTTCTGCAACATCTCATTTGGCATTGCATCTAAGACTGAGTTTTATTCAGGACAAATTTCCATAGGTGCTTTTGGTACTGTTTTGCAGTAAAAAATGAAGTTTCATCTCAATATAACCTGCATAATAAGTTTGCATTAAAAGTCATGATAGAGCACAATGTGAAACTTCAATTCTGATTGGAAACCAACACCAAAAGTACCTATGCGACCATAATAATCTAAGTTCGTGAGGCACTAGGCAGAAGAACAGAATCCGGAAACGATGCAGAACCATCATTAGGCGCACCCTTAATGTCAAGAATGGAAGTAATCAGATTATAAATCTGAACATTCTCAAAGGAGGGTATCTTCTTCCCTCTGGCAAATCTTGGACCATGTCCAATAAAAATAGTCCTCATGGAGAAAAACGCATTGTCATAACCATGAGCACCGCCACATTCCTTCTTACCCGTTCGATTCTGCTCGACCTTGAAACCCTCATCAGCCAAACCAATAACGGGCGTAATCCGATCGCTGTCCGAATAATGAAGCCTCTCAGGCAAATCCTCCTTCAAATAAACCTTCAACCTGCCCCCATTCTCCACCTTCCCCGAGCTCAACCCTTCATTCATCTTAGCAACAACATACGCTGGATCAACAGAAGGAGGGGGGCGAATAGCGAGTAATGGAGTGAAATAATGGACCCAATCTCGAGGAATATGAACCCAAGGTGCCAAATCATCCAAAAAGACAAGCTTTGTGTCACACGTGCCAACCATGCCATGGTCACCAACCAAGATAAGATGAACATCCTCGTAAAGCCCTCTCTTTTCCAAACCCTGGATGAGCCTCCCTACCATGGCGTCAATTCTGGCCACAGCATCAGTGATCTCGGAACCATCAGGTCCAACCTGGTGACCCTGATGATCAGGCTCCTCAAAATAGAGAGTAATAAAAGATGGAATTTGGTGAGAGGGTAGATCGAAATAGTTCAAAACGGTGTCTACTCTGTCCTCAAAGGGGACAGAGCCGTTGTAGGGTTGACAGAAGGCCTTGGGGCAAGTCCAGGGGCCTTTGTGGACCTCGGAGCCTGGCCAGAAGTAGGTGGCGGCGGAGAGGCCGTTGAGGAGGACGGTCTCCCAGAGGGGCTGGCCTCCCCACCACTTGGGATCGTGGTTGGACATGGAGAACTTATCGCCGGTGAAGGGGTCGTAGAAGACGTTGTTGATGATGCCGTGGTGGGGAGGGTAGAGGCCGGTGACAATGGAGTAGTGGTTGGGGAATGTGAGGGTGGGGAAGACAGGGATGAGGCCGGTTTCAGCCTCCGTGCCGTTGAGGATCAAACGGTGGATGTTGGGAGTGGGGGTCTTGAACTGGTAGCCGAAACGGAAGCCGTCGGAGGAAATGAGGATGATGACGGGGTGAGGGAGCGGCGAGGAGGAGGTTAGGGCTGAGGAGTAGTAGAGGGCGAGGATGAAGGCTGCGAGCAGGGACATGGAAGCGATGATGAGGAGAACGCGAGTAGTGATAGTCGAAGGGTTTCTGCGAGAGAGGAATGGGGTTCTCGATGCTCCTTCCCCTGCCATCATATACACACTCTCTCTTCTTCTTAATCTTCTTCTTCTGATCCTCACTCACATTTATTCCTTTCACTTACTGGTAAAAATTAGTGCTTTCATATATCTTAGCAACTCAATCAATCTCATGCTATATATTAAGTATGGTATTTATATATGCAATTTTCAATGTTTTATTAAAAACATTTCATTTTTATTTTTTAATTTAGTAAATTGCACATATGTTTTCTTAAACACTTGACTTTTTAATTATTCGTTGTATGTTAATTTGCGATTTTCGCTACCTAAATATTTTAGGTAGGAAAAAAAAACGTGCTCTTAACGTGTTGAACTATAACACTTTTTAAGTTTGGTTATTAATAAAAGCAATCTTTTATTAGATTTTCCTTACTTTCCACTGGATTATACAAGTTAAAAAAAATATTTTAAGTCAAAATCTAAAAATATAAATTTTGCGATTTTTTTATTTTATTTATATATGATACTAAATTATTTTAACTCTAAAAGTTAATTATCATTTGGAGGAGTTGAAGGTAAATACAGTAATTTAAAATTTTAAGTCTTATTTTATATTATTTATTAAAAAAAAAAAAAGAGGAGGAGGTTGAAATTAGGTTTGTGGTGGTGGCGGTGGAGGAGAGAGGGGAGGCGGAGGGAGGGTTCAGGGATTAGAGACGGACAGAGAGGTTTTAGCAAACCAAAACGAATGTGTTTGTTTGATTCATTCATACTTTGATTCGTTCATACATACATAGGAACCCCAAATGAATTGTTCCGTGCGGCGACTGTTTAGCAGGAGGGATTCTTCCATTTCCCCTCTCCTTCTTCTTCTCCGTTCCTACGCCACTCGCAAGTCCAAACCCACCCCACCGGAGATTCCTTTTCAGCCCAAACTTGCAAACGCCGTCAACCTCATCGGTCAGCTCCTCACGCCACTTCAATTCCACCACTATCCCGACGGCAACGCCTGGGCTGCCGCCGTCATCACGCGCCAAGAATCTCCTTCTTCTCCTTTCCTCTCGTACGCTTCCCTCCTCTCTCTCTCTCTCTCTCTCTCCCCTTTCTTCTTCTCTGCTCTTCTAATAACTATATTATCTTGTCGTTTCAGGATTCCGCTTATATTTGAGGGTGATCTCGCTCACACTGCTAAATGTCATCTCAAACAGAATGATTTCATCCACATTGCTGGGCAACTCACCTCTCATCCTCATCCTCCACAATTCCAGCTACTCCAACATCAAACCCATTTCCAGGTACTCTCTTTGTATTCCTACACTTCTTTCTTGGGACATCTTATCTACTATTTTAGTCCCATATCTCATCTTCACTATCTATAATAGGTTATGGTGCAAACCCTCAACTTTGTCCAAGGATATCCCAAACTCAACACTACTTCCGCATCAATACTTCCTTTCTCTCGTAATTCCTCCCTTCTCACTTCTCGTTTGTTCCCTGAATGTCATCTCATCAATAGTTCATTTGTTCACAACGCAGAAATGTGTTTGTTTGTTACATGGGCATAATTTATGAATGGTCAAACATCCATTAAACTAATTTCGGACTCAATACTTTTGCCTTCATAATTTCATCTTTTTGTTCATATTAAAAATGTACTAAATTAAACTAGTGAAAGAAAAATGTAGTTGAATCCTTGATCCTGTATTTTTTTTATAATTTAGATAGTTTAGGACAGCTTGAAATGATCGAAAGACGATGATTTATGATGATGGTTTACGAAGTTCAAGGGACCGAATTAATTTTTTTCACAAGATCAAGAAGACCTTATTACAATTTTATCTTTTTTGAATTTGGAGAGCTGATTAAAAGTTTCCAAATAGTTACTTACTAGGCCTACTGATTAGTTTAGCCTGAAGGAAATTTTAGTTGAAGAGTAGGAGTGAAAGTACCGCTCTAAGGAGGATAAGATATGCACCTAAACAGAACGAGAAAAGAACCTAAGAGAGTAAGTTCAATTGAGGAAGATAGCTAGTATTCATGATAGTAGATGAGAGCGAAAATTGTGTTGCATTGTGTGGTGTGGTTTTTGCAATAACTTCCGCGACTTGATATTTCTTTGGACATATTCGGTTTCTATCTTATTAGAAAATGAGGAGCATGACATCAATCCATCAAGGAAGAGTATCCATGCAAATCAGAGTAAGGAGCTTGACATAGACAACTCCTGGAAGGATCTCCTTGATAACCCCATTGAATGGTGGGATCTTCGTTCAACAGAGGTTGGGGGATTTTATCCTTGGTTTGGTTTGTTATGCGCCTTTAAAAGTTGGCTATGATTGTTGATGCTTTCTTCAAATTTGTTTTCTGACATCTGTTGCAACTTAATGTAGGAGAATCCAAAAGGTGCAGCTTTTGAAAGAAAGACAAATGGTGAATTACTCTTTATCACTAGCTCAACTCCCAAATGGCTTGAAGACAAACTAGAGTCGGTGACACTTGATCTGAAGCCTGAACCAAAACACTCAATATGTAAGTATATACGCGTAAAATGTCTCTTCTATTTTATAGTAATTGTCTGATTGGGTTGTTTGAACATTCCAACAATTTACAATTTGGTTTATTTAACAGCCAGTGCTAAGAAAAAGCCAGATTCTTCAATGAGTTCTTGGACAGACCTTCTAGATAATCCAAAGCAGTGGTGTGATTTCCGTGACAGCAAACAAAATGGATTGGTAGTGAACTAGTGATTAATGACTTATCACTTGATGTATCTTTCTCTCTTTTGTCTAATTTATCTGGGGGAGGGGGGTGTCCTTTTACCCATTTATCTTAGTACAGGTAAATCCGAAGTACCCTGATTTCAAGCGCAAGGATGGCAGTGTTTCCCTCTGGCTTAACAAGGCTACAACATGGGTTTTACCCAAACTGAAAGGGCTTGAATTTGATGTTCCGGTTGTTAAATCCAAAAAGGCAAAGGACGGTAAAGGTTTGTATGATAACTTATCTTTTGATCATTAAAAAAAGCCTTGTGCATCATAGTCATAATTGAGATGCATAAGAGTTGGTGCAGACAGGTTTTTGTTCTGATTAGGTTCACATCTAATTCAAAACAAATCAATGTTTTGGTTTTTGTGGCTTGTAGATGCTCTCCATATTTATCTTCATGTCTCGTGTTTGTTTTGGCCCTGCAACTTAAGATTCCCCATGTCCTACTTCCATTTCTCTTTCCATTTCTAATTGGTCATCATATTTTGTTTAAAAGTACGCATATCTCAATTTGGTTTAGGTGGTGATGTGTCCTGGAATGATTTGGTGCAAAATCCGGCTAAATGGTGGGATAATAGATCAGATAAGGTAACTCATTTTCTGATTTGTCCTTGTGTTATTAAATCTTTACAAATTTATATATATGGCTTTGTTGGATTTTGTATATTAAGTTAATAGTTCATTTTGATCATCAGAGGAATGAAAAAGCTCCCGATTTCAAGCACAAGGAAACTGGTGAAGGGCTGTGGCTTAATTCTTCACCAAGTTGGGTGTTAGAAAAATTGCCACCTGTGAAGCCTAAACAAAGGGTAGAAACTGGCGTGAAACAGACACTGGTTTCATAAGCAATGAACAGAGAAGCAGATAATGGAGTCATTTACTAAGTTGGATATATCTTGTTTGTTCTCTATGTATTTCACTTCCATGCTATTAACCTTCCAAGTTCTGTTTTTGTGATTCTTTGAAAACTTAGTATCCCAACCGATCGCTTAGTCAGCAGCATTTTTGACTTGTAGTCTCTACCACCAGGCAGAGATATATTAGTTGCTTCTGATGTTGTAGTAAATTTTGTGTATTGTGTCGTCTAGTTATTATTATACAGTAATACAAAATTACTTGTGCTATTCAAGTACTTGTATTACTGTTTTACTTTACTGTGCATCAAATGAACATTAAATCTACTTTATTTTTCTCCCCAAAATAAAGACTTCATTTGCAAAAAATTCAGCATAATTGTTTCGACTAAAATGATGTGCAATTTCTCTAGGCTATGATTAGTTATTAGTAGGGAGTTCGTTGCATCTGTTACAAGATTGAAAACATGTTTTTGCATTTACCCAAACATCCATTAAACTCTATTTCAACGGAAAACCAAACAGACACACGAGAAGCTTTTGTTCAAAACTATAACCTTTTACTGAACTTGCTTTGTAACGTACGAAATGAAGAACTCCCACGGATAAATTCTTTAACGAACAAGTACTTAATCTTCGATTGTTATCTTGGACACAATCAACGAACAAACAAATTGTGGAACCTTTGTAGGATAAAACTGCAGAATTTTGAATGTTGATGTTCAAATGTACTTTTCATGATGGAGTTGGCTTATCCACTTTTTTGTGTATAGTTTATATGGAACAAAATAATAGCCATTCAGAACTTTAAGGAGAATCTTACAAAAAGCGAAACTAATTCCATCACAAGGAAAATGGAGAAACAAAGAAATTGTGTTTGCAGTGTACATTTATAGAATGAATAAACATACTTTACCTAATAGTAAGAGTGAGTGAAAATATTATATTGATTGTGAACAAATAAAGCATTGGAGTCTGATTAATTTGGTAAGAGAGCAACATTCCTCTCTAGGGCTTGTGGAGAATTCTTCCAGCCAGTAAAGCGGCTTCCATGGTAACATGTATTACTTCAATAACATCATCCACATTGCACGTGTTTCCTTTGAATGTAGTAGTCCTCGAGTTCTTGAAGTTATTCATACAGTTTATCAATGCTTGGCTGCACTCTTGGCTTAGGTAGTCATCTGCATAACATCACCATCAATCAATAGTTACCACCTCCCCCATTCAGCTATGCTTAGATCCACCAACGAAATTTTATAAATTTATAGCGTGTTTTTTATTCATTGAGGCTGCAGATCCCCATCGCAACTAATAGTTGCTTTTGAGGTGATTTTACACCAAGTCTGAATCTCTGATGGGAAACCAAACCCGCACTTGGTCAAAAGGCAAAATTGGATTTTTATTGTTCAATAACACAAAATCTACACGATTCCAGTATTCCACAAAATAGTAGTTTAATGAACATTTTTGTGGGGTACAAAGTTCACTATTAGTTATTATCCCTTACATGTCCGCTCATGCATGTCTTTGAGTGAAGAAGAAGGGATGCAATGAGGGTCATCTTCATAATCAAGCCAACTAAGTTGGCCAAGGAAGCTCCGTTGCAAACTCACGGTAGTTGGAATTAGTCATCAAAAAAGAATGAAATAGATGAAAGGTCATGATTAGTTTTTATTTCTGTTCATGAACTTATTTTGCCTTTTCTTCTAATGTAGTGTTAGGTCCAACTTTGTTTCTGTTAATAATTAGTTAACCTTTTATAATCAATTTCCAGAAAAAACGCTACCTTGTGGGATATTACTTCATTGGAAAAAGCTATTTCACTCTGAAGAGCTATTTTAAAATTGTGCTTATCCCACTCCCTCCTTTGAGAAAAAGAGAAGCTAGACTACACACTACCTAAACAAATCCCTGTCTTTCTCAATTCTCACCCTGTCCAACCTAACGATTTTGAAAGTCATGTGCTTGCAACAACAAGTGCACTGACTGATTCAATTTCCTGTTCTACCTATTTCAATAGTTTATTACCATTAGAGCTTGTTTAGTACAAATTCAGTTGTATGTTTTACCTGAAGACTTATACAAAATAACTCATCAGGGATCATTCAAAACTGAGCTTTAAGATAATAACAGACCTATCAAAATGAAGACAAACACGGTACATAAAAGAACTGAATTGAAGATCTACTTTGTGAAGGACATGATTATCCCATTTCCAGAGAGTCAGATTCGATAAATTCTGACACTGGAAGTATTCAAACAAATCTATATAGAAATTAAGTCATAATCTAAGATGTATTAATTGAGAAAGCTATTATAGAACTCACTGTTTTTGGATTGCACACATTCATCATGCTTCATACAACAAGCATCAAGGCCATCACAGGGTCTTTCCCCAGGGCATCCACTATACAGAAGTCCACAATATTTGCCATATCTCAATAATGGAGGCACTGTCATTCCAAACTCCAAAGTGTTGTTATTGGCCCCATGCCATAGTAATCAAATTAAACCTAAAGCAATCAGCTAAATCTTCTAAGTAACAAGAAAAATAGTAATAGAATTAGTCATGTACCTGAGCAGAAACTTGACTCACATTGTCTACTGCACTCCTTGCTCTGCAGAAGAATAATAAAAAAAGAGAGAGAATTAGAAAAAAAGTACTAATTGTAAATGTTACTGTAAGGTTTAATCAATGTTACTTTGGAACTGGATAATTTAACCAAGCAAGAAGATTACCACAGAGACAGCTACTCCAGTGGTTTCAGCTCCTATGTTGAGGGCACAGCCAGGAGTAGTTAACAAGTTAAAAGAAAAAGTACAATAAAAGAGGAGAAGAACGTACTTGAGTGAGGAGGTTGGAACCATGTTTCGTAGAATAAAGGAGAAAAAGTGAGATTACTTACAAGTTTGTGAAACTTGGTTTTGCTTAGAGGCTTTGATTTATAGGATGAAAAGGTGGAGACAAAGGGGGGATGGTGTTGGATTTCAGGACAAAGTTTTCAAACACATGGCAGACACAGTAACAGCCACAGTCACAGCCACAGCCACAGCTCAGAGAGAAAGAGTGGAGGGTAGGTGATTTGTTTTGTAGTGTCTCGTGACTGCATTATTTTAATATATTCTTTCTTAGCACTTTTATATGGCTGCTTTAGCTGCATTCCAAACTTTGATGCATTGCAATTGTGCTATTTTTTCAACCATTAAGTAGAAATGTCTCAATACATTATGATAATGTAAAAAAATTAATGCATTAACAATGACAACACATCAAATTTAAAATCTCAAATTAGTAACAAAAGAAAACAAACCCTTATCTGGTGGAGGCTGCTTTCATTATCTGTCTCAACTCGTGAACTAATTGGTCATTACCAAGCTACCTATTTCTCCATTGAAAGCCAAATAACTACTAGTGAGAATTTTTGGACGAGAGAAAGGTGAGAATATAAATTTTATTTTTTATTATTATTATATTGACTTTTTTTATATAAGTCATTTATTATCATGATAATTTCTGGGAATTAGTGGGAGTATAAGAAACCCGTAAGTAATTCTTTCTTTCTACCATATCTGATGTGGACATTCTACCAATTTTTCTGCATTCTCATAATTGATTTCAACATGCACGCGACGCACAAGTTACCTTGAAATATCTAAGGATATGATGGATATATGTATAAAATTATAAATACAATAATAATAAAAAAGGGCACTTGTGAATCTTTTGAAATTTGAATCCCCTTTCCAACATGATATCAATTAATGGATCTTGTTTGTTAATGTTAATTATCTTCTTGGTGGTTGTCTATAGAATATATAAATTATGTTTTTCTATTTACAATATTTAACTTAAATTGTAATATAAGGTTGTTTGAATTATTGAGAATTTTCTCTAAAAATATTTAAATTTAATTCGTATATAGATTCTGTTTAATTATAGAGTCATAAATCCAAAAATATATCCATTAAATAATTCTATTTATTAATATTATATTTATAAAATAATTGAGTTAAAATAAAATTAATTAAAAATTATTATTTTATTAATAAATCAAGTTGTTGATTGATTGTTTGACAAAATTAGGTTGTTTATCAATCATTTTCCTTAAATATATATACTATTCAATTAGGTAAAATTTGTAGGGATTTTCCACTTATATGTTTCAACTCCATTATTTTTATTAAATACGAGACTTCTCATATTTGAATTCTAATACTCTCCTTCATACATACTGATATAATTAACATTGAAAATGTTATATTAATTGCTGAGCGTTCTTCCGAACAATCTTAATTCATTTTCCTAGAAATGCATGTTGTCTTGACAATTTGGCTCTTCATTCAGTTGTGGTTTCCTACATCACTTGTTTACATCATACACATAAAAAAAATGGGCTATTGGGCTATGATGTTGTTATTATTCGCAACGTCACCATTTGCATTAACCCATTTATGAACAAAAAAATGAAAGACTCTCTTCAACATTTGCAAGGGTCCACCATGTCAAGAAATGAAAGACTCTCTAAATTTCTGATTTTTTTTTTCCACCTTCTAAAATTTACATTCCAGAATTGTGTGGAGTTATCATTTCAGAATTGTGCTTCTGAAAATATTGACCATGCAAGTTCCACAAACATGATTCATATTTCTGTTTTTGTTTCTTGGTAGTTTCATCATTAATAATAGAAACAAATGCTACGAGAGAACATGTAACATAACGTTGTTTCATCTCAAGAAGGCGACATGACAACCAAATGTATATAAAATAGTTTAAGAAGAATAGAAAAGTTGAAGTGTTGCATTGCATCTAAAACAACATCAAAATACGAGACCTAAACTTTTATTTTAAATTGAAAGTTTTAATGATAAAAGAAACTATATATATCCTGTTAACTATTTTTATTGTAATGAAAGATTGATTAAACGAGTGAGGGAAATGGCCTGTGATGATTGAATCGTTGTCCATAATGGAGTGGTTGAAAAGAGTGTGGGAGAGAAGTGTTTGTGATTGAGTAGAAGAAGATATAAGAAAAGATGGGGCTACCATTAACAAGTCTTGGAATATAATTTTGAAAGATCATTAAGATTGGAAAGGTGATAGATATGGGATAAGTCATTCTCGACAACTTGTTCAGGAATGTTGCATCTCCCACGGCTCCTACCAATCAATACATAACTAGCTAAAATAATACTGCAAATATGAACCTCATGTGAAGAAAAAGAGATTATTATTACATGTTCTTGAATAAGGTCCATGTATTTATAACTAAATATGAACGTTAATATAGGTTGAGAATATCATAATTATTCATCTTCTAGTAGCCATACATGCAGTGGAGGTGCTTGAGAACAGACATGGTTAGGGTAGTGTAGTGTGGTGTTCATACTGTTGCAGCAAGGATGTGTTATTAGGAGAGGTCCCATGCTTTGCCACCCTTCATGTTGAACTTCTTGAGCCTCCCAAAGAACATGACCAAGATGAGGATGAACTTGCCTTTGTTACTCCATCTTCCAGAAAATCCAACCCATGAATCTTTGCACGTACCATCGATTCTGAGTTGCCTTCCGCAGCTGTATCCCGTTGATAACCCTACGTTCCCATAAGCACTGCACATAAACGTTTTTAACTCTCTCAACCAAACACCATCAACTATTATGTGTATAATATATGTTAAAATTATTAATTAAACATGTTGCAGAAAGAGAGAAAAGAGGGTTAATCCTTGCCTGATGACTTCTAGGGTGATGTTCAACACATTGAAGTTGAGGGGGTCCTCCTTCAGGCTTTTGTTCTCTGTGATGCAGATCAGAATAATGAACATGACCAAGTAAGAGAGTTGAGAGAATAAAACACACTCCACTGTGCTTCTTTCCTTTGTCTTCACATCATTTTCGTGTCCTCTTACAGGTAAAAATGTAGTGTATGGTGGAAGGTACCTGTTAGATCCACAGAATTATTGGTTGAGTATATCTTTTTATAACAGGTATCATGTTCCTCTCTATATTGATTCATGAGAATATAGAAAATTATCATGAAACAAGTGATGAATCTCTTAAAGATGCATCCCGAATAACTTTTCCTTCGTCCAAAATATTAAGAATACAAATCTAAAACACACGATATTTTGATGGTGTTTGTTTGCGGTGAATTAATCATATTTCTGAGTATCAAACCAATACATATATTCGAGATCCAGGAGCAAAGAATGTGTGCAAAAAGCTCAATATTTAGAATCCACGTTTAAGAAAAGCCAAAAAAGAATAACTACATATTCTACTCCAACTAAAACTAAAGAAAAATCTCAAATTCTCTTCCAAGATTTCAACCCTACTATTATACGGGGCATTGAAGAAAGTGTCTCGTCAAGGAAGCATTCGAATTCTCATTTGACAAATGGATATGTGTTAGTGTTATATCTACGAAACATTACATGGTTTAAGGCTAAAATAGGTTACTATTTACTATCTACTGCCGGTGATCACAAAATTTTGTTCTACGTCCCAACTATAGGAATATGATTTCATGAATATTAAAATAGGATAATAAAATAATATATATATATATATATATATATATATATATATATATACATATACATATATAATGTTACCAAATAATGAGTTTTGCCACTAAAAAATGTAATATATTTAGTCAACCTTAATTATGTCTGGTGTGGCTAGCTAGTGATTTCCGAAATAGACTTCAAAATGGTAACATTTTCTCTCTTGTTTCTTTTCAAGTTTGATTAAAAAAACATATCTTTTAAGTGATAGAATTTTTTTCAACTATTTTTTAGATGCTATATTTTAGTTAGACAGACAAAATATGAAGTTTTATTAATATATATATATATATATATATATATATATATATATATGTAGTGATTTTTTAAATGAATATTCTTAATGGAAAAGGATGGATGGACACTACCTAATAATTAAGAGTTAGCAAAGGATATAAAAGAAAGAAATAGTAAGTGGAGATGATAACATATAGAAGAAGTACGAGTTTTGTGATGTTAATTAAACTGAGAGAGATTAGCGACTTACATCATGACAATGAAGAGCACCAATATGGCTGAAGAGAGGGAAGAGAGATCAAAAACGGATTCACCAGAGTGTCTGGCATTTGTAACTTGGAACAAGGAACCCACCACTCTCTCATACACATTCAGACCCTCCATGGTTTTGGTGTTCCACTCCAAGGAGCAAAACATCACGAACTGTATAAGATTGAAACACAAAACAGTAGCAACCAGGAGGCAACAATGAAGAGCAGAGAGCATATGATCATAGCCAACGTCTTTGAAATTCTTCAGCAGGTGCGAGAATTCCTCTCTCCTGCTAACCTTTCTCAGAGCCATTATCACAAGCCTCAGACATGATGGGTAAAGGGTGTTACCTAGCAACACATATGGGAGGATAAGGAGGAGAAGCCCCGAATTCTTCTTGAAAACCATCATGTTCTCGTTGGTGGGGACAAAACCACAACTAGCAAAAGTGGAAACTACGGTAAACAAAGAAAATGTTGCAATCTTAATGTCTTTGCTTTTCAGGACTTGTGTTGCACTTGGTACGAAGGTTATGTACAGAGACACCAAAATGAAGCCAACAACTTGAACCACCACTAGGTAACCTAAAACTACAAAAATCAGATAGATATAACAGTTGTTCTTAAGTCTATCACTGTCCTTAAAGGGAACCATCCTGCCCTTTGGAACGTTAATGTCACTAGGTTTGTGATTTTCCGATTCTGAGTGAGAAACAGAAATTAAACTAAGCTCAACATGGTTGGCATGAATTGGGGGCTTCTCAGAGGGTGGAAAAGGAGTGGTGCTAATTTTGTTTTTAACAATCTGGGTGAATTTGTACCTAGCAAATAGTAGGTCAAGCATGGAAGTGAAAACTTCCCCGCCAACAAACATGAGAAAGGTGAGGAGAAGGAGTTGAGAATTGGAGAAAACCTCCATTTCAACGGCCACCATGCTAGAAACAGTGGAAGCAGAAACAGAGGTGTAAAAGAGGTCTAAGTCATTTGGTCTAACGGGGGTTCTTGGCTTTGAGAACTTGAGACCAAGGTAACCAAGCAGAGAAAGGACCAGGAAATAACACAGTTGAACAAAGAAGGGGTGGACATGGAAGGCTAGAAAATGAACCAAGAGCCTGAGCCTTTGTGTGAAAAAACTACAAAGACGATGCTGTTTCTGAATGAAGTAGGCAAAGTTGTTCATCATTGTACTCAATTTGTTCTGGTAGAAAAGAAGGATGTTGGTGTGGATGTAGGTGTAATGGATGCAATTTATAAAACAAAACATCTATCTGTTCATGTGGGCTCTAACCTCACTGTAACCATGTAATAGGTTATGCGAATGAAGGAGCACAAACATGCATCAACACTAATTAAAAAATATATTTTTGAAAACTAGCACTCACTCCAGAACCCCCCAAGAAGGAAAACATTACATGTAAGACTAACAGTTACACCCTTTCTTATATAACACGAAAAAAAACTTTTACAGAGCACTTGAATTTTCTTTTCCCTCTTGAATAGGATGGTAAATACAAAGTTCTTAATTTGCTGCATATACGTGTATACACGTATGTAGCGTAGATAGGTATATATGTTCGATATTTAGAATATTCAAACTCTATATTTTTATTTTTTTTATAACAATATTTTTAGATACTTTATCAATATGTATTAGTGAAATGTATAAATTGTTAAAACATTTATATATGATAAAAACATAAGAAACATATAAAGTATATAAATACTATTTTTTTCATAAATAAAAGGATAAACTTGTTTTTTTACAAATTATTTTAGCTTTCTATTTGAATTTAAGCATTCAATATTGCTGCGCAACTTTTCTCGTCCACTAATTATTTGTGTACCTTATGCAAAGCTAGAATTAATATTAATGAATTTTGATTTTATGTTATAAATCTCTCTTAAATTTTAATACTTGATATTTTAGGTAACATTAATTAATCTGTCGTTGAATAATACTTGAAATCTATCTTGTAAAATTTTATAATATATAAATGTAAATTTTATTTTATGAATTAATTTATAACATTAAATTAGACTTAAAATCTATTTGTAATATATTCCTTCGTTACCTTTCTAAGGAAATGGTACGAATACGTGTGTTTTATCCTAAAATGAAATAATAATTTTTTCAATAAAACTATTGAATGAAGCCATCATCACTTGTTCATTTTTAGGTTGAGTACTGAGAATATTAGGTAGCATGTTAGAGTGTTGTAAAATAAAATTTGAGGTTCGATAAAGAAATTTGTCATTCTTTCTTCTCAACCTTTATTGTAGATAAGAAAAACTTATGATATCACAACACCCATCAAAAAATTAGATCTGAAAATTCAATGAAGCCATTATTATTCATCCTTTTTTTCAATTCCTTTTACTTTTTATTATGCTTTTTATTGGTAAAGAATAGATGAAATTTATGAGATACCTTGGAATTGAATCCTTTTATAATAAATGCAATTACTCACGTTGATAATTTCTTATCTTTACGATTTCAATGAACTCACTGTTGATTTGATGAGTGTTTAAAAGTTATAATGAAAAATATTATTATATCTTTAATTATCATACATTTTATATTGAGGATAAATAATCAAGGATTATTTAGTCTATAATTATTAACTATTGATTCTAATATTTTTGAAGTTAATTAATTCCGATATCGTATTAAAGAAGCTTATATCCATTTTTGCCTAAGTTGAAGGTAAATGCAAATAGGAATGCAAATATGATAATTAATTAGCATTTAATGACTCTTTTAGACTTTGAAATTTTGATTCTGTTCTTCAAGTAGAAGGAGAATGGTGAATGAAAATGAATGGATTCTCCAACGTGATGAAAATGAAACAAGAAATTGATGCAATGTTCGCCACTAACTCGTTGCATCTTCCACTTTGAGCATGTTGATATATGTGGGCATCAATATTCCACTTCAAACAACACAGCGCCTCCAAAGTAATTTTTGTCACAATTTAAATTATTTATTATAATTCAAAATATTTTAAATATCATATCGATTATTCATTAAAAAATATTTGAAAAATAAAAAATAATATATTAATCTTTATTTTATTTTTTTAATAATTTTTTTTAAGTTTCAAACAATAACAATAATTAGTATTTGATTTAGGAATAAAAAAATATATCAAACTCATGTTTATTATAATAATATTATTATGATTAATTTTTTTATATTTAAAATATTATTTATTTTATTTTTTATTTTTAATAATTTTATCTTTAATCTTTAAAACATCTTAACAATAGTTTTAAAACGTGGACTAATGTATAAAAATGAAATACCTAATTTAAGTCTATCTCTAACTCTGAAACTTGTAATTATTTAATGTATAGGAATGAAATACCTAATTTCACTTTAACTCTATCTCTGAAACTTGTGATTGAGAAAAACAAAAGCTTGTTGGAGGTATATAATCATCCCAAAATAATTGTTTTTATTCTGTTTTTGTCGGTTTATATAAAACAAATCGAATAGAAAAGATAAGATATAATAACTTCTAAGTGTTGATGTGCTTTGTGCATTGTAGACACTACCTACAATGTTTTTTTAATAATGTGTAATGCACATATGGTGCTCATCTTCTCTCTCGAACTCTCTACTTTCAGTAGCTTTAATTTTAATGTTCGTTTATAGTTTACTTGGTATATAAACATTTTCTTCATTAACTTTTTTTTTTTTGTTGAACTAATGAAAAAAATCATGGGTGTAAATTTTAAAATAATTATTATAAAAGTTAATAAACATTATCTACATACCACTGACGGATCTTTTTTGGAGTTTAGGAAGGTCGTGACCTCTCAAAATTTTGTAACTTTCATGTTATTTATTATTTTGGTTCCCGCAAACTTAACGAACATTTAATATATTTATTTGTATATTTACAATTTTATCCTCTCAGTCCTTCCTCAGTTTTGTAACTGTCGTATAATTTATGATTTTGTTCCCCTTAAACTTAATGATCATTTAATATATTTAAGTATATATCTATAATTTTATCTTTTTATCATTCTTCTTTCTTTTATATTTATTTATTATTTATTAATAATATATTATTTGATCCCGAGATTAATAATCAACATCTCGTCACTCCTACTTATATAATTATGATTGTCCAAACTATTGAGTGCATATACTATTTACTTATATATTTAATAAATAATTACTTTTTTCTTAAATTCTTAATATTGCTGACTGTTTGATTAAATAATATTCAAATTTTTAAAATGCTAATTTCTTTATTGTTTTATATTTTCTTTTTGAATACACAATAACTTTTGATTAAATATAAGTTGCCAAAATGAGCATTAATTACTCATACATGACCCGTATACATTGTAAGTTGACATTTGATTTTTTATATAAATTTCAAAGCCATGTGAGTTCCCATGCTTTGCCACCCTTCATGTTGAACTTCTTGAGCCTCCCAAAGAACATGACCAAGATGAGGATGAACTTGCCTTTGTTACTCCATCTTCCAGAAAATCCAACCCATGAATCTTTGCACGTACCATCGATTCTGAGTTGCCTTCCGCAGCTGTATCCCGTTGAGAACCCTACGTTCCCATAAGCACTGCACATAAACGTTTCTAACTCTCTCAACCAAACACCATCAACTATGTGTATAATATATGTTAAAATTATTAATTAAACATGTTGCAGAAAAAGAGAAAAGAGGGTTAATCCTTGCCTGATGACTTCTAGGGTGATGTTCAACACGTTGAAGTTGAGGGGGTCCTCCTTCAGGCTTTTGTTCTCTGTGATGCAGATCAGAATAATGAAAATGGCCAAGTAAGAGAGTTGAGAGAACAAAACACACTCCACTGTGCTTCTTTTGTTTCTCTTCACTTCTTTTTCTTCCTCTCTTACAGGTAAATATGTAGTGTATGGTGAAAGGTACCTGTTTCACAAACAAAATGAAAATAGAATGATATTCTCTGCACATATTGCATATGTTTAACTTATGTCTTGCTCATCCTAGATATATTAATTCCTGATAATACCATTACCATGTTTCTGACAAAAAATTAAGATAATTATGAAATTTCTATTACTTCACATGTGTCATAGCAAAGACTCTGAAATTTACACGTTTCGTAGCAAGAAAATATATACATAAATCATAGAAACATATCAGTTTTTATACATAAAAAAACATCTGTATTGTTATCTGGTCCTAAATATGCTGCTCCAACTAAGGGAAGATTACATACAAACTATAGCATGAGAAGAAGTCAAGGAGGTGGCATAGAAGTCTGGTCAGTATAATTAGTGAAATTTAGTCAAAGAAGCAGAATGTTCGTCACACAGTTTAAGATTAAAAAATCATTATTTCCTATCCACTTATCCGAGAGTGTAGTGTTATTAAACAATCAATAATTGGTATGAATATTATTATTGAAATACCAGAAGCCACAACCACAAAGATGGGAATCAGTAAAATGACTGCGAGATGAAAGGAAGAGTCAAAAGCCAATTCTTCAAGGAGTAAGGGTTGTATATCTTTGAACCATTATAACATACAACTCATACAAATATATATATATATATATATATATATACATGATGGGTATTTTAGAAGAGAGTAATAATGAAAGATTCTCATACGAACAAAATAGGAATCAACTATATATATATACACATGAAAATTCTACCTTTTATTTGAGTTTAATTTTACTTATAGTATCAAACTTTTTCAGCCAACAAATTTATGTTACAGAATTTAATCAAATAAAGAATCTCTAATCTTAAAATAATTACTTTCAAAAAGTTTTATTTGTCCTTGACTAGCTTTTCAAGAAAATAGAAAACCGAAAAATATTATAATTTTATTAAAACAATAAATTATGTTAAAGAGTTTTTCATGAATAAGTTTTTTTTTAATTATTACAAACAAAAAAGTTTCTTTACATTTTTTTCACTTCCCATTTCCATTTTTTTATATTTTTTCTTTTTTTTATCACATATTTTATATTGTTTAGCTAAATTATTTCTTGATATTAAAGTGGAGTTTGCTCTTATTTTTGTCCTATCATGGCAGAAACTGAAAATCAATTGAAAACAACCTTTCACTAATTAATCTACAGATTAAATAATAAAGTTGTCTCTTTTATCCTCTCACTGGTTCTACATCCAAAATTAGAGGACAAAAAAAGATGAATTTTTGTAAAGGAACACCCTTTCAATGAGTAGAAAGAGAACACAAAAATAATAATGAAGTGAAAGAATATATTAGTGGTGTGAATGATTTAGTGTGATGATCCTGATAGAGATAGTAGTGAAGTGACTTACATCATCACAATGAACAGTACTAATATGGCTGAAGAGATGGAGGAGAGATCAAAGACAGATTCACCAGAGTGTCTGGCGTTTGTAACTTGAAATAATGACGCCACCACTTTCTCATACACATTCAAACCCTCCATGATGTTGGACTTCCATTCCATGGAGCAAAACATCACAAACTGTATAACATTCAAACCCAACACAGTACCAACCAGGAAGCAACAACGAACAACAGATAACAAATGCTCAAAGCCAATGTTTTTGGAATTCTTCAGCAAGTATGAGAATTCCTCTTTTCTGGTCACTTTTTTCAAAACCATTAGCACAAGCCTCAAACATGGTGGATACAGGGTGTTGCCTAGAAACACATGTGGGAGGATGAGGAGCAGAAGCCCCGAATTTTTCTGGAAAACAATCATGTTCTCGTTGGTGGGGATAAAACCGCAACTTGCAAATGTGGAAACTATGGTAAACAAAGAAAATGTTACAATTTTAATGCCTTTATTTTTCAGTACATCTCTTGCACTCGCTACCAAAGTCATATACAAACACACCGAACTAAAGCCAACAAATTGAACCATCAGCAGATAACCCAACACAACATAAGACAAATAACTGAGAGACTTATACTTAAGTTTATCAACATTGTCACAGGATGTGTGATCTTGTGATTCTGAGTGAGGAATAGAAACTAAACCAAGCTCAATTTGATTGACATGAATTGGAGACTCGTTTGAGGGTGACGAAGGATTGATGCTAACTAATTTGTTTTGGATATTAATCTGGGTGAGTTTATACCTAGCAAATAGAAGGTCGAGCATGGAAGTGAAAACTTCCCCGCCTAGAAACATGAGAAGGGTGAGGAGAATTAGTTGAGAATTGGAGAAAATCTCCATTTCTAGGGCTACCATACTAGAATCAGTGGAAGCAGAAACTGAGGTGTAAAAGAGGTCAAAGTCGTCTTTAGGCCTATAAGGGGTCCTTGGCTTTGAAAACTTGAGACCGAGGTAACCTACCACAGAAATGAAGACGAAATAGGAAAGTTGAATAAAGAAAGGGTGGAAATGGAAGGCTGCAAAACGAGCCAAGCGTGGAATATGTGAGAAAAAAGTAGAAAAATAGGAGAAGAGTTTATTGTTCATAATTGTATTTAGTTGAAGTACAAAAAGTACGTCCTATAGCTTTTAGCTTGTTTTGGACAACTATCCCTCAAATGGCAGCTATTATATGGGAGCTGAATGTGGCCTCTGTAATAGATTATGCAGAAGAAGGAGAATAAACCTGTTCAATCATTCGTTAACTATAATGTTTTTAAAACAACCTAATCGTCATATTCATAAAAAAGGTGGGGTGGCGCTGGACTTATACATAAAGAAACAACACTGATTGATCTTATTAAATGATTATGGTAGTTATCATTTGATCAATATTTATTGACTTCTCTCACGTTCTCCACTAGTATGGATCTACCTTCGTGTGCTCTCACATTCAAAGTATTGAATTTATGGGTTTAATTTTTTTTTTCCCCTAAACTTTAATTAGTTTTGCTTTTAGTTTCTTGTCCAATTTTAATTTTTGGACTTCTTTTGTTTGGGCATATTTTTGTGTTTGTCGTCAAGCAGCGTACATGGCAACTAGGTTGTAACTGATATTAAACATGTTTGTGTATCACTCATTCACTGTGATCATGAAAGCTCACACTCTTAATATTATTAATTAAGTACCTCGTACCTAAGGGAAAGAATGGTATGGATCATATATCACCACCTGGCGTCTTTACAGGATATGATTGTAACTGTTTAATTATATATAAGTTAATGAAATCCAAGCGAAGGACTCGGAGCAATAATTAGTCATTTACAAATCAAAATGCCTTCCTTCATGTTTACGTGATACGACTTTATTCATTATTGCTTTATAAAAACTGTTTTTCCAACCTACAATAATGTCCCTTTCTGTTAATCCAACTACTTGTTCCTTTTCAATTACTAATGTTTAAATCTTTTTTATTTCGAAATTATTGATGTATTTATATTATAAATTTCAAGTCTCGTTTGATTTTACTTTTGTCGAGTGTGTCATCATATCCTTATGAGAAACACTTAGCTTGTAAGTTGTAGCCTTGTTAAATGAAAATAGATGAATAAATTATATTCTTATATTATACTCAATAACTGTACTTCTAACTGAACATAATATTATCAAACATTTCTTAGCCTATATACATTAATCTTAATAGATTTAGAACGGACATAACGACTTTATTCGATACCTAACAATACATTAATTACTATTTTAATTTACCATTAATATAGGTTTTTTTCTCCACTACTAATTTTCCTAAAAGATAATGTCCATATGAAAATTTATCAAATATATGGACATCTTTCAGTGAAGCTTGAATCCTTTATTTGCGGCTTCACTTAATTAATCAAAAAGATGGTTTGTTCATCATCTTACGTAATGAATCATTAAGATTTTATTTTTTGGATTGAATTATGGTTTCATACCATTATGATTTTTTAATGATATTGTGATTTATTATATTTATATTTAATTTTTAGTACGTTGAGTTGAATTTAAGTTAAGATGAAACTTATTGAAAAGGTTATCTACCCTGAGGATCTACCATTCTAAAAAACATAGTCCAAGAATAAGCTTTATCCATTTCCTACTTCTCCTTTCGGACTAGGCATAGATCTGAGAGAACCAACCTGTATATTAGAGATTTGATTGGTAGCAGGACAAGAACAATTGAGAATGATGAGTTACCCTAAACCCCAGACAAAAGTGAATGTTTCCAAACTTTGGATGATATTCCCGAGCCATGGAATTGGTTATAATGCAAGATAGACGAGGTCGAGTTATAGCCAAAAAATAAATGTTCCAGAAAATTGGAAAAACCGGTGAGATGAAGGAGGTTGTGAATTTGAAGTCTTCTCGAAAGAGAAAGGCACTCCTCATAGACATATTTGTTTCCTAAACTAGAAATGTTTTTTCCAACTTAAACCAGTTTGGGATCAATGAAATTTGTTTTCTTTTGTTTGGGACTAAGACTTACATCTGTCATAAATTACAAAAAAGGCACCAGTGTCTAACTTTAACATCATTAGAATGCATTTACCTCAATCTCTACTTTCTTTCCCAACTTTGACATCCGACAGCATTACTCTTCACTAAATTTATGTGCTTTTACAGTCTCAACAAGTGATTTTATTGTCAACTTAATGAGTTCTACTGTTTTTTGGAGAGAAGGTTAAAGATTATTTTATATATACATATAAAAAAAAGCATGGCTTCTTTATGCAACATATAAAAAATATAGAACCCTTATTCCAGTCAATTTATCTTACAAATTAACCATATACTCTTACACAGTCTAGTACGTATCACATCATTTGAAGCATGGTAACAAGTTAACAGCATACCACAAATTTCAATGAAGAAAGCCGAACATAGAGAGGTTTGATAGGTTCACAGTACTTAAAGAGACATGCCTTAGCGAACTAAGAAGACAAACATGTTTGTAGCCTCGTATCAAGGTCTAACTTTTATAACCCCGAATTATTACAAACCACCATCCACACTCTCTCACATGAACTTCCTGTACGGCCGACCATTATCTTCATCTTGCATATGCTGTAACCATAAAAGTTCAAATATACACTAAATTATATGGATAACTGCAACCAAAAGCATTCACATGTACACCCAAAAAACAGGCTTATATAGAAGTGAAAAGAAATTTTGAGAAGAATATTGCAACTGAAAGATCGAACAGAGTCAAACTGAAGAAACCATACAGCAACTTCAACATTAAAATAGCTTTTGATATGAGAAGTCGTTTGAGGGCAAAAGCTCTCTACTGATGACAATATTTGTAAACAATGCAACCAATTAAACACACATAATTAGAAATAATTAAGGTGCTTGATTTGCATTTCAAAATTGCTTAGTTTTCAAAATAAAACTAAACAAGGTTGAATAAAACGTTGTTTATGTTTTTTTTTTTTTTTTTGGTTTATAAAAAATGAACTCAGACAAACATGAATACAATTGGGATGAAAAAGTGATACTATGAACGTGTTTTTAAAATAAAAATGTGAGAAAGGGAGAAACAGGGGAAGGGAAGGCGTTGGCAGCTGTGAGTTGTGTTGTGGTGGAAGCAGTGAATGAGATCACAGAGGTAGAAGAAGGTGAAAATTTGACAAAGAAAGAGATCATATTCCTAAAGCCCTAAATTGTGAAGAGCAAGTGTGTACATGAATCGGAAATGGTAGGGTTTAAAAAGAAGACGTCACTCATAGATACATACATAGAGAATGGTGAACTAACCTAACCTAACCTAATAGAAATTGAAATTGAAATTGAAATTGAAAAAGCGATATGTGAATGAAATAGGGGACTTACGAATTCACGGACGATGCCCTTGTAGACGAGGACGGGAATGGCGATGCCGAAGATGCCAACAAGGGCGAGGTTGCGGCGAGTCCAACGGAAATTGAACTCCAGATTCTCTCTAGCAGTGCCCCAATCCTCTATGAATTTGTTCTTGTTTGCTTCCATTCCTCCCCCCATCTTTCTCTTCTACTAAATCAATCAGATCCAATCCAAATCCCTCTCTTCTCTTCTCTTCACTTCTCTTCTCTCCTTCACTTCTTCTTCTCTCCCTCGCCTTTCCTCTCCCACTCTTTATATGCATGGGCCTCGGCCCACTACCTCCTCCTCTCCCCCAGGCCCAACCCATTTCCCTCCTCTTCCATTCTTTCAACACTGAACTTCTACTTAACAAATACTTCCTTGACAAATATTTTAGTAGAAGTATATTTTTTAACTCAACACATAAGATAAAATATATAAAATATTAGACATGGAGTTGAATAATTAAAAAAAATATTTATACCTAATTCATGAGATGGAGTTTTTTATTTATTTAATTGAAAATTTTAGCTTTTTAATATAAAACATGAATATATATATATATATATATATATATATATATATATATATATATATATATATATATATATATTAAGACATAGTAAAAAGAAGTAGGAAACCCCAATTCAACCATTTCTCAAATCAAACTTTTGTTCTTTCCATGTTTTAATAGTTATCAAAATCTTACCTATATATGATGAAACATATATGATTAGCCATGGTAAAAGAAAAATCACTCCAAAAACACTTTAAAAAAAAATAAAACACTACAACAAGAAACCTTAATCCAATTGTTTCTCAAATCAAAACTTTTGTGATTTTGCTTCAAGGTTTAATTTTTTTTTTTTAATATAGTTTTCTTATGAAATACAAATCTCAATATTTATCAAAATCTTAGATTACGTTTCATATTTTCTTTAAATATAATTTTTAAAAATACAAATCTCAATATTTATCAAAATCTTACACATATAGTCTGAGAAAATTCACACATTATTAAATGAATATCAATGATCTCTTTATTGTTTTCATAAATCAATATAATTTTTTTGTTATCTTCTACTATTTAGGAATTTTTTTATTTATTCGTGTCTTTTATTTTTTGCCTCCATGAAGACAAAAAATCATTGTCTCCCCACGTTCCAAAACTTTTTACAAACTAGTTGAAGGCAATAAAATATAAGATACTAAAAAAAAATCACTAGAATAAAAAACTTTAATCCAAATTCGTTGAAGATTTTGATGATCATTTTCTATTTACGGAAAATTCTTTTGACTTTTTGGAACTCTATCCAAACTTACGAAGGTATAATACAGTATTTTTAAAATCGGATCCATAGCTATAGATTAAAAAAATGACGAGAATGTAATCCGATTTAATAAAATAATATTAGTAATTATGATTTTATATAAAAAAATAATAAAAATTACTGTCGTGTTATGAGTTATAATAAAAATTATAAATATAAAATATATTAAAAAATTAAAAGAAGAATAATTATTAAAATAAGATAAAAATAAAATAAAATAATTATTATATTTGATATAATAAATATAAATCAAATTTTTTTAATATATATAAAAAACATATTAAAAAAATTGATTTATATTTTTTTACTAAAATTAATTTAATAAAAAATTAGATTAATTTAATCAATTTTATTTTTATTTAATTAAAATTTAATTATTTAAAAACAACGATTTCTAGTTATCCTATTAGTATAGTTTTAAAAAAGTGATATACAAAAAAATTATATATGAAATTCTAATCCAACCATTTCTCATAAAATCTTTGGCATGGAGTATAAAAAAGAGTATAAAATAATTCATTAGGTCTACATTATTTATTGTTTAATAAATTCCTATAGGGGAATTCGAAGTCATTTACTATATACAAAGGGCACACCTTCTTTCTTTATTGTCCATAAACTATAGGAAAATTTGTTGTCCTTTCATTGTTTACCAAAAACTTATTCCTATTATCTAAATATTTGACCAAATTCACTCAAGACTAAGTAAATAAAGAAGTTATTCTAAAAACATCTAAAAAAAAAAAATACTGTAATGATAAATTATAATCCAACATATTTTCAAATCAAACTTTTGTTGTTTCTATGTTTTTTCCAAATCAAACTTTGATCAGAAATATGATTTGAAAATCTTATATAATTTGAAATAAATATGAAGTAGTCCACACATCATGTGAAATGAATATCAATGGGTTTACACTATTAATTAGGAAGAATTTGTTATCTTTTATTATTTGTGAATAATTTTTCCTTATTTTATTGTGTTTTATTTATCAAGTTATCAATGAATTTTAACATGTCTACACTATTTATGGCCTCCATAAATCACTGAAGAAAATTTTATTATCATTTACTATTTATGGCAAAACTCTTTTTTTTTTTTTTACATCCTTGAACATTATTCAAACTCATTTAACACATAGTAAAAATAAATAAAAAATATAATATCACAAATCAAACTTTTATTTATTTTTTCAAATAAAGCGTTGTTTTTAAATATAAATCTTAATGTTTATCAAAATCTTATTCATGTGAAAAATGTCTCAAACATTTTACACTTCATCAAATGAATATTAAAACAAAATATTATCTATTGAACATTTAATTTTTTTTTATCTATTTAATTTGTATTTAGTTTCATACAAAATAATATAATTCATATAAAATTTATATCTAAAATAAGTTGATGCACGGAGTTGAAACACATATATACAGAGGAATCTGTTTACTAATTTTTCAATATTAAATTACATAAAAAAATTTCTTTTAAAAACTATGTCTAAAATTAATAAAATATTGTTGAATAATGCTTTTAATGAAAGTAAATAAAAAATATTTATTGGGATTAGCCTTTTTATTAATATTAAAAAATTAAATTTATTTTACTTAATTAATATTTTTAATTGTATAACGAAAGAAGAAAAATTATGCTGAGTTAAGTTATTATAATAGAATATCAACTTTTTTTTCAAACTTATTTAACTTAATTTTAGTTTTTCTCGAAGGAATAAATTTAAATTTAATTATATAAAAGAAATTGAATTTAGTTAAAAATATATTAATATATTTATATTTTTAATAAAATTTAAAATATTAATAAATCACAGATAAAATAATATTATTTTATAAAATATATTTTTTTCCACAATTACACATAAAATATAAGCAATATTATATATCACTATAAAAAGAGGAGTGTTAATTATTTTTAAAAAGATATTACTATTTTTTATCTCCTTTTATTTAAATTATATATAAATAAAATATATTATAAATATGATAAATACATATATTTATATTAGTTAATTTATATTATCAATATTAATTTAATTTAATAAATTTGAAGAAAACCGTGGTGACACGTTAATTAATAAACTTGCATTTACTATTAGATTATATTTTGAAGAAGAAAAAGACAAGAAGGGAAAGGAGAGGATCAGTTATCCGTTCATTCAATGTTTCTCTCTTCTTCTTTCTTCCTTGGGTGTTTATCAAACTAAACACAGCACACAAACTCTCTCTATCTCTCCTCCTTTCACTCTTCCAATCCACCCACCATCGTCCGTTCTTCCTGATTCTGTGTATGTTTTATCTTGTTCCTTCTTCTCAGCAATAAATTAAGTACAAAATCTCATAGAAATCTAGCTGGATCCCGTTTTGCGTCTGGGATCATAGATTTGATGTGTGGATGAGAGAATGGGGGAGGGGAACTTCAAATCGGAAGCCCTTTGAATCAATACACAACAGAATGTATTTCTTTTCTTACCTTATCTTTTGATTTAATCGTTTTGACTTTCATTCTTCTTCGCAGAGCTTCCCGCGAAAACCTCGTCATGTTCTAAATTCTCACCTCGAAAAATCAACCAACCAAGTTATTCTGTTCTTCTTCCTTTCCCTTCAGGTTCAATATTTTCATTTCCATTATTTTCTCTGTAATTTCAAATTATACCTGCATCTGTTTTTTTGTTTTTTTGTTTATTATTATTATTTCAGTTTGTTACTTCTCTTGGCATTTATTTCTTCCATTATCTTCTATGCATGTTATATGTCTTTCAACATCAGCGATTAAATTTAGTTCTTCTGTTCTATGAATTGAACACATATCATAAGACTTCATACATGCAAATTCTTGTCCTTATCCAAACCCCTCTGCATGCGAAACTTCTTTATTTGTATTTAGTTTCTTTGGTTATATAAAGTCAATTTTACTTTTTTAGGTTTGTATTGTTTAAACAGTTTTGTAATTGGTGTAGGTTACAGGGGATGAGATAATGATCTCAAGTATCTCTCCACTTAGTTTTCAAATGAGTATTGGAGTTAAAGGGTTGAACATGAACCAAACTAGAACTTATTAGTTCTTTTCTCTTGTCCCTTGTCCATGTTATACCTTAGCTGTTATGGTCTTCATGCTGTTCACTTTTAATTTTGCTCGATGCTTTCACCCCTTACCATGAACAATCAAATTAAAAACAAAATTAATCATTGTTTCAAGATTCTAAGGATTTTTGTCTCTCTCTTCAAATTAAACCAACGAAATTATCAATATATATATACACTTCCAAAACAGTGCTTGAATTTAGGCTTGAAAAATTCTAACAACATTCTCTCACACACTTTTTATCATTAGGTGAATTTCTCTTAATAATTTGGATTGTCAATAGTGCAATATAGCAGCGAAGCAGCCTTTGGCCACTATATGCAACCCTACAGTGCCAAACTTCATTGCAGTGGTCATATTGGCCGCAATAGCAGCGCACTGCTATCATGATGATGTCCAAAATCCTGAGAATAACACCCAATACTAACGTCTCAAGGGCATTTTGTGGACATAATTTTGGATAAAAAGGGTTTCAGATTGTATAAAATCCTTTCAGATTTCATAACTATCATGTCTCACTTTTGTCCTCTCCTACCTTGCAGCTAATACACGACCTCCTGTGCCATCCTCCAGCAACCATTGTGTGTCTCTCCGGTAAAGTTTTTTTTTTTTTTTTTTCTTGTTCTCATTCTCAGTTTTTTTTCTCTTGTAATCTTTGTTGGTAACAGGAAAAACAAATCAACGCTCTCAAATTTTCTCCTGATACAATTTCAAATGAGTTGTTACAATTATTTATGGCCAAAATATTTGTCTTTTCAAATATCAAACGTAAATCATAATACCTATTAAATAGGTTTACAACTCATTAGTTATACCACTCGTAATTAAAACCATTATAGGAATACTAAACGTCTAATTTAAGTTTTACAATAAATCTCCCCCTTAAACTTAAATACTCTTCCCATCTCTTATTCCAATAAGTCTTTTACAACTCTCCAGCAGTGTAGTTGGCAGTGGTTTGGTGAATATGGCAGCAGCTTGAGCTCGGCTTTCAACATGCTCCAGCTCAACCTTTCCTTCTCTAACTTGTTCTCGGATGAAATGAAATCGGACGTCAATGTGCTTGCTCCTTCCATGATTAACCTGGTTCTTTGTCAACTCGATCGCCGACTTGTTGTCAACTCGAATTACAATCCTTTCGTCTTGGATCACTCCCGCATGCCTTAGTAAATTTGAAAGCCAAACCGCATGACACACACTCCAAGAGGCCGCCACATACTCAGCCTCACGAGTTGACAGAGTTACAATGGGTTACTTCTTCGACGACCAAGTAAAAGCCGTTTTTCCGAGTAGGAACACATAACCTCGAAGTACTTTTCCTGGTCATCAATATCACCACACCAATCACTATCCGAGTAACCCACTAGTCGGTAGTCATCCGATTTTGAATAGAATAGACCAAGTGATAAGGTTCCTCGAACATATCTCAAAATTCTCTTTAAGGCCTTCCAATGTGTGTAACTTGGATTCTCCATGTATCTCGCTCGTTATCCCAACACTCAACATTAAGTCGGGTCTTGTGCTTGTAAGGTATCTCGGACTTCCGATTAAGCTTCGATATCTCCCGAATCAGCTCGTTCTCCTCCATCAAACTTTGAGAGTTTAGTGCCTCGGTTCCATTGGAGTAGAAACCGGTTACGATCCTCCATTTTAAATTTCTTTAAAATTTCAAGTGCATACCTCTCTTGGGATATAAAAATTCCTTCCTCTCGATCGCTTCACTTCTAGACCAAGAAAATATTTCATCAACCCTAAGTCTCGTCATTTCGTACTCTTTCTTCATTACCTCCTTGAACTCCTTAATTAGCTTCGTATTGCTTCCAGTGAATATGAGATCGTCAACATAAAGAGCAACTATCATCATATCCTTTTTTGATTTCTTTGTGTACAAAGCATGCTCATATGGACATTGTTCATACCCATTTTTCTTGAAATACCCATCAATTCTCTCATTCCAAGCACGAGGAGCCCGCTTCAACCCATAGAGAGCTTTTCTTAATCTCAGTACCTTTTCCTCATCCCCTCTCTTCATGTACCCGAGTGGTTGCTCAACATACACCTCTTCCTTCAAGACTCCATTTAGAAATGCTAACTTCACATCCATCCGTAGAATCGACCATTGATTCCGAGCGACTAATGAGATTAGAAGTCTGATTGACTCCATTCTCGTAACAGAGCAAATACTTCATCATAGTCAATTCCCTCCTTTTGTTTATAACCCTTCACCACAAGTCGAGCCTTGTAACGTTCAACCTCTCCCTCAACATTCATCTTCTTTTTGTACACCCATTTTACTCCAATGGGTTGAGCTCCTTTAGGAAGTTCGACCAGTTCCCAAGTTTTGTTGCGTTCAATCGCTCCAATCTCCTCATCCATGGTCGTTCTCCACTTCTCATCTTGGACAGACTTTCTCAAAACTCAAGTCTTCTGAATTAGCCAAAAGACATACAACATGAACTTCATTTGTAGTGTCGTATATATCCTGCAGACTTCTCATCTTGGGTCAGTTGTGGCTCTATTTCTTTATCTAAGGACTCAATGGTTGTTATTGTTGAAGGCAAAACAATTTCTCGAACTAGTTTCTTCTTCGTCAGGTTACTCCAAAGACCAATGCTTTGTTTCTTCCACATGAACATCTCGGCTTACCACCGCTTTATTATTAACAGGATCAAACAATTTATAAGCTTTAGATTTTCCATCATACCCGATAAATATGTACTTCTTACTCCGATCTTCTAATTTAGTCCTGTGCCGACTTGGTACTTGCCCATAAGCCATGCTACCAAACACCTTTAGATGAGAGACACTTGGCTTCATACCACTCCATATCTCCCGAGGCGTCTTCTCTCCTAGCTTTGCATGTGGACATCTATTTTGCAAATAGATCGCGCACCGCACCGCCTCGCCTAAAACTTCTTTGGCATATTCTTCCCTTTCAACATAGATCGAACCATATCAAGAATGGTTCTGGTTCTTTCGTTCCGCTACACCGTTTTGCTCGCGGAGAATATGGGGCGATCAGGAAATGTTTGATCCCATGTTCCTCACAGCATTTGTTGAACTCGCAGAAGTGAACTCGCCTCCTCTCGTCGGATCGGAATGCTTTGATGACTTTGTTTGTTTCTTTCTCCACCATAACTTTGAATTTCTTGAAAGTTTCAAACACTTCTGACTTCTCCTTCGTAAAATAAACCCATGTTTTCCTTGAAAAATCATCAATGAAAGAGACAAAGTATCTCTTACCACCGAAAGATTCTCGGAGTTATTGGCCCACACAAATCAGCATGGATCACTCCGAGTTGTCGCTTTGCTCGACACTCGAACTTCTTGGGAAAGAAGTTCTCGCTTGCTTCCCAATCACACATTCTTCACAGAACCTTTTTCCGAATTCCATTTTAGGCAATCCGAGCACCATCTCCTTTTTCACCAGCGCAGTCAACCCACCAAAATGAAGATGACCAAACCGCAAATGCCACCTCATGACCTCATCCTCCATATCAAATTGCATACATTTATCTTGAACTGTCTTCAGCTCAAGTTTGTACATGCGATTTTTCTTCATTCCCACCAGAGCAACAAGCCTCCCTAATTTATCCTTCAGTTGTAGTTCTCGGTCCTTCATTAGAACCGAGTACCCCTTCTCCATTAACTCGTCCCATGCTCAATATGTTGCTTTTGAGATCGAGTACGTAGTATACATCTCTCGATCTCTCCGATTTGCCCATTTCTCTCGTTGATACCATATCGTTCCTTGACCTTTGACAGCCTACTTTCGAAGCATCACCGAAAGAAACAGATCCGACTCCACCTTTGAAAGTATTTTGAATAAGCGCTCATCACCACACATGTGGTTACTAGCGCCGTGTCTAAGTACCAAACCGAGTTATTAGAACAGTTCGGTTTGATCTCGGTTCGAAGTGTTTGTCACCATCGACAATCCTTCATCTTCTTCCTCAGCAAGAAAGTTTGTTGGTTCCTCCTTTTTCTTCTCGGACCTACAATCTTTGGAAATATGACCCAGTTTTCCACAATTATAGCATTTTACGGAATAACAGTCCTTGGCAACATGCCCATTCTTTCCACAATTATAGCATTTTACCGTGTAACAATCCTTGGCAATATGCCCATTCTTCCCACAATTATAGCATTCAATATTGTTTGTGTTTGTCCGGCCACCCCGAGCTCTGTCCTTGGCCACGCCGCTTCGTTGACCGTCTTGCTCATTTCCTCGTCCTCCTTTTCCTCTACTACCACGACCTCTGCCTTTTCCTCGGCCTCTAGAGCTCCGAGCATATAGCACCTTCTCCTCTTTTATTGTCGCCTTTGTCCGGAGTGCCTCGTTCAAGGGACTCCCCTTCTTGTTTTTCCTTCTCTCGCTCATGCGCTTCTAGGGACCCAGCAAGCTCTTCAAGAGTGAGCGTTGACGCATCCTTGGACTCCTCTATTGCGCACACGATGTTCTCGAAATCATCTCGTCAATGATCTTAAGATTTTTTCAACAACTCTGGTTTGATGAAAGACTCTCACCATTTTGATTCAGCTTGTTCACCACAGCTCTCCACCCGAGTAATGAACTCGGATACGCTTTCAGTGCTCTTTCATCCTCATGTTTTCAAGCTCGCCTCTAAGGGTTTGAAGTCGAACTTGTTTCACCCTTTCATCTCCTTTGTTTGTTTTTTCAAGTGTATCCCATGCTATTTTGGAAGATTTTGCGTTAGCTATCTTCTCAAAGCCGGATTCGTCGACGGCTCTGGTATAGTAGATACAGAGCCGCCTTGTCTTTTGCTCGAACGGCTTTCAATGCGTTCAGCCTGGGCATTTGAATACCCATCTCGTGTTTGCTCGGTTCCTCATACCCATTCTCGACCACATCCCAGTTATCTTGGGAGCCGAGAAGAGCCTTCATTTGTACCTTCCAATTGTCATAGTTGGTGTCTTTCGTCAACTTGGGTAGCGGGATGCCATTGGTTAGACCTGTCATTTCCTCTCAAGTGTTTGCTCTCAACTCACACACCTCACAAAGCTTTAAGTTGCTCCTCTCACACCGCAGCGTTCTCTCTTGAGATTTGGTAGGTTCTCTCACACTCACCTCACACACAAGCTCTGATGCCAATTTGTTGGTAACAGAAAAAACAAATCAACGCTCTCAAATTTTCTCCTGATACAATTTCAAATGAGTTGTTACAATTATTTATGGCCAAAATATTTGTCTTTTCAAATACCAAACGTAAATCATAATACCTATTAAATAGGTTTACAACTCATTAGTTATACCACTCGTAATTAAAACCATTATAGGAATACTAAACGTCTAATTTAAGTTTTACAATAATCTTGCTCTCTTTTTCTCATAAATCCTGATTTCTTTGTTTGTGTTTCTCTATTATGATTTTACTCTCTTTTCTCGTTTTCACTTTGTTCTGTAAGTCTATGTTGTCTCTGTAGTCTATGTATCTGAGGTCTCATTTTTGGTCATTTATGTCTCTTTGGTTAGACATGGTGGTTTCCTTTGTTACAATTTACTTGTATGTTTACATTAGAGGTAAGCCTAATAATTTTTATTGTTAATTATAAACATGTCAAGATTTTTAGTATTTGTATCTGTTTAGTATGAATTATGTAAACTATATAAATATTTTCAAAATAGTGGTCATCCCGCACTATGTGCTGTAGTATTTTGAGTCAGCCCCTATCCGGAAGAATGTTAAAGAAAGTGTGTCAAAGAATGCATTGCAACTATTGCTTTTATGTTTTTTTACGTGGAGTTTCGTTTGACATGAGGCTATCATCTTATTTTCCATGTCATTTTCAGTACGTTGTTTCTTACTTTTTAAAAAATATAAAAATATAAATTTATTATGTTATATCATACTTAATTATTTTTTTTTTTAAATTCATAAATTTTTCTCGTTTTGTTTCTTTTTATTCATTTTTGTAAGTTATTTATTGAAATAACTAACAAAAAATTTTAAGCAATTCACTAAGTCACCAAAAATTTATGGAAAAGTTGTTTCAAATAACTTCCTTAATCATTTTATTTAGCAATTCTCCTTAAAGATATTCTCTGTCTTAAATTATTCATCCTCTTCTAATAGGACCTGGATATTGTGCTAATGTAACGAATATATACATTATGAAATGCATAACTCTTAAAGGGGATTAATGTAATAGTCTCAAGAAATATGATAACGAGGAATCCTTTACAGTACTTGATATATTCAACGATTCTTGTCTATGCGATTCAGAATTTTGATTGGAATACATGTTCTATTATTTTAAATTAGGAGTTTTTTTTTTCTATAAATATTGTTTAGAGAATGAGAAAAGCATGTTAGATTGTTATTTTGATCAGGGAGTTACGTTTGTGATTGTTGATATTTAATATTTTGTTATTATTATTACGGGTGAAAGAAGGGGTTTAAATAATTAAAAAATTATTTTTTATCATTATTATCCATTTCTTAGTAATCTAATGGTTAATATGAATTATTTTATATCACTAAATTACTAAAAATTGAATGATGATGAGGAAAAATAAGTCTCTAGTTCTTATTTGTAGAGTGAATGAATTTTTCATATATATATATATATATATATATATATATATATATATATATATATATATATATTAGATTAATAAAATATTATCTGAAGTTTTTCCCAATAATATATCTCTTATCTTTTTGAATTATATTTAAAAATAAATTTCCTATAAAGATTATATTTTATTATTATTTGCTTTATTAGTTATTTAAATGTCTTCTAGGAAAATCAGATGTATCAGGGTAAATTTTCCCTTACACCCAAGAATGAAGTCAAGGACATGACAGGTCCAAGTTTTCTCAATTATAAACAAAGCAGTCTTCTTGATCCCATAGACGTTTCTTCAGATGAGGAAAACGACCATCCTAATGATGATGTGTCTACTCAGTTAGTCCTTTATGATCCTGTGGCAAATGGAAACAATGCAATCGAAATTGCACCTCATCCTCTTCGGTGTGAACCTCCAATGGTTAGAAAAAGCAGGCCTTCGCATTCAGTTCCTAAAATGTTGCCTTCAGTTGGAGCTTTCACAGTCCAATGTGCATACTGCTTTAAATGGAGGTTGATTCCAACAAAGGAAAAATATGAAGAAATACGTGAACGTATTCTTGAACAGCCTTTTGTTTGTCCAATAGCTCGTGAGTGGCGACCAGATATATCTTGTGATGATCCAGAGGATATTTCTCAGGATGATAGCAGGATTTGGGCTATCGATAAGCCAAATATTGCACAGCCACCGGCTGGATGGGAGCGACTGCTAAGGATCAGAGCTGAAGGAAGCTCCAAATTTGCAGATATGTATGCATCCGTTATTGACCCTTCTTTATTATTACTTGTTATTGAAATAGAAATACCCTTTTGCAATATACAATAATTGTGCTTTCTTTTGCTATTTACTTTCTCTTTTTTTTTTCTCGCAAAAATACCATTGTATAGATAATATATTATTTTATTAGAATTTTGTATAATTAAAAAATATTTTAGTTTCCTAGTAGGTACACATATTTTGTATTTTATAAATATGTTGTATATATTTTATTTCAGAGAATAAATACAGTTGAGTTTATATTTTTAAAGTTGTTGGAGCAATAACTATTAACAATCATAAACTTAATCCCTCATTATCAAGATAATAAAGGTTAATAGCAGTGGACTGGATCAATGTTTAACCACTCATCTTCGATAAAATTGTCGATATAAGAGGAGTGTTAAGAAATTTCATATCGATTAGATATATAATTGGTACATTCCTTATTTTATTAAGTTAGTTTATGTAGGTACAATCCTTATCTTATTAAGTTAGTTTGGTGGAATTAAGCTAGATAACTCACAATTTGTAAAAGATTACTAGGAGATATGTTCTAATGTAAATTTTAACTTGTCCATCATTAACTTGTAATATTTTAACATTTCAGATACTATATAGCACCATCAGGGAAGAGATTACGCTCAATGGTAGAGATCCAAAAGTACGTTATCTGAATTGTCTTTGTGATATTACCTTGAAATTATCTTGGCTTTTTCTGAATTATTAATTTATTACTATTATTAACATTGGCTTCCATTTTCATGTAATTTTCTCATGGTGCCTCTGTGGTTTTAGGTTCTTGATGGAGCATCCTGAGTATGCAAGAGATGGGGTTACTCTTTCACAGTTCTCATTTCAAATACCAAAGCCATTACAAGAAAATTATGTGAAGAAGCGGCCGCCCCCTGCTAGACTCACCTCTTCATATAAAGTTCGGCGAAATTTTCTCGGTGGACCTGTTGAGCATGGGCAAGGTACATATAATACACTGATAATTTAAGTTTTACCTCTATCCATTCTATAACTCATTTAATATTATAATAATATTATTATTATTATTATATTAAGAAAAAAGTTGTTGTGTAGTTGTTGTCAATATCTTTTTCTATATAATTTATAATAAATAATGTGTACCAATTCAAATGCGAGGTTTTAAACATGAGGCACCAAAATTTGTATGGATAAAAATTTAGAGTAGAAAAGGTTATTTTTCAATTTATGCCCTCACGTGAAGAAGTATTCTATTTTGTGATTTATATTATATTTCAATAGTAAGAAAGACATAACTTCTTTAATGGTTATAGTGTAACTAAAAAAATTCCCAATCTAGCAATCCTCTTGTGAATGAATAATGAATGATAAGGATTTTAGTGCATTGTTAAAATGATGATATATGTATGATGCAGTGAGTCCTCTAGCATGGATAGGCTCCGAAGGTCATACTGATTTGTATGCTGGAAGACTTGGATTTCTTGCACCTTTCATGGGATCCCATGATCTTGACCAAGTGGGTGTCAGTCGTCCTGAGAAGAGGCAAGCAACGCAGAGTTCCTTTCGTAAGGAAGGCCTGTAAGCTAATCATCTCAGTGGTTGAATCAGAAGCAAATCTGAATATTATCATCCTGTTTGTCTCCTTTTTTATTACTTTTTGTGCATCTTGATCGCTTCTTCTTTGGACAAATTAAAACCAAATATCGAAAATGAACTGCCAAAGCAGATAAATGTTGTCCTTTTCGGACAAATCATTTATCCTTTTTAGGGTCAGAAAACCAAGTGTCGAGAATGAACTGCCAAAGTAGATAAATGTTATCCTTTTCAATAGAACATTCAAGGTTTGTCAAATCATGTGGATACGGACAGTGATGTCCTCACGATTAGTTATTTGAGGAGAAACATCTCTCACGGAGTTAATTATTTGAAGTAATTTTATCATGATAAGTTATTAAAAAAAATTATTAATTATTTTATTAAATAATTTATAAAAATAAATAATTTAATTTTTTAAAATATTTTATATTTTTTAATTTGAAAAGTAATTTATATGAATTATTCTTATGAAAGATTTTGATATAAAAAGTAAGATGGTGTAGTTTATAATTTGAGTTTCTTTATATTTTTCTTTTTCTAGCCTTGTTTGATTGAGATATAGTGGAAGAAGGGAAAGTGTTTTCTTTTATAATAGTGCATTTGGTTTGGAGGAAAAAGGATAGTGATAATAGTAGGTATAGGATAGCATAATAACATGTTGATGATACAAAGTTTGTGTAAACTTTAGTGTTGGATTGTCATGATTTTGATCTGAAGCTTAACACAAACATTTAGTTCCTGCCAAGATGGTTTCCATTGGCTTTTGCAACACCATACTCAGTGGAGAGGCAGCATAGAGTTGGTTGATCCGAGGCTTCTTAAGTGTTATTGGAATGTGTTTGTTTGAAGGTTTCACAACTTTTAATAAACATTTGTCCACATTCAAAAAAACACTTAGAGTCAGTGAACATCAATCTTGTGTCTGCCACGTTTCAAACAATTTCACACTTCTACTACAATTCAATTCACAAATGATTAATTTTTCGCTTTTAATAATTTATCATGTTAGATAACAAATTTAGTATAAATTAAATGACTTTACATTATCACATGAATAGATCAAATATGTTGTATGAGATAGGGACATTCTACCAAGGATATTTTTCATGTGTTACACTAATGTTGTTTTGTCCTCCCTTTATCTTTAGGAAGTTTTTATGTAATGTAACTAGAATGAGGATTTGATAAAATATGGTATTTTAAAAAAGATGAAAATCAATTAATCTTTTTATCTATTTTTTTTTAAATAGTACATTTTGGTTCAGATTTTAAATTTAAAATGAAAAATTCTAACTAAATCACTTATTATATTTAAATATAATATTATTTTTGAAAAATTAATCACCAATTAAAAACTGAATGTTATTTTATAATCTAATTGTATTTTATGTATAATATATTTATTAAATGATTATGATGATTTTTAATATAATTTATTTATAAGTATAACAAAAATAAAAATTATAAATTTAATAATGATCATAAACAAATTTGTAACATTTCTTTATTTAACAAATTTTTATTATAAAATATTTAACAAAATTTTTAAAAATTATAAATAATTTCACTATAAAATATTTAATAAATTTATAATAAAGAACTATTAAAAATCAATTCAAATCTAAATATAAATATTGGATTTAAATTTTATATTAAACTAGAAACATACCATCTTTAAGTTTTTAACATCAATTACACGCTTATAGAAATTATTAAAACTGACATGAGTAAATGAACTATTATGTGTAAACTCAAAGGCTTCATACTTTGTAGCTGAGTTTACTATGGAGACTAAATCTAGTAATTTGAATTGAATGTAAATAGATCTTGTTGCAGACACACATCAACCACTTATTCCTAATGTTATAGCATGAGTCCATTTAGTCCTACACAAGATGCCAAACATGACACTAGGACCATTTTTATTTTATTCAATGTTCTTTTTGACATTGAGATTATACAATTGTTTTGCAAGATTGTAGTAAAAAAAAAAAGCAGAATCACGTATCAGAATTTCAGAAAGAAAAAAGAAAATTGGTGACAGATCCAACATGGTATCACAAGAGATGCCACTGTCCTTGATAACTTCAATAAAAAAAGACACGAAATAAGAGCAAGAACTGTTGAAAAACAGTGTGATAATAACTTTGATTAGGAAAGGTAGAGGTTATGGGTGTGCATGACATGGAAACAATTTAATTGGGCCAAGCCCCTTGTGGACATCTACAAGTGCAGCGAGGCCCAAAATTTGTTGAGTAGTTGGTTTACATTTAGTGTATATGTACATGTATATATACATTTTACATTAAACCTTATTTTGGGGTCACTTTCTCCATCAATTATTGGAAACTTGGAAAGAGTCAAGTGTTTGTGTCTTTGTCTTTCTGGTTGGTTGTGGATATCATCAATCTCAACCAATTCCATTCTCATACTCTCACTTCAACACATACATACCATGTGCACTCTATTAAATGTCATTTGCCTCTTATCTCCCTCCACTGGATATGCCATCATTTCCTTTTAATAAACCATCTTCTTCCATTTCATATTAAATAATCATTTTTAGTGCTTTTTTCATTAATTAAAGTTGCAAGTTTAACTTTTATCTTCTTCTGTGCATCATGTCATTAATTAAAAACTTGAATGACAGATTCATATTATCTTCTTGTGCTACTCATATAAGCTAACAAACACACAATATCAACATTCTGTTCTTACTTTCTTATTCTCTTCTCAAAATCATATCATATTTTGAAAATTGAAGAGGGTAAGAAGATTAAGTATTCTTTAAATATATTCTTTAACTCCAGTAGTAAATGAGATATACATTTATCCAAAAACAGATAAATAATATTGAGAGAATAAGAAATATATATATATATATATATATATATATATATAATAAGATATAGACATCTTTCATTCATCCTATGCCCGGCGGAAAATGTGTTACACCAAATATAAATGAGAATGTCTGCAACAGTTTTTCAAGTTTTAATATATTGAAGAAAAAAAAACTATTTTGTTTTGTTTGATTTCTTAAAAAAAGTTATAATTTTTAATTTTTTTTTCTTTTAAGTATAATAGTTCAGAATGTGACGTTACATGCATGCATGACTATATGAGTTTGACCTTGAAAGAAATAATTTAGAAATAAAACTAAAAACAAGTTAAAGTGTGTTTAAGAAACTAGAATTTGATGAATGATATTGGACAATTAATGATGAATAGTAACAGGGAACGACACACGGTTGGGTGGGTGAAGAATTGTTGTTGTGTGCAGTGTAACGGTGGAAGGTGTTTGATGAAGGAATTGAATGGAGGAAGAAGAAAAGGAGTGAGAGTGATGAATGAGAGGAAAAAGGAAAATTGGAAAGTGATGGAAGCTATGAACACAAATGGGGTCTGATGATGGACCACAAAGAATGTCCAGAGAGAATGAATCTTATCACCACTGCCAATGTTTTTTTTTGGATTATCATTTCTTATTTTCATTAAATAAATAAAAATTGATCCTTTAAAACATGAGTTAAATAAAGAAGAATATATGAACCTGATTCTTGGTTTGAAAACTGGTGAGAGTGGGATGAGAATGGTATCAAATGGATTAGGTTAACAAACATTTAAAGAATATAATTTTTTTAATAATTAATTAATCTTATAACTCTTTTATTTGTAAAAACTAGTAATAATTAATAATAAAAAGAAAAAGTGAAATCCACGAAATCCGTCAAAATGGCCTTAATTTCGGCTGCTTTGCGGTGCACGCTGATGGACCCCACCTTTTACTTTTTTAATATAATATTTTTTATTTAAATTGGAAAAATTTATATTTAAATCCGATATTTGAGTAATATGTAATTGAAAAAGAATTGATATTGAAAGGTAATTATGTGAGAAAAACCGAAAAGAAGAGAGAGTGGTTGGAATTGTTGGGAGAGGAGACATTTGAAAGTGGATAGTCAAAGCATTGGGACCTACAATCCACCTGTGGAGGGAACATGGCCTTTGGAATTGGGACCCTCTCTTCTTTCCATGTTCTATAGTTTATAACATGATCCTGTTTTTTTTTTATTTAAAGATTTTATAAAATCCCAATGGATCTTTATAGTAGTAAAAACTTTCAATTAATTATAAATTAGAGAATTGCTATATTTAATAAAATAAAATAAAAATGAACAATGCATAAATAAAGAAAGAAATAAATGAAGTGGCTGTTCAGCATGCATGTGCGGTGATGACTCCAATAATAGAATGTCACATGATTTTTCATTTCTTTATAACACACCATTTTATTTGATTAATCATTATTGCCATTTAGTTTATTTCCATCACATTATTGCGCATAAATAGATTATTGAAGATTATTAACTCGTGGACTTTATAATCATTAATATAATCTCCAAGAGTTTTATTTATTTTATACAATTTTATTTTTTATCATCATATTGTAATAATTATTATGGTTAAGAAAAATAAAGGGGAGAGAGCGTGTCTGGCTGGTGCGTAAGTCTGAAGGTCAACTGAAGTTAAGTGGGAGAAATAAAGAAAGATAGAGAGAGAGGGGGCGTGTAATGGGGTGTTGGATTAGTCAGCGATTTGGGATTTGCAGAAAAGAAAAGAGAAGGAGAAAGGAGAGAAAATGGGTGTATGAATGTGTCTGGGCATTGTAGGGAAACTTCGGGGGCAACCAAAACAAACGAAGTAACAATTGCCTCCACCCTCACCTCACACACGCACCAATCGCTTTCACCTTCTGTTCTCTTCCAACACAACACCCATCAATTGCTGTTGCAGTTCCTTCTCTTCATACAAATTCATTCAGCAAGGATTCTCGATGAAGACGCATCCTCCGCAGCCTGAGGCTGCCTCCGCCGCATCCAATCCCAATCCCAATACCTCCCAAGGTCTTTCTCTTTCTATTTCTATTTCTGCCGCAAAATAAAGCACCGCAACTGTTTGTTACTTTGCTTTCTTTCTGATAAGACGATAAGTTTGCAGAGAAGAAGAGCATAAACCCGGAGCTGTGGCAAGCTTGTGCAGGGCCTTTGGTTAACCTTCCTCCCTCCGCCACACACGTCATCTACTTCCCTCAGGGTCACAGCGAACAGGTACTCCTCAACCCTATCATTCTCTTTCTTTTTCTAATCCTTCGCTATTCCTTATCATCATTCACTGTCTATATTCAGGTTGCTGCCTCTTTGAAGAAAGATGTGGACGCTCAAATTCCCAACTATCCCAATCTCCCCTCCAAGTTACTCTGTCTCCTTCACAATCTCACTTTGCATGTATGTACACCTCTCTTTCCCTTTCAATATCTTTTCTTTACTTCGCTCCTTTCTAATTTCTCCATTTCCAGGCTGATCCCGAAACAGATGAAGTATACGCTCAGATGACTCTTCAACCAGTCCCTTCCGTAAGCATTTGTTACTTACTCATTCTCTCTGTTCATCTCCTCTTTTCTCCCACACTGTCCAAATCATCACTTCCCATTGCAGTTCGACAAGGATGCTCTGTTGAGATCGGATCTTGCTCTCAAGTCCACCAAGCCACAACCCGACTTCTTCTGTAAACAGCTCACCGCAAGTGATACCAGCACTCACGGAGGTTTCTCTGTGCCCCGTCGAGCCGCCGAGAAGATTTTCCCTCCTCTTGTACGTCTCTCTATTCCCCCATTATGTTTACCAACCTCTCCATCGCACCTTCTTCACTCCTTCTTTCATCTAATTCCATTCCCATTCCCTGTAGGATTACGCTTCGCAACCCCCTGCGCAAGAACTCACCGCTAGGGATTTGCACGACAATGCTTGGACATTCCGCCACATATACCGGGGTATGTATGTTTCGCACTCCGCACACTTATCCTCTTATTTCTATATCCTCTTTCTGAAACAAGTCTCATCTCATGACGCTGCTTCGCTAGGACAACCAAAACGCCACTTGCTTACCACTGGATGGAGTCTGTTTGTCAGTGGAAAGAGGCTTTTTGCCGGAGATTCTGTTTTGTTTATAAGGTCCGGGTTGTAAATTCATGCTACTTCCACATTTCAAGCTTTTATACCCTTTAAAGCCAACAATTTATGTTTTCACTTTGTTTCATCATTTTTAGTGTTTCTGTCTCGCAGAGATGAGAAGCAGCAGCTTCTTTTGGGTATCAGACGAGCTAACAGACAACCCACCAATATATCGTCGTCAGTACTATCAAGTGATAGTATGCACATTGGAATTCTTGCTGCAGCGGCTCACGCAGCTGCAAACAATAGCCCCTTCACCGTCTTTTATAATCCTAGGTCCAGCATTTTTCACATCCTTTGTTTTCATTTCACAGTATTTATATCAATGCATAATTTCTTTGTTTTCCACTATCCTACTTGTCTGTCCAATCAGATTTCGAAGGCGTAGTCAATTGAGTCATGTTCTCAATTGTAAAGTTCTGAACTTGCGTGTTTCTTTTTGTTTGCAGGGCCAGTCCATCGGAATTTGTTATTCCTTTAGCCAAGTACTACAAGTCAGTGTACAGCCACCAACCATCACTTGGCATGCGTTTTCGAATGATGTTTGAAACTGAAGATTCGGGAACACGAAGGTGCCTGACTTTAATTAAGTCCATATATAGGAAGTATGCACTGTAAATGTGTGGATGATTAAGATGAAAGTAGTACCTTCATGATGGGTGATCAAATATCATAATTGAGAGATGTAATTAGTTTATCTTGTAATTGAGTTCGTGCTTGAATCACTGCTTATTTCTCAATCCAGATTAATTGACAATTTATCCTTGGAAATGGTTGACAATAAAAATTAAATTAATCATTTCGATTTTGTTGCAGGTATATGGGTACAATTACAGGTATCAGTGATCTGGATCCTGTGCGTTGGAAAAACTCTCAATGGCGAAATTTGCAGGTACCATTACTAACATCCTTTAGCAGTTCATGAATGTAATTTCCCCCTGGATAGTTATATTTTCGCAATGTCTTTCTTTCCTTTAATCTGGGAAAATAATGGTTGTTTAGTTTTACATGTCATTGGTCAGGTTGGTTGGGATGAGTCAACTGCTGGAGAAAAGCGTAGCAGGGTCTCAATCTGGGAAATTGAACCAGTAACTGCTCCATTTTTCATCTGCCCGCCTCCATTCTTTAGATCCAAGAGGCCAAGACAACCTGGAATGCCTGGTAAATAATTACACTTTTTATACTTTCCAAAAGTGAAATGTACTGGTTCTCAAAACCTCTCTTCCAGATTGATGATTGATTATTCATTCTTGAGCTTTTCACCTGTTTCCTGGAGGACCTGTCATTTTACAAATTTCTGAAGGGAGGAAAATTTGAATTTGGTTTGATGATTGGAAATATGTAGTTTACTTGGCATACTTTTGTTTAATTTTGCAGATGATGAATTATCTGATTTTGATAACATTTTCAAGCGGACAATGCCATGGCTTGGCGATGAAATGTGCATGAAAGATCCCCAAGGTCTCCCTGGCCTCAGCTTGGTTCAATGGATGAACATGCAGCATAATCCTGCACTGGCTAGCTCATTGCAGCCAAATTTTGCACCTTCCTTATCGGGATCTATTTTGCAAAATATTCCTGGAGCTGATATTTCTAGTCAGCTGGGATTTTCAGCTCCACAAATTTCTCAGCCGAACAATGTGGCGTTCAATGCTCAGAGACTACCTCAGACTGCTCAGCAGCTGGATCACCTTCAGAAGCTACCATCTACATCTAGCATACTGAGAACAGTCCTGCCACCACAGACCTGCCACCACAGCATACTACAATCTAGGCCGAACATGTCAAGTCAAACAATACCACAGGGTCAAGTTCAGGTCCAACTCTTGCATCCCCAAAACATTGTCCAAACCAACAATATTCTTCAACAGCAGCAACCATCCATTCAAAACCATCAACTGCATAGCAGCCTCTCTCAGAATCTATCACAGCAGCAGCAGCAGCCGACAGTTATAGGTCAGAGTCAACAGCAAAATTCGATCCAGTCCCCTATCCCTGATCATGTTCAACAATTACAGATGTCCGACAATCAGATTCAGTTGCACTTGTTGCAGAAGCTTCAACAAAAACAAACGCTCTTGCCACAGCAAACTGCATTGCTGCAGCCTACTCAACTTACTCAAATCCAGGAGCAGCAGAGACAGCTTGTAGATAAAGCACATAACTTGTCTACAGCATTTACACCTGGTCATGTACTGGATATTCCTCCTATGCTTCCAAATTCACTCCCCGAGGCTAATTCTCTCTCTAATCAGATGACAAAGGCTAATTTCCCGAACAATATTCAATTCCCTCAGCAGCCCAAGCTTCAACAGCAGCAACCTGGCTTGCTGTCTGAAATGTCCGGTATGGCACTTCTCCCTACCCCTACAACAAACCAACTTACTGCTGCTGGCAGCAGTATCATGAATGGAGCAGCTGGTGCAGGGCAATCTGTAATTACTGATGATGTTCCATCTTGCTCCACCTCACCTTCTACAAATAACTGTGCCAATGCACTTCCATCATTGATAAATTCTCGATTGGAGAGAAACACAGTAGTTGGGGATGACATGGCTCAGTCTGCTTCAACAATCTTGAGTTCAAGTGCCTTAGAAACTATGTCATCAAATGCAAACTTGTTGAAAGATTTCCCAAAGTCTGAAGTCAAACCTTCCGTGCATATTTCCAAAAATCAGAATCAAGGGCATTTTGGTCTTCAGTCATACTTGAATGGTAGTGCTGCCCATACTGATTGTTTGGACACGTCATCTTCTACAACATCAGTTTGCCTTTCTCAGAGTGATGCTCACATGCATCAGAATAACAACCCATTAGCTTACAATCCACAGTCTATGTTGTTTAGAGACAACAGTCACGATGGGGAAGTTCAGGCAGATGCTAGGAGCAATATTCCATATGCCAACAACATTGATAGTCAAATGACAATGCCACTGAATCCAGATTCCCTTTTAACCAAAAGCACATTGGGGTTGGGGAAGGATTTATCTAATCATTTCTCTTCAGAAGGCCTACTTGGTAATTATGAAAATAACAGAGATGCCCAGCAGGAACTTTCATCTTCAATGGTTTCACAGACATTCGGAGTCCCTGATATGGCCTTCAATTCAATTGATTCCACAATAGATGATAGTAGCTTCATGAATAGGGGTGCATGGGCTGCACCACCAGCACCACCACCACCACCGCCACCTCTTCCACCAGCACAGTTTCAGCGGATGAGGACATATACCAAGGTATATTGATGCTATTGTTATGTTAATAATACATGCGTCTTGACGTATGTCTGTATGCCTTTTTGTTATTCTAAATTACCTTTCTTCTTTTGGCCCTTTTAGGTATATAAACGTGGAGCTGTGGGAAGGTCCATAGACATAACAAGGTATTCAGGTTATGAGGAGCTTAAACAGGATCTAGCTCGGAGATTTGGGATAGAGGGACAGCTGGAGGATCGACAGAGGATAGGTTGGAAACTTGTCTATGTAGATCATGAGAGTGATGTTCTACTTGTGGGAGATGACCCTTGGGAGTAAGTCCAACTGTACCCTTTTCTAATTGATTTGTCTTTTTGCATGTGCATGTTCCTGGCTGGCTAGACATAATGTTCTATTGCTCTAGTTTCGTTGACCCTAGTAGCCTAGACCAGAAAGTTTTCTTCCACAGTTGATGCATTCTCCTTCTTAGTACAACATAACAAATAATGTTCCATTGTTCAAGTTGGTAGGCTTGAAGCATTCCACATTCCCACCTATCAACTTCTGCTATCAATTTGACCATAAGTGTCATGACAAGTCAAAGGGATATATGTCCAGCAATATGCCTTTACCATCTGTCTGGTTCATTTTTTTTTTTTTCAGCATTTAATACCTTGGAAATTAAGAGGAAAGACAAATAATTCATTTGCATTTTTTATGATGGAAAATATCAAACCTTGTGGACCAAAATGTTTAAATTTAGACAACTTCCTAAATCCTTGAATTTTTGTGATGGATATTTCAGGGAGTTTGTGAACTGTGTTCGCTGTATTAAAATACTTTCTCCTCAAGAAGTGCAACAGATGAGCTTGGATGGAGATTTTGGCAATGGCGGCCTTCCGAATCAAGCGTGTAGCAGCTCTGATGGTGGGAATACTTAAATGAGAGTCCAGTAATACACTAACAATTCTTCCATATTGGTAACTTAGATTATTTCTGGGAGATACATTATTATCCTAGTTCCCGACGACGATTAGTTTACCACTGGGGACGTATGCGTTCTACATCAGGTCTTAAAAGTAATCTTTTGCAGTTGAAAGGAGAAATTTCGGTTCTGTTCTGGACATGCAAAATGCCGCAGTGCTACAAATTCAATTAAAGTTATTATAAGGTGGAGCATCTGGACAACTCTAGACGTATTTTAAACCATAGATAGAGATATGTTATTGTAATATTGAAAAAATCATTATTGTTGGCAAATTCTCTGTATTGTAGAAAGAAAGGTATAATATTACGCGATGGTTTTGAATGTACAAATTTGTAGGTTCATTCGGCTTCTTAGGAATTACTTTGTAAACGCTAGGCAGCTAGATTTTGCGGAAGCTTTCACAATCTTCCATCCTCGGAGGCAACTTAGTACTTGGCTAAGAGGACTGCGAAGTAGAGAAACTTCAAATGTTGTAAGGTCAAGTAGATACTGTTGCTTTGTTTGCTTGAAAGGTAAGGACAAAAAATGGAGAGTTATGTGACTGTAAAGGAGTTCAATCAATTACAACTGCTTCCCTTTTTATTTTTAACTTTATAAATCGTGAATTTGTTTATTTGAAAGTTGTATAATATATTTGACCCAAGAATCTAACGTGTTTCTAATGCTTCTTTAACGATTCTTAGTCTAATTGAGTAGTTGTTGGCGAAAGAATAATATAGTGGTAGAAATAGAAGTGAAGGGTAGCAATAGTAAGGTCCTTGGTTTGTTTAGGGGGGAGACACAAACATAGAGATGGAGGTGGGGATCTGAGTGCAACACGTGAAGGTGACAAAATCTGGCTCATTCGTGAATGGAGTGACCAAGCTTTTGATGAGGTTGTCTAGCTTGCTTGGCATCAATCATTGTAACACGGAACGAAGAGGTTGATTTCCCTTATACTTCTCAATTTCTTACACTCGCATCAATCGTTGTGACAGCTGTTTCTGTTGAATTGGAAGTTCTTTTAAGGTTGTCTCTATCTAGTCTAGGACTCTATACTAATAATTATTTAATTACTAGTTATAATAGAAAGATTCCAATGTAATTGAAAGACAAATATTTGGTGAATTGGGCATACATTGTGGTGAAGATAACAAGAGAAGAGATCCAGGGTTGAAAAGGATAGGTGCCTTAGTATAGGGGCATATTTTATAATATTCCATTGTAGATGAAACAATTGGTTCGATTTTGGTGGCAATGTGAGGCAGGGACCATCTTTATTGAGATTGATGACGCTAATCCTTAATTTCATCTTTGAATCATCATATAAAACAGTAGCAGTAGTATGCAATAAAATAAAAGATTTGATTGGTTCATGCTGCAAGAATAGGCACAGGCATAGGCATAGTAGATGATGTGGGCGTGAGGCCATTATTGTGCTGCAGAATTGGTTTGATGTGAGGAGAGGTGGAGTAGTACTTCTCTTGCTGATGATCATACTTTGTAATGTGAGCCTCACGGCATTCTTCACTACAAAACGCTTTCTCCCCTCTGCAACACAACTCCTGTCTTTATATCATAATTCAACATTCTCATTACCTACTACAATAAGTTTCCCACCTAAACCAATGCCTATTCTTATTTCTAACTTTTTTAGAATGATTTCATAAACCAAATTCATTATAAACGTCTAATATTTGGATGAAGATAATAATGTGAGGGCTTTAAATAAATAAAATAATAAAAAGAATGATCAACTTTACTTCATTTTAAAAAGACTAATTGTTATAACACTTAATTTTAACGTCACATAGAATCCAAAGCTAAGTAAAGTATAAGACATTTAATTCTTTATGTTATAAAATATACAAGTCTAAGTTATTACAGACTGATCACAAAATCAGAGCACACTACCAGAAGTCAAAGTCTTCAAAATGCAGACTAATTGGTTCAGAAAATAATTAAAAGTTAAAACTACAGCATATTAGAAGCAAAAGTCTAATGGAAGAAAAGGGTAGGGACAAACATAATTATTGAAATAACAGAAGAGTCCTTCTCTACCAGTAAATTTCAAACTTGAAAGGGGAAAACCCAGCGAAATTGGGATAAAAACTTGGGATAAACGTAAGTATACGATTAGTCTTTGACGATAAGATACTCAAACAGGAAGAATAAGGCGACAAGAAGTTGGCTTTGGTTATATATACTCTAAACTTGTCCTGCAGCCTACAACATGCAAGGATAAATCCACCTCAATCATAATTAATTCTACACAACCAGCACTAATTCTTGCTTTTACACTAGCTAACTCCTTCTGAATAAGAATCCAAGTGTCCATTCAAATAACAGTGAGAAATTTTTTCATACAAAAAAGTGAGACATGACATATGTTAGGAAGGAAAGAGCTGAGATGTCCAGCAACAATTAGAAAAACACCAAACAATTGAATCACGGTCGATACTTGATGGATGTGAGAAACAGAAAAGCAATAAAATGTAATATATTACAGAGGCATGTGTAGAACCTGTAAATGAAGATGTCGATTCCATGATGATGTTTGTGGCAAAGGTTGCAGGAATTGAGAAAATGAGGGGTGGGAAACAAAAAGCGGTTTCCAGTGTTGAGAGGGGAAGCATAGAAAATACCATAGATTGTGGTTCCACGAAAGTTGGCAGCAGGTTTAGCAGAGGAAACAACACCAGTGGAGTTGTTGATGTTGGTCATACTCATGGCTGCTACTATTCCAAGCCCAACAACCCCTCTCTCCAAAATCATCCTATTCCTATTCCTTGGTGATTTTCTGGAATTAGAATTAGAATTGTCCATCAATTCTCAATGATATTGAAGTGCAAGTTGTGTAGCTTCTCAAAAGAAAGAACAACGTGGGAAGAAAGAGTTGAGAAGCAGAGTCAGTGAGAGAGAATGAGTGAATATCTTCATAAAAATCTAACTCACTACACATCATTGCCACAATTTTGCAGTTGGGATGTTATAATTGTTTTATGGCCTAAAAAATTCATACTATATACACTTATAAATTTATAATTTTCCTATTTTTCTTTTAAATTACAAAATTTATTGGTGAAATTGATGTATGGATGTTATTTTTAAAAATTGAACACACGATGGTACGTGCCCTCATCACAGCTCTACATATTTCAAAAAATATCAAACCTACCGACTGAAACATGGTACTTAGAATCGATTAAGACAGAGGATATTTCTGAAAACTTGTGTTTTCTACTTCACTATCTATATTTCTATAAATAGGCAAAAACAAAACAATAATTATGAATAAATATTATTTTTTTTAATTTATTCACTGACCCAGTAAATAATTTGGCTGTGCTTTAGCGACCACAATAGTCAATTCAATTTTGCAAATATAGTTTCAGGCATTCCATTTTAATTTTTGTGACCTATAGTTTGAAGAAGTTATAACATTACTTTTGAAAATATGATATGTATTACTCTTTATTTTGCATAATTAGGTCCATTGTGTCACAGCTAAAATCGATTGAGAAGAGAGTTTTCTTAGAGAGTTCTATCATGCGTAGATTCAGACAAGTTGTGGTGTGGTTGCTCATTTCATTGATTGACAAAATTCATCATAGATCAACATTCAAGGATTACAACATGTTCTTAGATGCTACACTCTTGAATTTCTCCAAGGATGCACACATGATATGAAATGTTGTACAACCAATTTTAATTGATGCACTCCAAGGGTTGAGGACTCACAAGAACCATTTTTGAGCGTCGTGTGAGCATGAATATTTCCCCCACAAATTACTCCACGCTTTCAATACATTCTCCCCTGTGATGATGAGCTTGAGCGGCTTTCATTTTCGGAGAAGCCAGACGATGTCTCACTCACGTCCTACAACACAAAACATATTCATTCATTCGGTTTTTGATGAGGAGATAATGGAAAGAAAGAATCATGATCCAATCCAAGCTCAGTTGCGGCTTGAAAAGAAAAAGAAATGATAAGAAAGGAAAAGGAAAGAAAGATGGTGCACTGACAGAATGTGTGGAAGAGTTGGTGCTTCTTGGAAGATACCCTGCACCAGCTCCACTTCGAAGTCCAAATATCATCATCGGCGACATGTTTTGTTCAGCAAATGCCCTGAGCTTATTGAGCTCAGGCAAGACAACTTTTCCAAGATCAGGCCTATCCTTTCTCCTCATTTCAGCACATCCCAGGGAAAGCTTTGCGAAATGCAAGGCATGTTCAACTGGCCAATCCTCAACAGCTGGGTCAAGTATCTCAGCAAAAGTCCCCTTCTCGATGGCTCTCGCAACATGATGAGTCAAACCCATCGGAGGCTTCGCCGTCACCAATTGCAGAAGCATGATCCCCAGAGAGTATATGTCTGATTTTATTCCCAGCATCCCCGTTTGCTGGTACTCCGGGTCGATGTAGCAGAAGGTTCCAGCAGTGGAAGTCATGCGATACTGAGTGACTGTGTCAGCAACTGAAGGAGGCACCAGCCTGGCCAACCCCACGTCACTGATCTTGCTCACGTAGTTGCGGTCAAGCAGAATGTTGGCCGGTTTTAGGTCACGGTGGACCAGTGGCTCTGGTTTTGTCTGGTGAAGGAAAAGCAGACCTGTTGCTATCTCTGCAGCAATTTGGAATCTTAGCTGCCATGGAAGAGGTGGACGAGAATTTCCTCTCCTGAACAAGCAATCATCCAAGCTTCCATTCGCCATGTACTCATACACTAGACAACCATACTCTGGACATGCCCCCAGCAACAAAACCATGTTTGGATGCCTTATGCAACTTAGCACTTCAACCTGCATAAACCAAACCAAATTAATGTTTATGTGTCACCTGCCCAATTGATATCATGCAATCATTTTTTGGGTGAAATGCAAGAAATCATACTTCCTGCTGAAACTGCTCGCGTCCTTGATTTGCATCTGGCTTCAAAACCTTGATAGCAACCTGCGTGCAATCCAATTCACTTCTGTAGACTGGACCATAACCTCCTTCGCCGATCTTTAGAGAGTCCGAAAACATATTTGTTGCCTCTTCAATCTCCTCAATCGTGTACCTTCTGTACATGGCAGGGCCGTGTCCAAAGGTGTCAGTTGGTTTCTTCCTCTCTATGTGGCCCATTCTCTTCTGTGCTTCCAATGCAGCGATTTTTTCAAGGGCTTCTGCTCTGATCTTTTCCTGCTCCATCTCCATGAGTTGTATGGAAGAGGCTTCACTCGTTTGCGACTCTTCCAACTTCTTCTGTTCTTCCGCTTTCCAACGTTGAAGCTCCATTGCCTTCTGCTTTGCACTCATAGCTTCCTTGCAGGCTGAGCTGTACATATCCATCGTCTGCTTCAGTTCCAGCTTCAGCCTCCTCACCTCCAATTCCATGTCATCCTATGATTGTAGAAAACAACACATTTATTAGACCATCGACTTTTACTTTGTTTTCTTACTCGTACATGCATGCATGCATGCATGCATATGACCTTGATTATTACGTACCGTGCAGTCTGATAACCTTGATTGCGACGAGAAGGAGAAGTCATCGATGCTATTGTGTCCTTGCGAGGACAAGGAAGAAGCAAAGCTTCTGGCGTCATAATCCGACCCACACGAAAATCTACCTGGGCTTATTCCACTTGCACTGTCCAAATCGTCGTACATTGTTGGGAACAACCGATCAATACTTGGCCTTCCGCTGCTCACAAATGATATGTCAGAATCAGGAAGTTTTGAAGACTCGTATGATTTGCCAGCCCTTGTGAACGGCGATCTGCATGACAATATATTCCATAGATGATGAAATGTTATTCCTACAACAACTTATATATGATATGCACTAATTAGCGTTTAATCTTGATCGTAACTTACATGATATCATTGTCATCCAACACCGTTTGGCGTGTTCCATTCCCAAACAAAGCTGTAATTAAGTAATTCAAATGAATTAGTGTTGCAGATATATATGTGTAATTTATTTATGCTGTATAAAGAGAAAAATGAATTGCCATACGTCTTGGTGGGTAGTTGCGGGTCGAGTGAGATTCCGTAAGTCTATCGGGACATCTCATCGGTGTCTGGTGTGGCTGTGGCTGTGGATATTGCGGTTGTGGTTGCGGTTGGTTACGGGTTGCGGCAACTTTAGGAGGCAATGGAGCAGTAGCAGATCTCACGCTTGAGATTTTTCCTTTAGAAATTATATACACTGTGCAGAATGGCGGTGCTCCCTTTGACACAGAGCTTGGAACATCCGTTGTTCTAAATCTTCTGACATAAGTATCAATTTCAACAGCATCCGTTAGTTTTGTTTCTTTATATTCAGAATTTTTTAATATGATGATTAAGAAGATTATCGATAATAAAGCCCAAAGAGTCTTTTTACCTAACAATGCCACCCCTTGATGGCGCCCCAAGTACAAGAAGCTCGATGGAATGTGTGGAAATGATTTCTACTAATGCCTTTGATATGTCCATGTCGTCCAACAACACTTCTCTGCATTGTATCTGTTGGAAACAAACACAAATTAACAATTTTAGTATCTTGTTCATGATCAGTGCAGTGCCGTTTTGAGATATTAAACGTTTTCACGAGAACTAACACTTTTTCTGTTGCAGAAGACTCGAAATGATTCAAAGAGTTCCTTGGATTCGTTGTCGCCCACAGTTTCGTGCGTATGATCCGCTGCACTCACAACAGCCATTAAAGTCAGGAATGTGGGTACGGTATTTGTGTGCGTGATACAACCATGGATTAACATTGTATATGAACTAGATTTGAAAACATTTACGATCCAAAATGCTCAAATGAATTAAACAAAAACTATTCAATGTGATGAAAGTGAAATGCTATAGAAAACTAAAGCTACAAAATGAAAAAGTTGTGACGTATGAAACCTGAAGCGGGTCTTTGTCTAACATGGATTAGTAAGAGACATTGGTCCTTGGGAAGAAGATTGTCCACTGCCCACTTGGCAGCGTGTTGGCTTGTCTTGTTATTCTCAATGGCCACAGCGACCACACGTCCAGCACCAAGCTTCTTCTCTGCATTCATCCTCGACATGTTTGATTTGTGGGTGAATGATGTGTTCGAGGATGCAGAGAATGTTGGGGTTGAGAAATTATTTAGTTAGTAGCATTGTGGTTTGAAATATAAGAACAGGAATCAAGGGATCTGGTGCATGAACTCAGTGGGAAAATGCTGTTGCAGATTGGTTTGCACTTCGTTGTTAGGTTCCAAACCCCTTGGTTTGGGGAAGATACAGTTGGGTGCAGGGTATCTTCTCCAGTATGACCTTAAACCAAATCACTTTATAGTTATCAACAGATTTAGCCATGGTTAGTTAATGATTAAATTTGCCCTCATTAAGTGATTCAACAAAAGTTATATATAGATAAGTTAGGGAGAAATTTGCAAATTACTCTTACTTTCTATATTCGGACGCTATTTCAGAGGTTACTTGTTAGATTCATCAAGTTAAAAGGAGACTTTTTAATGGTTATTATTGCTTGTTTTAAATGAGTGGTTGCTAATTTTTTTTATATAAGTTATTTGATATTAGTTACAAATGATGATTTTTTTTTATATTAATATTTGTATTTTTTTAGTTCAAATAATTGATATGTCTTGAAATTTTGAACTAAGACACTATTTTATTACCCACAACCTTGTGTTTTGTTCACTCATCTATAAATTGTGTCGTGGTTGTTGTGTATATGTTATGGACACTTCACGTGACAGTGAAAATTTCTTTGTCGATATTTTTTAATTTCGAATTAATTATGATAGAATTTATTTATTTGAAATTAAGTACCTTATAGTTTCATAAACTATACATTGATAACGAAAAAGAATTTCATATTCATTTAATCATAAATGGTGATAATAAATCATAACATTTGTGATAAACTTATAATCTATATATTTTCAAATTGAATCTATCGCTTTATCAAGGTATTAATTTAAAGTTAATGGTTGAAATGTGATAGAATCGGTTTTAATAAATAACAACTAAATAATATATAAATATTTGTAAATAAATATAATTTTATGATATTAAAAACTAAAATAAAAGCCTAATATTTTATTCTTATCATTTAAAATTAATATAAAAATAAAAAATAAATATATCATAATATTTATGTTAATTTAGTAAAATACAAAATAAATAATATATATAGATATATATCAATTTGTAGATTTTTTACTTAATTAATGTTTTATCTATTTTAAAATTATTTTTTATTAAATATAAAATTTTGAAGATATTAAAAAGAATCTTGTTTTAAAAAATATTAGTGGTTTAAATTGGTTTGATCTACCAATTTTTTGTCTGGTTCTTAACCAGTTCACGAATTTTCAAGTTCCAGATTTATATAATAATTGGATTTAATTGTTTTTATAGGCAATGTGTACTTAAACAAATTATCATTGAGATTGTTTTTTGATGAATAGTCTATATAATGACAATTGTATTGAACCCACTAAATAAATAAATAAATATATATATGATAATGACAATATGTTTCTTCCAAAAAATAAAAGATATTAAAAATTGAAAAAGTCTATTCTATTTTCCTTCCTAGATTTGTACACGTTCTTTTCTATGAAAGAATTTAAGATATAGTATTGAACCAAACCTTCAAATTAGAAGCTTCAAAACTGGTGACCTTGGTATAAGTTGGCATAAATGTTTAAACCAAGGTATAACTATTAAGTACTAAGGGAGATATGAATGACAGTGCCACTGCCAAGACATGTTAATCAGCTAAAAAAATGAGTTGAATCAACGTCGAAAGATATCTCATCACATGATTTGCATAGGCTGTTCTTGCCTTTTCCCTCAAAATTTCGATTAGTCGCACGTTACAGTACTGGGAAAATTATGTGAAAACGAACACATAAACCCAATAATGTAACATGGATAAACCATGCGTGCTGGATGCATACTTGCATTGCATTGCCTTCATTCATGTCCTGACAGTTCTTTGCAATGAGAGAAACGAAATCCAAGGAATAATGATGATGCCTTGACAACCTTATTCAACCATCTATGGAGAAACTAACTCACTTGAGTGAGCCTTCTTGATATCAACTTCACTTGCATCAGAAGGAGAACGGGAGTTATCCTCCTCATCATAATCTCTTTCCTTTACTTCATAAATTCTATTGACAGCTTCTTTTAAGTCCCATCTCTTGTCCACATCCCCTTCACAACAAGTCAATGCAATCTTCAAAAGCTTTATCATCTCCCCTTCACTGTTTTTGGCTACGTACATGTTCTTATCGAACACCTCTTTACTCCAATCTTCTGGGACAATTGAGTGAACCCAATTTACCAAACTCCATTCACTTCCTTTACCTTGTATAAAGTTTGTGGGGAGGTTTCCTGTTAGAATCTCCAAAATAAGTATCCCAAGACACCACACATCGGTTTTCTTCGTAATGCGGCCATGCTGCAAATACTCTGGAGACTTGTACATCACAATGATGTCAGGTGCAAGGTCTTGATTTATCACTGGTACCAACCCATAGTCCGTGAGAATGGGCTCCAAAGATTCATTCAGAAGAACGTTGGCGGACTTTAGATGTCCATGTGGCGCAATTAGGCTTGGCATCTCCACGTAAAGATATTCAAGTCCTTTTGCAACGCCTTTCACTATTTTCAACCGACTTCCCCAGTCTAGACATGGTTGTTCTAAAGATTGGTTTCCTGAGACAAGTAAACATGCGTCCCGATTATATAACCACTCTTGCATCAGTATTATGAGATATGATACAAAAGAAATATATATGGAATGTGTGATACATGAAGGTACTACCATCATTTTGTAAACATTTCTACCTCTACACTTTATCAACACCTTTAACTTTTCTCAACTTCTCTTGCTGTTACATTGTGTATATCACCTATCATCATGTATATAAAATTGTATGTGTATGTAAATAACTTCATAGGAAAACAATTTATTCAGTCACTTAGTTATATTATAAAATGGTGGGCATGCGAGCAACCAAGAGAAATAATATAGTTGATAAGCAAGCATTGATAATGATATATATATATATATGTATATATACCGTGGAGGCGAACAGCCAAGCTGCCATTGTGCATAAAGTTGGTAACCAAGAGTTTCTCCTCCTTTCTGTAGTAGTAGGCAATGAGAGGAAGCAAATTAGGATGATTTAGCCTTCCAATCCGTCGCATATGCTCGTGAAACTCTTCCTTCCCCACATTGTTCATTTGCTTGAATCGCTTTACCACCAACACTGATCCATTTGGCAAAGCAGCCTTGTAGGAAGAGCTGTAACAACCACTACCCAGTATCTCAGCTGAGGCTCTCAAAAGTTCATGCAAATCAAAATGCTCTGTGTCATCCCGCACAAATGATAATTTCATGTCTCTTTTGCTGCCGTGGCTCGAGGCTCGGGACCTATGACTTCCTTCATCTGATGCTTCCCTACTTTTAGCTTTCTTTTGGGACGTTGATGATGGATTTTCTGTAGACTCTGTTGGCTCTTGTTCTCTTCTTTTGCGAAGGATGAACAATGCTACTGCTCCAATCACAACCAGAGCAACAATAACAAGAACCACAACCACAATAATTCTCATAGGTGATTTCTTTTTGGTGGAACATGCTCCCAACGGTGCTCCACATAATTCTTCATTACCTTCATGCTCATTTGGATAAAACAAATAGTTGGTTATTTATTACAAGTATAAGAAAACTTAAATGCAACTCTTTAAACGTTATATAATGAAAGAAATGAAATTTCACATTCAATAGAAATATGCAAAATACAAGTTTCACAATTCCTTTTCTAATATTGAATATGTTTGCAAATGAAATATGTTGGTCTTACCAGAGAAAGCTGAAGCTGGCATGTTACGGAGGTTGTTTGGTATTTCTCCCTCTAATTGATTATTAGCTACACTAAATGATTTGAATGCATGTTGAAAATTGGGAATGGAGCCAGTGAAATTGTTTCCCTCCAACCTCAATTCCACAAGTCTAGGCGTGGATGTGAGGGAAGTTGGAATAGAACCTGTAAATTGGTTGTTAGATAAATGAATTTTCTTCAACCATTTCATATCTTGAAAAGCCTGAGCAGGAATATCTCCGTTAAACTTGTTATCTGAAAGGTAAAGGGTCTTCAACCCCAATAAATTATTGATATTAGGCCAGGAAGTGTCAAAATCATTGTTCTTGAGGCTGAAGGTTCGGAGATATGGTAACTCTTTGAGGGTTTGGACGTCAACAACCCCTTTGAGATTCATGTTTTCGAGCGTCAATCCCCAAATGTGTCCCTTGTAACACTGAACGTAAGGCCAATTAGATTTTTCACCTGAACATGAAGGGATGGATTGATTCCACGAAGACAATGCATGGTTGTTTTCGATGGAGTCCTTGAATTGAAGGAGCAATTCTGTTTCTGAAGCAGTGACGATGCGGAGGAGAAGGTGTGCTAATAATGATGATGATAGGAGAAATGAAAATGGAGTCAGAGAAGTGGGGAGTGCCATAGTGAAGGGACAGGGTTGGCACACGCACAAGGAAGGGTGTGGCGTGCACGCCCTCCAGAAAGGCCTATCTCTTGTTTCAAATTGTTCAAATTGTTGAGGAAGACCAGAGTTGGAGGTGGAGGATGCACAACTTTCGATGACATTCAAATCAAAGATGGACAAACACAAGGAGAGAGAAACCAGGCGCCAATAATAGTTTGTTAGCTTCCTCGGCATCATTCTGAGAGATGAGGTCAGGTTCGTCACTTCTTTCTTTTTTTTTTACATAAACTAATAATTATATTATATTAATTGTTGTTATTATATTAATAATATTATATTAGCAATAATTAAAAAAAAAAAAAAAAAGATGTGTGACATTGACCAAGTCCTATGTTTATTTCTTTCATTGTAACATGTTTTCTTGTCTTCTTCAGAAATACACGCCCAACCTTTCAACACACCACACCATCTTCTCTTTTCTTTTATGCCGATTATTTCCTTTTTTTTTTTACCTCACTTCACTCTAACATCATGCACTCTAATCATTACTAATAAGACCTTTCTATTAATTATTAACAATTATCCTAATAGTAACTGTGAGTCTTAATTATTGGAAACCAATATTTTAAGAATTATTTTGATATTCCTTAATTTCAATTATATCATGTTGTTATTCATTCCAAATACTATCTCTTAAATTTATTTTATATATTGTATCAAATTTAAATAATATTTCATTTTTAGACAAATTAAGTTCTAAACCCAATGCAACACCAACATATTCTAATTTGAATTTTGTTTTTATATTTTGATGTTCCGTGTGAGATGATGACTTTAACAACGTCCTTTTTTTAGTGGCGTAATAATAATATTTAAGATGTATATTTTTTTCTATTCAATCTTTAAATGTTAATACATAAAATAAATAATCTCTAAAAGTAATTTTATTTTTTATATTTGTTTTTTATTCCAATTAAATTTTCATATATTATTATTAAAATACAATTTCATATTTATTAAAGACCAAATAATATTTTATTATAACATAGATATGTTATATGTAAAAATTTAATTGAAATGAAAAATGATAGTAAAAGATTAAATTTACCTCGAAATTTTAGAACTAAATTAAAAAATCTGTACTCTTTAAATGATCTAATAGATTATTCAACCTCAGTTTAGTTATACAAACTTTCTGATGCCCTAAGTCAGTCACGTCCCATGATATCACACCTTTTTAAAATTGTTGCACTTGTAAAATTATTTGCTAAATAATTACATACAATATCTTGACTTTTTATTTTTTTTTTCTACATAGCATATTGCTTCAGCGTGACAAATTAAGAAAAGTGTGTGTTAATAGAAGAGAAGGTGGTGTTACATTGTTACGAGTTGAGGAACACTTAATGCTTGTCCAAAGGTGTAATTGATCACCATAACGAACCGCATATTCTAACAATATTTGCACACACGAAACTACAAGGCTGAGGATCAGTTATGTTATCACAAGCGTCTGAGCAAGGAAATCTTGGTCAACTATTCCATCATGGTATCACTGACCATGACGTGATGCAGCAGACAGTGGTTGAACAGCTGCAAGAGGATTTACTTGGTACGAAAATGCAAGCTGCCACAAATCTACCAAAGCCCTCTTAATGGAGATAGCCTGTCTTCTTACGATCCTAAACCATGAACAGTCTCAGTCCTTCAGAACCATGTAATACCACTGAAGCTCAAAGAGCGAGCAAATATACTGCAGAACTTGCTATAAATCTTACAAATCCATTCAATGGAGTTTTGTTATAGTAAACAAAGCAGATTATTAATTTAGTATTCAGTATAATACACCCGCTTGTTAACCAAAGGTGCCTAAACACCATTCTTGCTCACAAACCTGTTTTGAATAAATAAGTGCAGTTTCCTCTTCATCATGAGACATAGCAGAAAGTGAAATGCATTTTACACATCATGATAACAGATTCCTTAAGAACGTAGATAGAATATACAGGAAAATCTCAACCTTAGATTGCTAAACAAGAAATCACAACAGACTTAAAACTCACATGAAGGGCCATCCTTGACTGCAATTAGGGGCTTAGAACTCAATGAAACGGAAATGATTTACCTAAAAGCTGGTGCCAACTATAGGTCAACCAAATTGGAATAACATGATTCTTGAGAGAAGGTTAAACTAACATCCTACAAATTCTGTAACTAATAACACCAGGGATCACAAGTTTTTCAAGTCAAACAACATAAAAATTTACAAGCTTCCCGATCAAAATCTTGCAGTCCATTGGTCTAAAATACTCCGTTTCAAGTTTTAACCTTAAAATGTTCTCCTATTCCTATTGTATTGTATGTACAAACAACATATCAAGTTATTAGTATCAATTAAATACGGATTATATCAATGTAATACTAACTATTTCAATAGCTTTTTGCAAAGCCCACAAACCCCAACTCAAATAAGAACTCTCAAAGAGAGTCCAAAGATTGCTGAATTACTGCTATAGGGCCCAACTAGGAAGGGAGAGTATGAGTGTAGTAGGTCGAAGGTTTGGAACTCCAGCAGGAATGAAAAGAAACAAATTCAGTAATCTGCCATCCATTAAGGAAGTTGTAATCTATTACTATGTTATTCATTCTTACTCTGTTGTCCTAAATCCTAGAAAATTTGTTAAGGGCAATACTGAACAGTTATGGGAATTCTGTTAGGGACAATCTTGTCTTTTTTCTGAGGAACTTTCGAAGGTTTCAGGACCCTATCCTGTCTCCACAGCACAGCCAAAATCTAAACCTTTCATCATATTCTCTTTCTTTCTCTCCGTACCACAATGACCAATCAGTGGTTGAGATCTTTTCCCGATTTTGGCTGCACACAAATTAGCTGGAGCGAATCTGATTTGATGTTTGGAGCTAGGGACCCGAAAGGGAAGATAGCAGATTACTCTGCATGTAACTGTCTTTTGAATCAGGAATCTATTAAATTGCTTGTGCAAAAAAAAGTAAATAAGGAAACAACGAAATACAATCATACAAATAAAAAATAATAAAGGTCCTAGATGGTGATATTTTGCCCAAGTAAGAGATTCAATTTCCGTAATAAGATAATTTCCAATATGAACTACAGCAACCAAACAGGTAAAACAAAGATGATTAATTTAAAATAAATATGATTTTAATATGCAATGGTGATTGTATCCTCTAAGGAGAGAGGATGCAGAAAACAAATACTAGAGATACATTCTAATATGGAGCTATAAAATAAAGTGAGTACCTTTTTACAGTGGCTTGCTTCTTTCTGAAAACATAGTAGACGAACACTATTAAACAACCAAGCATGATCTTCCCGCTAGTTATCACAAACTTAGTAGTGCCAATCTTCAAATTGATACCACGGAAGCAACAGTAACATGCTTCTATTCGTTCAGACAATTTTATAATAGCCTTTTTGGACCTATCCTTTTCATTGTCTAGACGTTTGCTTTTCAAGGCTTTTGGAACTCCTTCAGACATATTTTTTTCTTTTAAAGAATAATCTTCATTGCTATTTGTGGGCGACCGAGGAAAAGAAATTGATGAATAAACGGTGCTTTTAGAAGAATGCATGGAGTGTAACCTTCTCATAAGTCCCTACAAAATACAATGTCATACATATAGTTAGCAAATGAATGAGGAGATCACACTGCCTGAGGACAAACAAGCCAATACTCACAAAAAGGCTATAAGAGTTTATTTATTTTTAATTTACAGTAACGGGCCAGGTAGATTGGTAATGCTAGGAATAATTTCAGCTAGTATTATAAACATCAGCAGGTTTAATATAGAAGGAGAAAAAAGGTCAAATTATAATTTTGGTGTGAGAAACTGAGTTAGTTAAATCATTAGTTCTTGTTTTAGGGAGGTGTTATCGAGATAATTGTTTTAACTGGTCTTTTCCAGCGTGAAAATGAGAGTTCTCCTTTTGGGGGTATACTTGTATTGTATACCTTTGGTTTTGTATGAGTTTGATACTTAAATAAAAAAAGAGGACTCCTAACAGGCAAGCTATTGTCATGCAGAGAATGGTTATAATATTTAGAGTGGTTATTCAGCTAGAGATCAAATTTTACCAATGAAATAACCACTGCAGACAACAAAAAAACAACACTATTTTTTTCAAAAAAAGGTTCACTTTGTAAATTTTCCACTAAATACTTCCTTAGCTTTGACACAACACGCATTATGATAATTACATTTGATTTGACACAAATAGCGTGCAATGTATCCTAAAACAAGTAGAATAAGAGGAAAGACAGCTAACTCCCAAACTGAATGTCAGCTCAGACTAATAAATTTAACTTACTGATAAAGCATAAATCTGATTCCCTTCCACCAATATAAGCAACAGAGAATGAAGTCAACTGCTTTATTTCAAACAATTAATCAGAACCGCACGGATAACTTTGTTTCCCATTTCTAGTTCAAATTTACAAAATCATCAATCAAGACCTGTATAATTACATGAAAACTTTACCAGTGGAGAATGTTCATACCTGCTGATTTTCTTCGGGCAATGAAGCACTCTCAACCCAAGAAATAGCAAGATCTACATTTTTTTGAACTGTTGCAAGAAGTGTGATGGCATAGACCTCAACAACTTCCAAATATTCATGAATTTCAAGAACAAAATGCCTTTCTTCTGTACTTTCACCCTCTACATTTGTCTCTGTAATAACTGCACAATAATGTGCATCTTCAAGACTCCATCCATCAAGAAACTCCTCAAGAAATTCTTGAACACCAAGCACAGAACCTTGTGCAATTTGAAAACAAACTCTGGACCAAAAGATAAAAATAAAACGAGTGTCACTCTCCAACTCTCCTTACATATGCTCATTCGCTAATACCTTGTTTGCAGACACAACTATAAGGAAAACATAAAAACAGGATGACCCTTATCAGACAGGACACAAATCCTGCAGAATCATGATCAGGAATGAATAAGCTATCTCGGGTATGCAGGAATCAGGTATGAAATATTCATATGAAGAATAAAATAAAAAAATAACAATCACACTGATATAGGAAACCTGTTCAATTCAGAGTGAATGGTTTGAAATGTATAAATGGAAAAGCAAGGTGAGTATTGGATTGAAGTTGAACATGAGTTTAGCTGAACCCAACTCATATGGTATGTGAAATTGTTATTACCGAGAAGATGCTAAAGAAAGCAAGCATACCCACCCAGTAAGAAGAACGCGGGGAGGAATAGCTTTGACTGAAACGAAGTGTAGTCTAAGTTGATCAAGAATATGCGGATTCCTGCAGCAAAGCAATGATGATTTGAATTTAGAATGAAATGTTGAGAAGGATGGAAATGGGAGTGTAAGAAAAAACCTTGGAAGATGGTTGGATGCCTGAAGCAGCACCATAGCAGTCGATTCCAACATATCTACAGTTGCAAGGGATCCATGACGCAAGCGTTCCAATATAGAGGAAGCTAAGGATGCCGCTTCTTGGTACATAGAACAGACAAGGAAGCTGCAACGGAATAATCAGATAGATTCTTGTTCTGCGTAGCTCTAGAATTGACTCATTCGTTCCATTACCTCTCTGAAGCCTCGATTTCTGTCCACATCGCAGCAGCAGCAGCAGCGTCGTCTGAGTTTGAGTCGGTAGTAATTTGCATCGCCATTTGCATCCTCTCCAATCCGCCTCAACTCGGCAACCCGAAAGGGGGAAATCAATGCTATCTTCTTTCTTCAACAATTCATCAACAAAAACGCCTCTTTGGAAGAGAAAAATATAAATATCATAATTTAAAAAAATATGTATGTTAAATAATTAATGAATACATAAGAGTTTTTTATGATATTTATTTAATAAATTAAAATTTAATATATATATATATAATAATTTTATTTAAAAAATATAAATAATTATGTGTGACTTTATTTATTAAAAAAATAAAAATAAAAATAGTAGTTTATAAATAAAATATATATACATGAAAAAAATAGTCAATTATGATTTTAACCTAGTAAAAGATAATTTTTTTTTTAATTATTTAAGTCACAACACAAACAATTAAATTTATCATTTTTTTATGAATTTTTTCAACTTTTTATATTACACAACATTCATATTTCTTTAATTTTTAAAAAACTATATAAAGACACGTAATAGTCATGTATATGGAGGACGCATTTAAAATTCATTGTATAATATGGAGTGGATATAAATATTTTGTTTTACCAAACTTTTGTAAAGTTGATGTTGTAATTTGATAATAGATTTTTTTATATTTATTATTAAAAAAATGAGTTAATCACTTATATAATTAAAATATTTTAAATTAATTATTACATATTATTTATTTCTTTAGATTATAATAATTTTTTATCATATTTAAAAGTTAAATTTTTTATATTATAATTGAACAAATGTGTAAACCATAAACTTATACTACAAAATAAATAATATATGATATAAAATTATTCATTTAAGATGATATTTTGATATTTATATTTTATAAAATTATTCATTTAACAATTAAAAATATTAATATAAATTTAACAAAAGCGAAACGAGACTCAAATGGTGTTTGGTTATTAATTTCAAATAGGCTATTTTACTCGTCTTTTGTATATAATTCTTACTATCATATTTCATTATGGAAAATGGTTAAACTCTAATACCATTTCAGATAAAGGTCTCTTCTTATCAAGATAATATGAATTTTTTGGGGCATACAGACGTCATCATAACTTAAAAATCCACTCAAATTCATATTTTCCAAAAGAAAAGAACTCTGATATAAAATGGCTTCAAGGATCGAAAGTTTTCTAATAAACAAATTCTCATAAGAGGCAAGTGTAGAACATACTCGCATTTGAGTAAGGGAGAAATAATAAGAATTATATACTTCAGACTTTTAGAGAAGAAAAAACTTAGAGAGAATACATTTTTAAGAAAAGAAAATTTGTCTTCGATTGATTCTACCTTGAAATATTACAAGTCTTCCTATTTATAAGCACATCATACAAGCGAAATTAAAAACTTTGTTAAACTAAATTGAAATTCGAACCCGAAAATATCATACAAATTGGAATCCAAAAATAAAGTTGTGGCTCACACTTATTATGGATACAAGTTTGTAGTATAAACAATGGATACGTGTAAAGATAATAGAATCTTATTTTAGTTACTTGTCATTATGACATTCATTAACTAAAGTCTTTACTTTGAATTAGATCTGATAGAATTGAAACAAGAGTGGTGATATTTTGACAACCAAAAATCATACAACCCTTATAAACAACTCACTTTTATTAATATAATAATCTATAGACTCGATTTAATAAAAATAAAAATAAAATAAAACTATTATTATAATATTAAAACAGAGTTGTTTACAGGAGTTGTATGGATTTGGGTTGTCAAAGTATCATTTTCCTTGAAACAATTCATCTAGCTAGTATGTTTCACTCCTTGTCATACTTTCGTGTAGTGGGTCTTTACATCCTTTTGTGAAACATCATTTCTTCCATCAATTTTTCATTATAATTATTTTTTAAATCTTCAACTTTCTAGAACTCTTCTTTAGGTACATATAGCTTAGTTATTAATTTGAAGAATCTTATCTTTTAGGAACCATCATCTTTTGGAATGATCCTATTCAGAGGATAAGAACTAAGTGATTTTTGGGATGAACTAGCAAGATTGCGGTCCACCGGTCTATAATGATTGTTGTTGACTTTGCAAAGATGTCTAGCCAGTTAGGTTTTGTAGCTATCATCTAAAGGATATGTTTCAAAGTTTTCCCAGATGTAAGCTTCACTTTTTTACCATAGTTGCCCGGTAAGATTTTGAAAATATGGACAATGGTTGATGAAGTTTGGAGAGTTTTAAGAGAATCCTCAGTAATTCCCCTTTGTCGCTGAAAATTTATAGTCGTTTTCAATTCTTGTCTCCATAAAGACAAATGTAAGAATCATTCCAATAAAGTCCAAAAATAAAACTTTTCTTTGTAAGGATCTATCAAAATCTCAAAAGTTGTATGCGTCTTTAATGCAATGAAGTTGAAATATTGAATAGTATTACACCATATTACCCAAAGAGTTGGATCACCAAGATCCCATCCAGGTTCTCAAAATATTTCAAAAATTCCTCCAAAAGGGATATCAGGATAAAAAATGGTTGTTGGAGAGGTTTTGTATTTCACGGTTTCATAGAAAAAATAAAAGTAACGAGATTTTGCATATTGGAGGATTTCTACTGGAAAGGTTGGGTTTAGTCTGAGATGATAGACTGTTATAGTTTTGGCTTTATTAAATAAGAGTTTTAACATAAATATGAGAGGAAAATTATGGGTATAAAAAATTAATTAGACAATTTTCTTTGGTTTAGATAGAAAAAAAGGAATTGTGTTTTAACTTTCTTTTATATGTTTAACAAAAAAATCATATCTTGAAAACCAATCCTTTAGTCGGATGATTTGAGGATCTGAAGGCATCCTGTTTTTGAACTCTAAGATCCTTGAAAAAAAAAAAGTTATCCATTCGTACTTCAAAATGATGTCCACTAAGATGAAAGTCAAATTTTTTTATTCTATTTTTTTACAGTTAAGACTTCTTTAAAAGTAGTACGGTAGTGTTTCACAACATCTTTGAACTGTCCACTAGCATGACCACAATAATATTAGTTGTCATTTTCTTCTTCAATAAGAACTGCTCCCCAAAAATCATCACTTGCATCATTTTGAAGTTTTTTTTCCCCATTCCTTGGAATTTTTAAAGCTGCAGGAGTTTTGACTATTTTCTTAAGTTCTTTAACTGCTTAAGTTTACTCTGGTCCCCAAGAAAGAGTGTTCTTCCTTGACAACTTGGACAAGGGACTTGTATGCCTAGCGATATTAGGAATGAATTCTCTGATGTAGTTAATGATTCCAAAAAAAATGTTGAATTTGTTTCATGGTTAAGTTTTCATTAGGAAAATTGAGAAGTTTTTCAACAATGTGAGGATAAAGTTGATATGTGTCTTGAGAGAAATATTTTCCCAATAAATTAATTTCTTTTTGGGTCAAGTGAATTTTCTTCTCAGATAGCATTATCCCGTGACAAGATATTTTAAAGAATTGACCCAATAACTTGTTATAAGAGTCCATGTCTTGAGAGAACAGTAGAATATATATATATATATATATATATATATATATATATATATATATATATATATATATATATATATATATATATATATATATATATATATATGATAACTCTATCTAATATGGGTTCAAAAATTTTTGTCATGACCTTCCGGAATAGTGATAGGAGATACCTTAAGTCTAAAGGACATTATTTTCCACTGATATTGGGTATACAAAAAACAATTTTATATTTATCAGAAGGACCAATGCCTAATTGACAAAATCCAAACTTGAGATCAAACTTGGAGAAAGTATAAGCTTCTTTAATCAAAGTGGGTAAGGAAGATGTTTTAGGAATTGGAAACTTATCATCTTTAAGGAAATTATTAAGAGGTTTATAATCAATGACTAACCTTTTTTTTCCTCTGATTCTTTCTGATCTCTTTTCTACATGAAAAGCTTGACAGACCCAATTGAATTGGGTTGGTTTTATCAGGTTTTGTCTCAAGAGTTCTTGGCATTCTTGTCGGGCCAACTGTAGATCTGATGGAGACATTACAAGATGTATAGCATTTGTAGGATTAACATCTTTATTGAGTTTGAAGAGCAGTTGGACAAAGAATTCAGGATTCTTCCACAAAGGATTTAGATGAGAAAAATCTTCATGACTATTAACACACATAGTAACTAATTTGACTTTTATTTCTTCTATGTCTGGAGAAGCTTCAGAGAGAGAAAAAAATGTGGGTACTTCGCTGAAGAATTTAAACTCTCTTTTGAATTTTATTCCAATAGGATGGATCTGAAGCTTATGAGCCATGGAATAAATATTCATTCCAACCAATATGTCTTTGTTTGGGAGCTTACTTCCAATTACTCTTGACCAGACTATGCATTCTGGGAAGAATTTGATCCTAATTGGGGATTTTGTGATGAGATCAGTCTTAAAGATCTTTCCATCAAGTACAACAAAATAAGAGACTTCTTTTTTCCATAATTCTTTTGGAAGTATATCTGGATCCATCATAGATTTTTGTGCTCTTGTGTCAAGATAGACTATGACTTTAATGGATTTTTCATACTTAGAAGAAAGAAAATGAACTTCTAGGCATGATTGAGGTGGTGTGATACAAACCAACCAGTGGACCCAGACCCAATAAGGAAGGATGACCCAATATTAAGGAAACGAGCAAGAAAGAAGCCATCTTGGATGACTGATTATGTCTGCGGACAAAATTAGAAGATCCTGATATGCTCAAATTATGTCTGCGAACAAAATTAGAAGATCCTGATATGCTCAAATTAATTCCTGAAATTTCTGCTGCAAATTATTAGTTTAATTCCTGTTTTATTTCCCTAATTTTTGTTTGATTGTTAGCACCCAATTCCTTTTAATAGCTATGATGTAATCAAAACAGAACAGAATAAAAGTTTTCAAGATCCTTTTTTCCCCCAAATTCTATTATTCTCTTTCCCTTAATTTTCTGAGGAGTGGACACTCACTCGAAGAGTGTTAAAACCTTTGAGCATTCTGCAGCAGAGTGTATCATTGGTGCTTTCATCATGGACACAACTGAGCTTATGAGCGCCCTTCAATCCAATATCGATG